TAAAAAATATTGAGGGTGAGAATTTTGTTAAACTGAGTTATACCTCAGTCTCGCACAGTATTTTTTTACACATTCAGCTGAATTTTTGAAAAAATGCTTTATAAGGGAATGTCCTTGAATCTCGTATAGGATGCCCCTCTTTACTGAGACTGTTAAAAATTTGAGCCAACTAGGCCATTTTTAAATGAAAATAGAGCTTTCATAAATCCTTCTTATAGATCCACTTTTCGCACTTCATCAGAATCCCTAGAAAATCACCTGTTTGTGCGTCTCTCTGCCACGGAATGTCTGTTATTTTTGCCAAAATCTTCATTCCGAATTAATTAGTGTGACACAAGTGTCCCATGATTATGCACCCTCCTCAGACATATTCTAATATACTTAATTTAAGGAGGGAGTGTCCTTTTTTCTTGTCTATGATGAAGTTCAACAAAGCAAGCTGTTAACCGATTTTCAACAAGGATAAAGCATGATCAAGGACTAGTGTGTGTTTTCCTTCATGAATCATCTTTTAGGTTTTCACTATATCTGCCTTTGTGACAATGACCTCGATTTCATGGAGGAGGTGCTGCCTCGGGTTTTTCGTTTTGCGATACAATTTTTTGTCAGTTCTAGTGTCGAACACCCTGTAAATGACTAGTTTATAATAATGAAATACCGCAAAAAAAGAATGATTTGATTTGCCTAGAACCATACTCTGAGCGACGGAAGTAATATTGGTTTAAAGCATTTTTGTGGTCACATTGCCTTGTCTTAAGAATATTTAAGCAATTTGCCTTTATAAATCTTGTTGACAATTAAATGCCTTACTTAGTCTCAGTACTTGACAATTTTTGGTCAAGTTTAAAAAATATTTTGAAAATAGGGGAGACTTTCGAAGTGACGGACATTGTGGAACAAAAGAAATGTTATAAGATTTTAGGATGTTTGAATATTGATATCTATACACAAGGACTATACTCACTGCTACACCTATATATCTCACTTTTAATGATGCTCCTGTGGCCTCTTAACCTTTTCTACTCTATTGTAAATTTATCCTTATTCTTTTACAAAATTCAATCAAAATGGGCCCTTAACTCGAGAAATTAGCTCCTCTTGGAAATATGCCCTCACAACAGTAGGTAAACTTGTGTAGCTACTATTGAGATCAGATTGTGACATTTTTAAAATGCCTTGTTAGTTGATATTACTAACAATCAGCAAATTCTTGGCACGAGTTAAAACGACACATAGCTTCTCTTGATAAAACTTGACTCATTTTTGTAGTTCATATACCGTTAAAATCGCGATCAGTTGATCGTCGTGACATTTAACATTATCAGTTCAAAATTCAAGGTAGTGTAGTGTCATCATTAATTTAGGCCATTTTTGACTGAACCATTAGACCGTGACTTATAACCCTTTAAGCCCCAATATCCACATACAAATTCTCCAAACTGATCTCCATACATTTCCTTCATGAATGAGTTGAGAGAATTTGATAAAAGATCAAGGCTTTTCCCTTAGGTGATCATTTTATTCATTCTCGTAACCTAATCTCTTGACATTGTATGGATATCGTTAGGAGAAAATTGTCGTTAGTCACCATTGGGACTTAAAGGGTTAATGGTTTTATTGCAAAACCTAACTGATATAGCAATGACTTCCTTAAGAAACCTCAGAGAGATTACGCTGATATAATCAGCACTCGCCCTGTCTGCTTTAAGTCAGTTACAACATTTTTCTGTGGTGTTTGACATCAGTTATTATGTCTGCAATAGTGACAACAGTTTTCAAAGCAACTATCGGTTTGCTTGTGCGAAAAGGAAGAGCAGCCGCAGCGGAAAAGCTAAAAGAAGGTGATGTGGTTGATCAGAAATTCCGTCGCCTGATCTTGCGTGAAATTGACGATGTTAAGTCCAAGTTGGATGGACTAGCAAGAAAGGACTTATTGTCAAGCTTCAGCTCCTTTGCAGAAGGTATCGAGTACTTGTATGAAGTGTTTGACAGATCAAAAGCAAGAGTCGAGTATGAAGAGGATGCTTTCGCAGCGCAAGCTGCTGCTGACAAAGCTGGAAGACAGACACGTTTTCTCACGAGGCAAATGAGTTCTTTAGATGAGACCGACCTGCTGGATGATTCAGTAAGAAAAGAACTAGAAATCGCGAAAAAAAGGTTTGAATACGCCCGTGAGAAAGCGAGGGATGCCTTTGCCAATGAAGCACTGGATTTGTGTGATCGCATTTTAGCCATGCAGTATCGAGTTATGGCAACAATACTACAGAGTTGTGACAGTCCCCAGGATGCGCTACCAGCCTGTAGAGTGTGCATTGAAGAACTACACTCCTTGGCTACTGTTAAGGAGTGCTTTGACGCAGCTCAACAAAGGGTTCTGGGCCTGATTTAGCAAAGACGAAAGGCGGAAAGTTATCTCTGCCGTCTGCCATTTAAATCGAGTTATTTACGATGTCACCCTTATGGTGGGGTTTGGCGTTAAGGAATGGCCCTACGTTGACACGGGAAAAGAGAAAATTGATCCGATTCGTGACGAAAGACTCACCAAACTTTTACGAAAACAAGGCATGGAGCACTGTTTCGTCAAACCGTGGTCGTTTGGTCAGAATGGTGAAAAGGAACAGAGAGTAAGGAGCCCTGTGGGTATCGCTACGAATACACGAGAGCACTTTTATTGTGGCGGACGATGGAGATAAATCAGTCAAGGTGTTTGAAAGCAACGGAAACTTCTTTACGCAGTGTTAGTCTGCAAAGTGATGATGCGGGCAATACTGAGCTGCATATTCTTGATATTGCTACTGATGAATATGACAACAGCTATGTCTTGATCGGACTACAGAAGTTCGAGATTAAAGAAAATGAGATGGAAGTCCAAATATTCAACACCGCAACTTCCCTGCGTCGCAAGTTTCATGTGAAAAAAGGGCCATGGGGACAGGGCAGAAGACTGACAATTTGCAGAGGCAAAGTCTTGGTATTAAGAGGATCCGGATCAGGAGATGTTGTAGAAGTATATAAAGGCGATGGACGATTTGTTCGTAACTTTGGAGGAGGACTGATTAAAAGTGCAAGAGATATCGCTGCTACTGGGGATCACATCATGGTCATGGACACTGGTGATTGTAGCGTCCACCTATTCACTCTTAAGGGAAAACGCGAGGCCAAAATCACTGTCGACTTTAATGGAGATCACCATTTGAGAGCTGCCTTCCATCCTACAGGTGAACAGTTTGTTGTGGCTGGGTACGAAAGAGAAAAAGGCATATCCAGTAATGGCGGTTTTCAGCACCGCAGGAGACTTTGTGCGTAGGATTCAATTCGGGGAAGTAAAGACTAATTGGGTTGGCGGCATGATAGTGACCATGGAGGGTCAAGTTGCTGTAATAGTTGGAGGGAGAGTGAACCTTGCAAAGTGAGTATAGTTGCCATGTAAACACAACTTTGTCGGTCAATGAAATCAACCGAGTCAATAAGATTCAGTCGCAAAAGAAAAAGAGAGAAAGTTTATGGCTCCTGAGAGACTCTTCTTTGAAAGCAATTGATATCAACAAGCGTGAGTAGAAAGGAACAAGACTTAGACAGAATAGTTTTTGCTATGTTGACTTAGGTGGTAATACCACATCGCCGGGAATTTCACTCTCCCATCAACGCAACCTCATCTTTTTTTTAGTACATGTATGAGATATTGTTGAAGGGTATATTTAATGAAAAATGTTATCACCTAAAACTAGCGATATAATACTATAATTATTATACATATCAATACTACATCCACACTTCTCACGCTGGTCCAACAAAGTAGAAATGCTCCGTTTCTTAAATTTAAGGAATATTTTTGTTTCAAGCACTAAAAGTCTGAAGTTCGAGAGTTTTTCTGGTAAAAGAACGTTTACTCGAAAACATTTAAAACAAGTCAATTGCTCTAGAGTAACTAATATGTATTAAGTATCTTGAAGGGTGCATTCAAATAGTATTGCTTGCATTGGTCACTTTGCAATTCATTATTTTGCTTTATATAGTAGTTTTAATCAGTGAAATATAAGTCATATGCTTTATTTCAAGACACTTGTCTTACAAAGTATTTGCAGTGGAAAAGTTGTTAAATCTAAACTTCATGATTGGAAGAATACAGTGTAGGTTGCATAATCTCTTTTTCCAACGCTGTGTATTTTACCGATATTATTATTGAATTGGAGTTGCGAATCCAATGGCCTAAGATTAGTTAAGCAGACTGAGACGCGACGCTTCTTGAGTGTTTAAAGTGGGATGCGTATCGTTTACTTGTTATGTTTGGGTACGAATTCAGTTTACACTGTAATTCGTTTCTCAGCAACTTCAGTCGTAGTTTTGATCGCAAAACAAAGGATTATGTGCCGTTAGGGAGCTCCCAACATGCATGGAAAAACTGCAGCCCTGTAATTTATCTTTGATGTTTACCGGCTTTTAGCAGCACTACTTTGACTTAAAGGCATTATGAATGGACTGGCATAAAAGCTCTTTTAACAAAAACTATACGAAAAAATTTCGGTTATTGTCAAACTTTAAATTTATTTCTCTTTCTGAGCACCAAAGGCGCAGACCTATGGTATCTGCTAGGGTTGTGTCCGCGTGATAGAGCCGTCGGCTTCTGAAAACGAACTCCGCTACATACCGCTTTCTTTGTACTGTGAAACCTAGCGGACACCCTGGGAAATCTTCAGTGTCTGCTTGACAGAGTTGTAAAAACCAGGCTTGTCTTTCAGAGAATAGAGCGTTTTCAGATAACGTAACGTTTGCCGTATTGGTATTCCAAATTAATGAAACGGCGGCCATAATGGTGTTCAAAGCCCCTTTTTGATCATCTATTTGATACCTTGAGTCTGGAAAAAGAAATTATTGTTCTGGAAAAAAGTCTTGAATTTTGGATCCAAAAATCTGTACGAACCCAATATAAAATAGGCCATTTGCACAATGACGTCGTATTAGTACTTCGACCAGAATTCGTTTCGTTTTTCCTTTCATATTTAAATTTGGCAATCCCAGGGAGGTTTAAATAACAAAAGCTCTAATTTGCGCAAGAAAGCAAAACCCTGAAATATTCTGGTCTTAGTAGTAAAATTAAATGATTGGAAAGTGTTTTCACTGACTGGTCCTAACTACTAAATGCAGGGTGTCTGCTTCACTGCTTTGTATTATTGTGCGGTTTTTACCAGTTATTGCAAGGTACCTTTATGGATATGCTTGTGATGTCTAATATATAACAGCCATTCTCTGTAATGAGAAAGAACATGTCCATGTCCGAATAAGATGAGTTCTATTCTCAAACGTATGTTTGAAGCCAATTTTACGCCACACAATTTATTTAACTGCAATGCCATTCAATACTAACATTACCCTGCACTTTTATTTTGAACTTGACAGTGAAATATATTTTTAAGTGGTCAGCGAATGCAGCTGTTCGATGGACAACCCACAGGCTTGCAATGTATCGTGAAGATCTCATGCTCATATATTTGTTCCATAATGTCGACAGAACTGACTGCATGTACATTGCTGTTGCTTTCTGTTAATAGGTATATTCAGATCTCGTTTTATTTTTTTAGCTATATTATCCATGGTACTTCTGTCCAAATTCTATTTTTTTGACGACACAGTACAAGAGGATGTTTGTAATGTGATGACATCGCATTGGTGTTCTATGTTTCACTATACTTGTAAAATACTTAACTTCACAGTTCGTCAAAAATTACCCTCTTTAACTGGATACGTTTTATATTGCGAAACTGTGAAGGGTTTGAACCCAGGAGTCATTTCAAAAGTCGGTTGAGTTTGATCGTCCGGGTGAACGTAGTCCTGAACAGGGACTGTTGTTGACAGTGACTGACGTTTCGACAACCTGTGTGGTAGTCATCTTCAGAGTCAAAGTGAGTTGTATCACGTCAGTTGATGGTATTACACTCCGGTTGTTGACCTGATTGGTCAATTACGTCGCGAACGTTTTATATTCTTACTTATGTTGGTTAAAGGAAAAGCATGTAGGTCTGGCAAAATGAAACAACTCAGTGAAAGAGCAAGTGGCTAAAACATTCAAAATGACTGACGTTACCCTTCAGATACCCGAATCTTTCCAGCGATGAAAATAACAATAATAATGAATAACAAATCAAAAAAGGGGCGCTGTTGCAATGTTAAAAGCTCTGCGAAGATTTTGAACAATAATCTTTTTTTCATATCGTTTTCTCTACAGGCAAGCCTAAATGGATACTTTAATTTCTTTTTGCCTTTAACCGCGGCAGGAACAGCTTAGTCTACAGAGCGAGTTACTGAAAAGCGGAGGTCGCGAATCGATTTCAGCACCGGGCCAATACCAATAAAGGTACTGTCTTTGCCTTGTACATGACTAAACTTTTGCGTGGCTTGGATGACCACGTAATTTGGCTGTCTTGTCTCCAGTAGGAGATGATAACAAAAGTGTCCTCAATTAGTCCTTTCTTGCTAAAAAGCTGGACGCTCAAATATAGTGCTTATACTTTAAAATGGTCGTCCAATGGGAGTGCGTTCAGAAGATCATCTAGGACCACCTTTTTTAAAGATTTTTACTAAATTGAATCCTAGGCGGTCGAAAGATAGTATTGTCTACAAGGCATACATTACAAGCTCTAAAATACGATACATCTTTAATGGGCCACTCATTTGGACCATGGGAAGGTTTATTTCCAGCTTAACAGTAAGGATTATTTACTTCAAAAATTCATTATTTTTTGGCGAATTGTGTTTCTCAAGACATAACAATGAAGAGACGAAAATTTTGTCTTTAATACAGTTTTTCTTCGTGCTGACAAAACACAAACAATGGACAGGTTATTCGCAAATATAAAAATGCTTGACTTTCAATGATTGTGGTCACTTTTCAGTTTCCCCACTTTATTTTACACAAAAACATTTTTTCGCCTCTTAGTGAAGACAAAAAGCAAGGCACTTAGGGCATGTTTACATGGAGGTGGGGACCCCAGATAGGTAGGTAACATGTGGTGGGTCACCCCACCTAACATGTAAACGTGATCAAATCAAAATGAGAGATTATATGGACAGGTGGGTTACCATACCTTAGCGGGTTACCTCACCTACGTGGGGTCCCCCACGTCCATGTAAACAGGTCCTAAAACTGTTTCCTGTCGTCTGTTGAAACGTATGGCAAGGATGAGCATTGATTGAAACTTGAAAAAGTTTGGCCAACTTTTTCAAGGTTTAATGCTATGCCTGGCAAAATCACCAAAAAAATTATAATGGTTAGTTAACCCAGATGAAATTTGTTTGATATCTTCTTCTTAACTCTACAGGTGTATTTTGTGTATTGGTTAAAGCACTGAGTAAATGACCCGCCGGCACGAACCTGATTAACCATTCACCAGAACGCCAAGGTGTTACACAAATTACCTTGTGATATAACTTTTTTGTTTGTGTAACGCATTAGAAAGGAAAAAGTTAGGTGTGTAATTGCTTCTAAATAAAAAATCTGACTAGAGACTTTGATGGTCGCAAAGGCGCAATTAGAGCATGATTTTAAGATGTTACATTAGAAGTTGTCTCAATATGTCGTCAAACAATTTGTCGCAGTCCATCTTATAGTTGTAAAGGAGACTAGTTGTGACAGCCAGCGCAAATCGAAGGTTCAAACACGCTGCAGGTTAAGTTGAGAGCAGCCCCTTACAGCGAACAATCGCTTCCAATCATTCGAACAATATCAATGAACAATGCATGTAGGCGTTTTTTATTGGTTTTTTCGACTAGGTTATTATGTTGTTGTGCATAGTGCTCTTTCAGGGTACAAAAGCGGAACATATGGAAATAGTAATCTATAGGGCAACTGCAGTTTTTCATGTAAGGTAAATGCGAGAAGCAGCTGGAAAGATTTTCTGCTTATAAAAACAGAACGAAACAAGATTTTTCCGTTTTCGCTGAAGGTCTAGGACCTAACCAGAGCAAGATAAAAAAGAAGAATTTCCCTTCAGGTACTAATGGGTTTTTTGCCCTTTTTATTTTCTTTTGCCTTCGTTAATATAAACGGATATGCGCGAAGAAACTTAGGATACTAAGTTAATGGGTTACGTTAGGTTGTTGAATAAAGGGATATCTCTGTACTTAAACTTGAGTCAAGACGAGAGAAAGTTCATTTATTCAGACAGAAATATTATTTCTTGAAAATAAAATTTTTCCGTCAATTTAAAAGCATACACTGTGACTGTCGTTTGACCGTCGTGGACTCAGTGAAATTGGTTTGTACTGATCCCATCCCATTTTGTTAGATCTTAATATTCTAGCTGAAGTGATCCACAAATGACATAAAGATTTATAACACGTATTTTACGCCAAAGAAAATGTCTGTATGCGTGGGAAAAGTAGGGAAGCTTTTATAGTGTCATGGCCTCTGAGTAGACCGGTTACAGGTATAAGATATTTTTCTACATTATAATGTTTTTCTTGTGAAAATATTGTCAGCTGTCTTTTTTCAGGCAATGATCTATCCATTTTCTCTTAACAGTACACCGATGAATATGAAAAACTCACGCGGTGCTTTCAGTAATGATAGAGGGGAGGATCCCTATTAGGGTTCTTCAATCCCGTCATGCCGAACCAAATTTTCGCTCAATCTCGTTAAAACGATGATTATTTTCGGCATTTTGCATACCGTGTACTCTGTTATACTTGAATCTTGCCCAGATTTTGCTTTGAGATACCGACTTTGATACAAGGCAAGCCCCGGATCCCTAAAAACCTATCGGAGACCCTCAGTAGAGACAGATAATTCATCCATCTCCAGTATCGAGCTAGTTGGCCAAGAGATAAGTTAAAGAAAAAGATTACATGTTGCCGTGCATCTGTGCCGTAAGTGGTAAGAACAAAAAGTGGTATTCGACCCGTAGGCGTGTGTGTCACTGATTTTTTATTTTCATTGCAAAATTAACAGTTACTAATTTCGGCTTTCGTACGATGTGAAGAATTATACAGTCGAAGAGGAGGCCGAATTCTTTACATCATGCGAAAGCCGAATTCAATTATCGTTTTATTGCTAATTCAAGCTATTTTTTATTTCTTATCAATCTCACCTGCTCATAGGCTTTACCCAAGCATCTACCAGATGTTGCAGATACTCCTCTTAAAAAGTACATGTTATCCATCGAAAAAATATGTTACTGCATTTCTTCCGTTTAGTTTTATTGAGAAATTCGGTCATTTGGTCTTCGGATAGCCGTGAACGCCCCTTTTTTTTATCAGATTTCTATTACTATTACTTATTTTTGTTCGATAAATAGCCTGAGCGCACTTAGAAACGAGGTTAATCGATGGTACAGTGTATATTCTTGCATCTTCCAAATGTGGTAAACTTCGGCTAGTTATGAAAAATTGAGAGTTATGTCAGAAAAAATCCTTTCGTAAACAGCTGTTTCTCTTTCCAACCTCAGGCTCAGGGTTTCTTGTCGTCCTGTCCCCTGTAGTGAGAGATTGAACAGCTTTGAACCGAAAAATAAAACACTTCTCTCTTACATGTATTTGTAGGCTATAAGAAGTACTAAAGGTTTGTAACGCGTTGTACACGCGCTTGCCTTACCAGTGTGTTTTTTGCAGGTAAGATGTTAAATTTTCAGCCAGCAAAAATGAAACTGTATTACCTCTTCATCACGAAAAGCATTCCCATTTTTCTCGTTTTTACGTGGCTGGGCCTTGAAGGAGCTCTTGCTATGCAAGGTGAGTCGAACAAAGAAGCTCGATTGGGTACTGCAATGGCTATATGTTTAACGTCCAAAATGGGAAACCCGTGATCGAACATGAAGAGATCTGCTATTTCCCGTTCTTTGCCTGCCCTTTAAATCTTTCCTTAAAGGGCTTTGAGTTACCACTAGTCCTTTTAACTTTTTTTTGTTAAATAGGTTGTGGTGCAGTGATGAACAATACACTGAAAAGTCCTCGTTATCCTAGCAAATACCCAGGCCGCATGGACTGTGTGTACAAGGTACCTATTCCGCAAGGCATGACACTGAAACTCACTTTCCTTGATTTTAGTTTGGAGAATCGTTATAGAGGACGATGGTAAGGAATTCTTTTATGTCCTTTCTTGTTACGCTAAGTGGTTCTTCGAAGTGGTGGTGCTTAAATCCAGTTTGTTTGTTAATCGAACTATATTTTTTATTTTTCTCAAAAGACATGCACTATGAACGCTTTTCTCCTGGGTAAAATTATATCCCGGCAAATGTCGCCGAAACTTATGTTTTTTTTTATTAAACCGTCAGAACATTAGCAAATAAAAAGCAAAATGATAACATGTTAGTTGCTAAACTATCCGCATAAAAGGAACAGGTTATTTAGAACCTTTAGGCTAGAAATTTTAAGAACCTCTCTCGGCTGGTTTATCGCTACTCATCCTTTACCGTAAACTTCCGCGTTTAAACCCCGGGCTTATACGACTTCGTAAGGGGTTTTAGGAAATCTTATAAAAGGGGCACTTATCTCCGGCGGGCTTATAACCGGACTAAAACAAGCTTTAAAGGGGGCTTACACGAGGGAAGGGGTAAGGGGGGGGATAGGAAGGGGGGCTTATAACCTGACTAAAAAAGGGTTTCTAAACAAGCTACTTAGCGATGCTGATCAAATCTTTTTTGAATTTACTCACCTTTTCAAGCTGCAAAGCGTCGCAAAATATCGAATTTTTTTTCAATACAAGCTATAGGGGCATACCCGGAGGGGGATCATACCCATATGTTTTTTTTTTTGTTTGTTTATAGGGGGAATGGGCGTGTAAGTGGAAGGGCTTTTAACTTGGCTTATAAGCGGAAGTTTACGGTATATAAGAAACGCAACAGCCTGAAACAGGCGCGGTAGTTTATTGTTGTCTGGATAGTGAAAATGAAAAATGTAGTTTTGAGTACAGTGGAACCCCGCTCTACGGACACCCGCTTTATACGGACAGTTTCTTTTGTCCTGATAAAAAGCTCATATATTCTCTCTAAAATTAACCCGCTTTATACACACACTGGTTAATATGGACAACGGACACTTTTCTGTGTCCCTAGTCACAAACTCTCATATATTGTCAACCCCGCTTTACAGACACTGGTTATCTGCACACTGTCTATTTTCATTGTCACAATTATGTGATAATTGTAGACATTGTAACCTGTTCAAATAATGACAGATTTTTACGGGTCAGTAAAGTTTTATTACGGTACTAAAAAAAAAACAGTAACAAAGTAGCGTGACGTATTTGATTTTGAACAGTCTGTCTTTCTTCTGGTGTTTGACTCTTGTACTACGTATAGTCCTTTAATAAAGTTTTCTGCCTCCTGTTTCACACGTTTCACTTCCTTGGTTTTTGTTGCAGTCATTGCTCTTAACCTACTTCCTCTTTGACGTTGTTTGCTTGCTTCGAGCTGTACTAGGATCACCCTCCAGGGGCGGATCTGGGGGGGGAGGGTGCAGGGGGCGCACCCCCCCCCGCGCCTGAGATGACCTGCGGTTTTTTAATACAACTGGTATTCTGCAAAAAAAATAAATATGTGGTTTATTGGTGTTGAAGTAGAGCAATAGACGAGTGCACCACCTCCTAATAAAAATCCTGGATCCGCCCCTGCCCTCCGTTCGTATTGCTGGGTTGTTGCTAACGTCTAGTAATTGTTCAAGTAAATCCCACGTGTTTCCGAGGACCATCAAAAATGTAAACACAATTGGTATTTCCATACCAAGACCACCACCCCGTTTGACTGCCTTTCCACATACTTGTACCGATCCTTGGTTCGTAAAACTGTCTGCTTTGGTCTTTATAACGCTCAGCAAATTGAATTCATTTGCATACACGCAACAAGAACGCGGAAATGTTTTTTTCGTAACGTGTCTATATCGACTCCTCGTCAGTGTGTTTCAGAGGTTCATTATGGTCGTGACATTCTTCGTTTCCGTGAGAACGTCTAGCCTCCCACGCATTAGAATCCCAACAATACAAACGATTTAATTAATTTTTATGAATTAATAATTTTTGACGCATGTATTTTTAGTATAGTGCCTTTCATAACCCTTATTGGTTTCTATTGGCTGCCTTGCTTGACAAGTTGAACTAATTTACAAATCTCCACAAATATTGCAGCGCGGATTACTTGGAGATTGCAGATGAAAACCACGTGGCAATGGGTAGATACTGTGGTGAGGAACTTTCTAGACGAGATATCAATGTGGGTGGAAACGAAGTGGTCATTAAGTTTCACTCAGACTTTTACTTAGGAAAAAAAGGATTTCTGTTGGTTTTTACCCCTGTCCAACCTTGTAAGTTTAAGAGAAACTTTCTTAATGTAACGAAGCATAGGGTTGCCAAAGGGGTATCAAAAGGTTAAAGATATACTGCACCTGAAATTAGTAACAATTCAGATTAGGATATGAGCAGTGCTACAACCCTGGATTTCCATCTATTTTCTAACTTTTGCACCATGCCACCATTTGTTCTGAACAGAAAAAAAGTAAGGCATCTCCCACCCCCATTCAAAGTTGTTTTTGTCTAAAACCCAGTGGGTAGAATTCCCGTGTTATCCTAAAGAACATTCAATAAGGAGAAGGTGGAAAACGGGTATTCATTTGGCGACGGTTTCCAAGTTTTCCATGATGACAGGAAAAAATTGTTATTTTGGCGATTCGTGCGATGTGTCTCAACTGGTTTTGTCCGTTTGCTTAATTAAGCATAGCTAAAACTTAAAGCACTTAAACGGCAGAGAATGCTAAATGCTGATAATTTCGCCTTTACTTGTACCTTACATCTTCATAAAGTTCTTCGACAAAATTAATCAGAATCTACCACATTGTATGCTAACTTTAAGATTAAGATTGCTATTTACATTTGGGTTCGTTAACCTGGGTCTCAGTATGGTAATGCCAACGTTTCCGTATTGTTAGAGAACAATAAAGTATGCCTTTCATTTCAAGTTACGCGGATCGTTACTTGATTATTGCTGTGATAAATAAAGAAGTCGGGGACTCAGACTTTTTTTTTTGTCCCGTGCTCGTGAGATGTTGATTACATCATTTCTCATTGATATTGTTGAACTCATTTTTATTCCAATTATTTTTTTTTCTCACCAGCTCCTCCTAACATAACTATGCCAATTCCAGGGACAGCTGTTCGTACAGTTGAAGGTCGCTTGACGACTGTGTGTGAAGCCACAGGAACCTCTCCAGTATACGTCGCATTGATGTGGAATTCTATAGTTCTGGTCAATGAGACTGACAACGCAGTAACCCAATTGTATTTGGAGGGAAACTACCACTGCATAGCCACTAACAATTATGGAACAGACACAAGAGTTATTCCCGTCTTTGTAATAAGTAAGGGGAAAATGTCGGTTCCTTCATATCTAGAATAATTAAGTCCGTCACACTTCTACAATTTGTCGATTTGTTTACTAATCAGAACCTAAAAGGCACCAGGTCTAAACCAGCTTAAAAACCAGCATTACGCTGGTAAAACGGTGAAGTTTAGTGTCTTCCATTTCCTATGGAGGCGAGGTGGCCAAGCAGTTACAGCAGGGGCAGCGTGACCGAGCGGTTTGAGCGCCGGACTTGCAATTCGGAGGCCCCAAGTTCAAGTCCCGCACTGACCGCCAGCTGGATTTGTTCTCGGTTGTCCCGAGTTCAAATCCTCGACCACGCTTGTAAATAGCCAGCTGGTTTGCCTCCGGCCAGTTGGATTCTTAACCCTGTTAAGTTTGATTTCAATTATTTGTTTCAGGCATTTCTCGGCCTCACTAGCATTAGTGCTATAAATACTGCCGAAGGTAAATAACGGAATTATTACTTCGGACTTGAAGTCAGTTTCAAGCCTTTCCGTCTCGTTTGTTAGACAAGAAATGTTGCTCAAATTTGTTTCTCTTCAGGCAGCTGAATGAACGGGTACCGGCAACAGACTGCCGAGAGTAACCATGGAATTACATTACATCTAGGGTGGAAGTAGCAATACTGCTTGGTGCTTCTTGCTTAGAAAGATGCGATCAGTGCTGAAGTTATTTATAATAGCAATAGAAAACTTATTTTTTTCTGTTTTTGCATAGCCTGATTTAACAGTTGGGGGGTGGGTGTGTGTGTGTGTGTGGGGGGGGGCTGAGGTTAGTGTTCATTCGCCCATGGGTATATAGGTAATGTGTAATTGAACAATCAAAGTGCTCTTTATTACTTTTATGCTATAAAACATTTATGTATTATCATTGACAGGTTGTGGTTCTGTTGTTAACAATACACTGAAAAGTCCTAATTATCCAATGGACTACCCAAAAAGCATGCGCTGTTTTTACAGAGTTTCCATTCCATATGGCATGGTCTTGAAAATAGTCTTCCAAGATTTTCTTCTGACATGGTAAATAGAGAAACTTAATGTGATTTTTCTTTTTTGCACAGAGGTCTGATTGTTTAACTTCCTAAAAGGTGGATTTCCACTGTCTCGTAATTTAAAATTGCATACGGAAGTGAATTAAATGTCGAACAAATTAACTTTTATTACTTACTGTTGTTACAAAAGACTTTTCATGCGTGGTTTCCATTTTGGTTAAGTCTTTATAGTGACCCGCTCCACATCTTCCCGCCCGAAGATGTCTCCAACTGCGGCCGAAACCGAAGCAACCCGCTAATTACGAACAAAAACCTACGGCGCCCTGTCGCAACCTTTTATTACGTTGCCTCTACCGTAAAATTCCGGTTATAAAATAAAGCCCCCTACTTATAACCCCCCCCCCCGTTTATAGGCCCATCTACCAGTAAATAAAAAAAATATATCCAGTTATATGCGCCCCTTTAGCTTGTATGAAAATGCATTCGATTTTTCACGACGTTTTGAAGCTTAAAAAAGCAAGTATATGAAGAAAGTATTTTGATCAGCACGGCGATGTAGCTTGTTATGAAATGCCTTTTTTAGTCTAGTTATAAGCAGCCCCGGATGACCACCCAGTTTGTAAGCCCTCCTAAAACCCCTTACCAAGTTGTACAAGACCAGGGCATACGGAAGTTACGGTATTGTATTTACACGTGTGAAAATTGCTCGACGGTGGTAAATCCAAAGTAAAGGTCCCACTCGCTTGGAGCTCGAGGATTGTTTTGATTGGATACACGTATATCATATGACGTAATTTTTGGCGGAAAGACAAAAGCAAAATTCTGGATAATAAATACTATTCATTACTGGGGGGTTTTCAGGTGATAGCAGCATTTTTCTCCGCTGGGAACTAAAACCCATTTTCATGTAGATTCTTCCAAAAGGAATTGTATTGTATTGACCACCACCATGGCACCTTGTCACGTGGTTGCAAATCAAGAACCTCGATGAAGTGGCTTCCCTCGGGGAAGGGATACTAGCCTTAATTTTTTATAGTGGCTTTGACCTTACATAATAAAAGTTCTGTTAACAGTGCTGGTTAATTTTCTACACTCGGACCATGGTAACCGGCTGTTGTTTAGAGCGTGGCCGCATAATTTATATAGACGTTCGACTAGTAGCCTACACAAGAAGAGGTAAATGTGTCTGGATGCACTTTCAGTAACGCGAATGTAATGAATCCAACCTCAGTTAATAGACATTCGAGCACTATGTTAATACGCATGCTTGTTTCAAAGAAAATTTGTACTTGAAGAATAGTGATCTTTGATGAAAATAAAAATGCTCTGCCTTTCCAATTCTCAAATGCGGGATGGGAAAAATCATTTGAATCGCGAACACATTATTTTCTTTTAGCTATGACTACTTGGAGATTTTCGACGAAAACAACAGGTCACTTACACCAAAATACTGCGGAAAGCGCACTGGGAAGGAAATTTATGTCCGTGGAAAGCAAATAGGGATAACATTTTATTCAGGAAAATGCTGCCAGGAAAGAGGATTCCATCTGTTATTCACTGCCCTTAAGCCAAGTAAGTAACCAGGACGAACAAGGTTTTTCTGTTTGAATAACTCAATAGGATTGTCGCAAGGGAAAAGAACAACTTTTTGTGCTGCGACTTTCATCCACTTTCAGAGACATTTAGAATCTTAAATTAGGAAATGATGAGATAAAAACTGTCTAAAACAAATCTTATTAGTGAAACTGGCATGAATATACGCATAATGAACCATACGCGGAAAGTAAAGGCAAAAATTTGGTCACGTGGCACAAATTGACGTTTCCTGTTAACGGGAGTTTTCATCTCTCCATTGAGAGTAAGATCATTATGTCGAGACTCGATCTTAACTATGTGGAGCAAAAGTCGTCCAGAATATAGCCTCCTAGCAGCTGTTACTACGTCCTCGAGTGCACCCCAAAATAAGAGCATTTACAAACGGGTCTTAACAATTTCATTCACAACTTTTAAAAAAGTAAGGTAAGTCTATAATTGAAGTTACTAATTAATTTCCACAGGATGTAACCTACGACTGCAAGGGCTAAGTTAATATATTTTAAATGAAAGGCAAGTTAGACGTGATTTGACATGAGTTACACATGTAACCTTCTCAAAATTTAAATACAGACGAACCTCCATGTGCGACCACCTCTCGTAAGCGATCACGTCTCATGAGCGACCGCCTATCCGAAACACCAAAACATTCCCAGTTGAAGCCTCACAGTTAGAACCTCTAGTAAACGACCACCTCCTGTAAGCGACCGCGACCACTTTTTGGGCCTAATAGCTTAATGATTTTCTATCGTTTTAACCTCTTGTAAGCGACCACTTGACACATTCTCTGATCTCTATGTTCGCTGTGTGCACTGTGCTACTTTGAATATACAAAGAACTTTAGTGACGACATGGAACTACACATGGCGTAACTTACAAATTGCATGCAATAAATTATCTTCCATAAAGTAGATGTGCCCGGACCTCTTCTCGGAAGAGGCCTCATGTGTCTCGATTCTTGTAAGCGACCACTAATTCTTTGTATTACGGGTAGTCGCTTAAGGGAGGTTCGACTGTATCACATTTTGGTGTCCGAAAATACTGTGGTGCCCCCTAAAAAAACCATACATTTCGATACTCTCTTTTATTACTTTTAGCTCCACCTAAGATAATTCTACCAGATCCTGATCCTGTTGTTCGAGCATTCGCAGGAGCTGATTTGTGGATATCAGTGACTGGAACTCCTCCCATATCCATTACGTTGAAAAATGACACTGCTGTACTTGAACATGGAACCAAAGATATTAGGCACCGGCTAACCAATGAAGGAAACTACAGTTGCATCGCAGTAAATGATTACGGAAATATCACTAGTGTCAATTTCAGCGTTGTCTTTATTGGTGCGTATTTCCTCTACCATATGTAACTATAATCTCTCAAAAGTACTTTTTCTTGCAGTGCTAAGCTTTCACTAACTGATTCTACCCGTTTGAAACGCCATTACACACACTGCTTTTAAATATCTTATAAGGCTACAAAACCTATAAATTCCAAAACAACAGCACGATTTTTCCACATTTACTTTTTAACAAATGGACAAACTGCCATTGATAACATTTGGACCATGTGCGCAGCTTATTTACTAGATTTACTACTTTCTCGTCAATTCCCGCACCGAGAGTGCAAAGAATTAGTGTTGTTAGCAAACGAGGCTTGGTGTTCAATTAGGTCGTTTGACGTAAACACGCATAAGGGCTATTTTGAGCATAATTGACTTTAATTCTATGATTAAACAAGGTTGTGTATCGACTTATATACTATTGTGAGATCTGTAAATCTGCCATACATTATTTGGTAGAAGGCCGCCCTTTCTCTCTCATTCAGATGGCTTTAAGTAATTCAGCTGACTGTAGACTTTGTATTTTTTAACAAAAGAACAAAATACGCTGTATTAGTGAAGGACTCGGGGGCGGGGGGGGGGGGGCTGGTCCTTGTTGCTCTGTTCCCTTCAAAACTTTGCTTTTTGCCCTTGTTTCCTCTGTTATTCCAAATTTGTTACCTGCGTTTCCACTGTGCGCACCTTACAGTAACACCCGCCTCCCACCTCAACACCCCCAAAAGGCGTCATCTAATAGGTCAACAACGAAATACCCTATCAGGAGCCAACTATTTAACTTTTGAGGAGGGGGGGGGGGATTTTGAAAAAAAAAGTAATCCGCACAAGTCCATCGTCCGTTCACGTGCAATGGGCAGGACAAAAAACCAGTGATTGGGAAGCTCTCAATTTCAGAATTTTCCATGAAAGAATACCCCCAGACCCCTTTAGATAAACTCACACCTTTGCATTTGTTGAGCTCATGCTACGCGTGAGCTAGCCCAACCATCCGCGGTCTCTGCTAGTTCCTTTTTTTTGTTGTCAAATTCAAAGTCATGGATGGTGTTGTTATTTCAAAATCACGCAAACTATTGGAGAAAAAAATTCATGCAAGTACAGAATCGAAGAAAAAAATAATGGTGCATGAATTGGTCGAAAAAAAAAAATCACGCCCACACCAAATCACCTAACCCGCCCCTCAAAAGTAAAATGGTTAGTCCCTTAGAGTGAATATCAGTTCAAAGTATGTGTGACCAATTGTTGCAAGGACACGTATTCACAGGTTCTTGTACAGTCAGGGAAAAATTGAAATGTAAAATGATCCTTAGATTAAAGTGTAATCTTTAGAGACGAAGTTGTTCGTGCAACCACTCTCTTAAGTGCTCTCTTGGAAATAACCGATTTGTTATGTGCTTAACAACCAATCTTCCTGAGTGCACCTACACATTTGTGAGGAAATAAACGAAAAAGAGCCGTTTAAACGACATAGAGACGGAGAGGTGACGCACAACAAGTACCTTTATGGTGTTAAATTGTATTTTTCCTTCATTATTGTTCCCTTGATTCCGAAAACTGTTTTATGTTCCCCTGTTCCAAATTGAGGATATTTTGGCTTTAATCCCCAATTCCCCAGCTTAAAGTTGCCATGTTCCCTTGTTCCCCAAAACTCCTGGGAGACCCTCATTAGTTGTATTAAAACTGATGTACGGGAAAGAGGCTTTAAAAAAATATATAATGAAAGATCTTTTATATAAATTCTTACCTTTTTTGTGTTGTTTTTTTAGATTGCAGACCTCAGTGTAGTATGTCATGGACCCTTGTTAACAGAAATTACTTAAAGTGCAGAAATATAACGTCACTCACGCACGTTTTAAAGAAATGTGTCCCTACGATTACGGAAACCTTGTAAGATATAAAGCTATTAGAGACTTTTAAATTCTGAGACCATTACGACTACAAGTACGAGATTTTCTCAGTACTAAGTAGTGCTCGCGCGTAAGCCAACATCATTTTGGCGGGAAAACGTGATAGCCGTCGTCATTCTACTAAGAGTTTTAGCGAGAATGTCGTAGTGGCGGGAACAAGTTATCAAATTTTAGAAGTTAAATCATTTTGCGACCGGGGAAGGGCTAAACCTCCAATTAAAATAACCGCACTAATTTTTCAGGTAAAAAATAGTACAATGAAGTTTCCGGGTTGGATATTTTTCGAGAATAAGCGAAAAAACTTTAAGTTAAATCTCGTAATCGTAGTCATCCTCGTCCTCAAATCTAAAGCTCTCTATTTATGTATGCCAATGGACTCTTGTGAGCTCTACAGCGTATAAGAATCTGTATATCTCCATAGTATCTCCATTCATTACATATCAAATAACTGTAACGTGAAATATTGAAGACATGACATCAGTTCAGATACATGTATGTTAGGCTGTTTGCAGTCCGCCTTTTCTCTTAAAATCCGTCTAGTTCTTATCTCAGCCAGCGCGATTGCAAACCACGACGTTATGTTACAATAAGGGATTGGGACCAGACGACAAAAGACGGACTGCGGACTCTTATTTTTTCCACTCGGGCTTATGCCCTCGTGTTTCGCGTGCAGTTACTTGACAAAGAAAACTAAGAGACTGCTCGCAGTCTACATGTGTGTAGGATGGGATAGACCGTGAATTTATTTAACCTCGGTAGTTTTATCAGCTGCAGGCCACGCAGATTTACATAAAAGCCGTGCATTAACTAATATTATATCCATTAGAATCGTTCAAACGTGTCCGTGCTTTCCAGATCTAATTGGAATTTGAAAGTGTTGGTTTTTAAGGAGAGGGGAAAACCGGAGTACCCGGAGAAGAACCTCTCGCAGCAAGGGAGAGAACCAACAACAAACTCAACCCACATATGGCGTCGACGCCAGGATTCGAACCCGGGCCACATTGGTGGGAGGCGAGTGCTCTCACCACTGCGCCGCTCCCATACTATTAAGAGTGATAAAAACGTTTGTTTTAATTAGGCCAACATACCAAGTATTTTCTTTTTTGTTCGACAGGGATTTATCTTCGAATAATATCCAAAATCTACAGAAAGACGACTTTGCCAGATTGAAAAATCTGAGACAGCTGTAAGTTAACAGAGATCTCTGCCCCAGAGAGCAAACAATGAGAGCTCTCCTGAGGAGAGGAGAACCTCTGAACATTTGGGTACTAATCTTTTGATATACTTGCATTTGTTGCTTGCAAATAACGTTTGCCTTACTGATTTTCTGATAACATTATACTAAGAGTGATAAAAACGTTTGTTTTAATTAGGCCAACATGCCGAGTATTTCTTTTTTTTTCGACAGGGATTTATCTTCGAATAATATCCAAATTCTACAGAAAGATGACTTTTCCAGATTGAAAAATCTGAGACAACTGTAAGTTAACAGTAATCTCTGCCCCAGTCGTTACCAATGACAAAACGCCAAACAAAACAAACAATAAGAGTTCTCCTGACAATAGTAGAACCTCTGAACATTTGGGCACTAATCCAGATGCTCTACCAAAGGCCATCGGTTTAATGACCTCACCTCCCACCTTTCTTATGTGGTTTAGTCCGAGAGCATCTATCACGACTGGTAACTAGCAGGTCAAAGGCTTGACCTCTGTTGGGAGAACAGGTAGTTTCTTTTAGAAAAGGCGCCCCTGTTGCTGCCTGGAGAACATTTCCACATAATAAGGAGGCTGATTTTCAAGCTAAGCTAAAAAAAGGCATCAACATTGATAATTGCAGCTTAATTATCCGACTATCACAAATGGGCAATTTTAAAAATGTTACTTATACAAAAAAACCCTAACATACAGTAGGCAGCTTGACCAAGTAATCAGAGTCTTTGACTTCCAATCCAGATGCGCTGCGTTTAAGTTTCACCCTGACGGCTAGCTGAATTTGTTTAAGGTCACCCAAGTTTAAATCCTCGACCACTCTTGTGAATAGCCACCTTACCAATAAGGTGAGACGTGAATCACAAGTAGTGGATCGTTACTAGCTTAACATCAATCCCTTCCAACTTTGAATCTCAGGCTAAGGATTCGCCCTGTTAGGTTTGGACTGCCTATTTTAGTAGTTTGGTCTTTGTTCCCGAATGAACATCTTGACGGGGAATGTCGATTTTAAGTAATGGTGCATGTTGTCGTCTTAATCAGGGAGTATTTACTACAGAAAAGCTTTCTCTCACGTCAAAGCTCTTGTCTTGATTCCAAATGACTCTTTCAGGGTCCTGTCTTCTAACGCCATTGGACTTTTGCCAGAGAATGTGTTTGCCTCTCTTGAAAATCTTGAAGAGTTGTAAGTTATTTTGTTCAAATAATTATCTGTAGGAAAAGATTTGGAACATTTGCTCTTTGTAGTCCATTACAACATATAGATTTAGCCAGGGCTAAAAGCGAAGCCTCCGTTTACATACTCATAATATAAGCAATTAATAAATATGATAAACGCTAAGCTACTAAAAAAATCCTCTTGAGGGAGGGGGTGAGTGATTACAGGAAAAAGGATCCGGCAAAATACCTGAAATGACAACTCTCCCATCAAACTAAGTCTTATGTTAACAGTCAAAAAAATCGTTTTAATGCACGAAACTCTTTGGTAGCAGCCAATTTACAGGTTACGATTTCTAGCGTCAAAGTGGCGCTTTAGCATCGCCGACGACGACGGCAGCGAAAACGTCACTTTTAAAGTGAATTCGCGTTTCGTCAAACTTTGTCGCGTTTATTCCAATTCGCTGAAAATGTCAAATGTATATAGGCGAATTTTCATGGGGGTTGATTTCTTGGGGAATTAAATAACAACTTATGGGCGTAACTAATATGAACGCTAGGACCCTAAATGAAAGTACCCCAAACCTTGTAGTTTTTATGACAGTGCGCAATTACGTTATCTGACTTGTCACTGCGAGAACTTTTACTGCACCTTTCCGTTGTTTTGAACCAGGTAATGCTTACAGTAAATTGAAGAGCAGATAACTGAGGTGGAATTAGGGGTCGTCATGACCAATGTACCGACCGTTCCAGTTCAGTGGCCACAATAATCACCTGCTGGTTCTAAAACAATGGAAAGGTGCACTAAATCGGAAAATGCCCTCGCCCCTTGGATAATAACCTCTCGCGTCTTAAAAAAAGGCCTCAGACATTACCTTATGTACGTGTATAATTAATACCTTTAATCTAAATTTATAGCATCATTCACTGAAGGGTAAACAAAATTTGCATCAAAGCCGGAACACCTTGAATGCCTGCTCGTTGATTTTAGTGATTTCTCAAATTAACCAGTAACAAAATATTTTATTTTTAGGAAGATGGTTTCAAATAAGATACCAAAGCTACCGGAAAGCATCAAAAACCTGAAAAAGCTAGAATTCCTGTATGTAAAAAAAACAGTATAGCCGGGAAACACGGGAAATATTATTATTTTGGTATATCTCTGAAATATTATACATTTAATGTCAGATCCCGAAGGAAACAGTTAGTTTTGTTTTCCCGAGAGTCCTGATGAAGACGAAGTCGAGGGAAACACCAGGGCTCGAGGGAAAACAAAACTAACTGGTTACCCGAGGCTTCGTGTTTGTGTTGTTGTGTTTATTCACAAAAAAGAAAACTGGCAGGACCTGGCGGTGTTTTTCCCGCCTTTTTTCACGCCACTTTCCAACATGCTTTTATCACGTGCTCTAATGTAGCCCGAGCGGGGTACATTGCTTAATGTATCACATCACTGTATCGCGGGCTCAATTGTACAAATTATTCAGCTCACGTGTTTGTTAAAAGTACGCACTGACCAGTTATTAGTTTAATATTAGTTTAATTTAATAAGTTTAAACTTATAAACCTCGTCCCTTCGGTCATTACAGGCGAATCTCAGAACTCGGCCTTGATGTATTATGACCTCACTCTTGGTCAATAAGTGGTATTTAATCCTTCAAATTTTACTTTTTAATTGTAAAACTAAAATAAAAGATAGATAGGCAAGGGAAATAATTAACAGAAAAGGCGTCGAGGTGTCACCTACTAAGATAGGAAGAGTGTCGGTCTCGCCGTGTGAAGATGAGTCTTTGGCTGAGATGTTGATGTAGATATCGCTGATAGCGTGGATGCTTGCTGTGGGAATCCCGTAGGCCCTCATTTATAGAGACAGGCGGACTAGAACGATTTTTTGATCATGTGACGCATGCTTTTAAAATGTTAGACTTGTTGATCATTGAACAGTTAGCGTGGTTAGTAATGCATCAAATAGTGAGAGTCTGAGATGATAGTGAGAATTTGAAGTGGCAAAAGGGTTTGGATCCACATTACATAAGCAAACTGTTTCCAAAAAAAGATCGGAGGAAACAGGGACAGCATGGCAGCGAAGTTTCTTGTTTAGATCAGCTACAAAACAATTATTGGCTGAGGTTTTTGTAATATCCGGAATAATAAAGGTCGAAGTAGGTGTTGATAACGCTTACCGAGACCTTGATTATTTGGATATCACAAAAACGGAGTCTTAAAATCGTTTTATTGTACATTGTTTTGAAGGAAATAACGACAAACACACTTTCGCAAGGAACCTGAATTGATATTGTTATTGGAAATCATGCACTACGCACGCAAACTACAGATTAGTCAGTAATTTGCTAGCAGCTAACTAACCAATTGGTAGGTTGCACTGATTTCCAAAATTTTGCTTTTAGCCAATGAGAAGACAGATAGTATGTACAATGTATGATAGATCTATGATAAATTGAGGAAATATGTGACTTAGGTTGTGAAGCTGTTGTAATCAACTAAAGTTGCTCTTCTTTTACAGGAATTTCGCCCACAATGCTTTAACAACTATTCCTGGGCGAATGTTTTCTAACATGACGTACCTGTTCGGATTGTAAGTTACCAGTGTCAAATGTGACGATCAAACAGAAGGGAGTAAAGCTTCGGAAACAAAGGACTAATTGGCAAGGGTTGCAAAATTTGGAATAAAATCTTCTCGTTAACGACTGTTTAATCGTCTCATCTATGTATTAATTATTTTATTGGTCCGTTTTTGTTATATTTTTAACGTTTTGCCTCTTTGATGCTTTGATAATTACGCCAGATATTCACTTCCTAAATTAAAGTAATTTAACTATTCTTCCTTTACATTGCACTTTTGAGTCACTTATCGTCGCAAATTAATTCCTATTTGCCCCCACCTGTAAGAAAATTTTAACAGTAACCTCGTTTTATTCACACCTGCCATACTTGAAAAATCAAAGCTCTGTGACGTCAGCTGTGTCTGTTCTCCGACAGATTACTGAGGATCGATCAATGCACGCGTATTATAACGCGTATTCAGTATGTTGTATACAGTGGAACCCCGTTAATACGACCGCCTTCGGGGCACGGAAATGTGGTCGTATTAACGGGGTGGTCGTTTTAACGAGATAGGGTCTCAATATGGTGCAACACGCTTTAAACATGTACTGCGCTTGAATACCTTTACTTCCGCTATAAATCAACATTTTTTCAACTTGCCAACGCAATTTATTCCAACTCAACAATATGTAACAATGACGTCTTTCAGTTCCTTCATAGTACAGGATAAGGCCTCTTTTGAAAAGACCTATTCTCTATATATTCCCTATATATTCGAGGAACCAGACTTTATATATTCTCTATATCAATTAAACATGCTATTAAAACTACAATAATGTCTGCCTAAAAACATTCAATTAGCGGGATAATTTTACAAGGAAAATAATAACTGAAGACTCCAAAAGGTGTTCGTTGGTCGTAGTAACGGCGTTTTCAAATAATAGAATTTGTGGGCTTTTCTTAGGGCTACAAAAAGTGGTCGTAATAAAGGGGTGGGCGTAATTAACCGGGTAGTCGTATGGTGAATCGATCCTCCGTAGACGAAAGAAAGAGCACTGTGAGATCACATCAAGTTTTAGAGCGTTATTATATGACATCAGCAAGGCCATGCTGTTTTGCGGAAAACTTTTTGATGAAAAAAAATTGATAGTAAATAGAATTGAAATAGCTTTGGCATAGGAGTCCCAAACCAATCTGTAAAATCTGGACTCTTTTGAACGCCATTTGCTTAACCGTTGACCATGTAAGTGAAAGTGCTTTAATCATCAATGTTATTTTTCCTAATTTTTGACAGGTATTTATGGCATAACCGTATAAACGTTTTATCTAAAGAAGCATTTATCAATTTGAGTTACCTGCATTTGCTGTAAGGGGACAGATTTATACCTTAATTCAATATACATGACATGGTTGAAATAACGCTTCAGGTTATAGTCAATTTTCTAAATACAGTAGAGCAACACTCTCCTTAAAGACAATGATGTAAAGCTACAATCACCTACAAAAATAGTTGACACGTATCTTACCACCTAACATAATAACCCCTCTGCCTATGTAGTGTTTCATATTAGGCAGCGGCGTACACTGCAAAACAAACCAGAAAACTGTTTAGGAGGGGCCATATTCAGAAGTATCAAAAGAAGCTAATTCTACCTGATCATAAAGCCGAGCACTTAGTACACTTAAATCTATCCATCGTAGTCATTCCGGAGAATATCAGCCATAGTGTTAGAAGCACTCAACCTCGCTGACATTTAACAACCAGCTAGATGTTTCCCGACAGGATACTGGATGCGTCTTGCTGCGTTCAGGGACGTTGCTAGTAAACTATTAGCGGCAGATACGAGAAGAAATGCGGGTTTTTTGGGTGTTATTGGATTATGGTATTCAAATAGACAATATCATAAAAGAGACGATGCAAAATGGGTGGGAGCGGCAAAGGCCCTAGAAATCTCAAAACAAGGACGTCTTTTAAGTGGTATTATTGATATTTTTTCATGATGTACAAGGTTTGTTCTAGGCATAGTAATTGATATTTCGCGTTCCCTAAATTTTGATAGTGATTCGCTAACCAGAGGGTTATCAGCTTTCGAAACAATGAGATCTTTGTCTCAATCACTAGTTTGCATAGTTGTGTGTATTGAACGTGAATTAAAGTACGCACGGTTAAAGGAGAAAGGAATGTATACTGTAGTACTTGTAGCTTAAATTCAATGGCGTTTTTAAGCTAAAAAAAGGTGTAAAATGCTTAACTTAGGTCTTTACTTTGTTACATAAACCTTCAGTCATGTCAAATGAAGATTTGTGGTTCCTTTTTGTTACATGCAGGTATTTGTCTTCAAACGCCCTTACATCATTACCCGAAGGAGTTTTCGCCAGTCTAGAGCGACTAGCTATGCTGTAAGTCGCGCAAAACTGTGACTTTTTTCTCGCCGGTTTTAGATGAGCTTGCAGTTCAGTCTCTTTTGATAATTATGATTCATGTTATGTTTCTTGCAAGGAATGCATCATGAATGCACCTGGATATTTAAAGGGGCAATGTCATGATGATATTACTGGCTCTGGTCAATTCTGTGCTGAAGTCGTTACTTAGTGCCTTTACACATACACAAAATACTCCTGTAGAGTTATCAAGTCGATATCATTGAATTTCACCAAGGAACACTAACCTAGCCTGAATTTCAGACGTCCCCTCGAATCGAGCACACTCCAGAGAGGGATGTCTGAATCGCCAAACAGTCCCATATGCTACGTAAAATTATGAGAAATTTAAGGGGGATTGTCTTTGACATTCAGCGGATCGCATGCGCTGGTGGAGCTCAAACTTTCGACAATCTTTATCGTAAACAGCAAAATAGCCATTGTCGTCGAAACTATATTTGTTGAATTGAACCGACTTGACTTGACTTGACTTGACTTTTCGCATTGATTCTTCATTCGTAGTCACTACGAATGAAGAATCAATGCGAAAAGTCAGTGGGTTTCATTTAGAGACGATTTGTGCTTAGTTTTGGCATTCATTTCGTTTATGGGAGATTTATAATATGCTTGTGTCGAGCTAGCAAAATGTCGAACTTCCTTTCATTTCCAATGTGAAGTGCAATGATTTTGTTAGTTTTTCTTTTTTGCTTGCTTGCTGTCTGTCTTCTTCGTTAAGGTTGATTTATAAGTGTCCGCGATCGAGTTTTATTTTTTGAATTATGTCGCTATTCAAGCAAAAGATTCGTTCATAATACTGTATGTAGTTAACAGTTTGCGCGTTTAACACATGACGATTCAAGACTAAAACAACTCTGTACCATATAGACGTACCTTTCCTGACGATATTTCTTAGCTTGCCGAAAATCTTTTTTTTTGCATGAATTTCCTTCCGGGAGTATGTGACTCGAAAGGGACGTCTGGAATTCAGGCTTGCACTAACCATAATATTGTTTTCGGTGATTTTTGCAGGCGTGGCATTAGAACTTGAAAGCGTTGGCCCATGCAACTTTTTCAAGTCTCAATCCATGCCCATCCTTCCTATCCCTTGCAAAAGACGACAGGAAATAGTTTTAATGCCTAAATATAGTCTTGAATAACTGAACTGGACCATTGTTTTGGTATTCAATTGTGGCATAAAATTATAGCAAATTATTATTATTGCATATCCATAATAGACTATTGGTTCTTTTTCATTCGCGAAACCCATTAGCCATGTATTCGCTATAATAACCACATAATTATTATCTTAAGTTTAAAATATGTCATTTGAAAAACTTCTACGCAGATATTTGTCTTCAAACGCTCTAAGAGTGATACCTGAAGGGATGTTTGCTAACCTGAGCAATTTACAACTACTGTGAGTAACATTAACTGAACTTTGTGAGCGTAGCTTGCACAAAAAGTTAACTGTTCTTCCATATAAGCAGACTATTGTTTTGAAAATATCGGCACAATGCATTCTGCTTAAAATCGCTTGGCAGTCCCGATAACTTGCTTTTAGGATGTACTTGTTAATAAACTTTCGTCTCATCTATTTTTGTTGATCATGTTTTATTTTTCATTTTAAATATTAGTATTTTCCCTTTCAATAGATTATATTTGTTTCCTTTTGACGAAGATGATAAAATCAATAAAAGTAATGTGGAAACAAAAAATTGAAACACCTTATAATAAACAGTTGTTTAAACTGGTGGAATTTAACCAATAAAAAAACCAACAAAGAAAAAAATTGGACCCTAAACCGTTGACTAATACCGTAAATTTCCGAAAATAAGCCCCTCCATGTATAAGCTGCTGCAAAGATAACCCCCCCAAACTCATAACGCTATTAACCCTCCGTTAAATCGCCCCTCCAAATACAAGCCCCTCTGGGGCTTGTACTTGGAAGTTGCCCTCAATAGACCAATTCGGCTAACTCAATGTTATACCCAATTCAAACCCTTTAGGAATAAAACTTTTTGTTTTAGGAATTTCCATATCATTTAAATGTGACTGCCACCTTATAATGCAAATACAGTGCACAAAGAATCTTAACCCCGAGAGATCTGAATTGGGTACAACATTACGTTAGCCGAATTGTTCTATTTTACAAAGTAAAACAAAGCAAAAACAGTAAATTTCCTGCAACTAAAAGGCCGCCCAATCGATTTTGAAACGTAAATTTCCCTCGGTACATAAGCCCTTCCGAATATAAGCCCCTCAAAAAGAGCCTATGAAAAATATAAGCCCCGGGGCTTATTTTCGTAATTGTACGGTATTTAAATTACAATAAGGTGATGTATACTTCAACATTCGCCATTGGCACAACTCCCATAACACTCCTTGTATGCCCTTAAAGTTTTGAATAACCTCCGTTAGTTTAAATGTCTCCTTGGTATTGAATGTCCCTGGAATAATTGAAGACAATGCTTATGCAAACTTTTTTTGGCAAACAAGGTGCCTTATGGGAGACCTGCAAATGACTAATTTTACTTTAATTTTTTCTCAGAGACCTTTCGTTGAACAAAATAAGGGAACTACCTGTAACTACCTTTGTCAACCTCGGTAAACTACATTTAATGTAAGTAATAAAAAACACAGCCTACAATCATTCAATAAAATTTTAGAAAAAAATGCAGAGGCACAAATGTTATTATCATCATCAAATTTAGTGGCATTTTTAAACAACAAGAACAATGCGATTTTTTAATGGAAGGATGACACTGGCAGAAATGCTCATTAAGACAAATTAGACGTAGGATAATGTTCATCGGCCCTTCCTAAAGAATGTGAAACCACTGATCATGGAGAAGAAAACATTTAACGGAACTATCTTCCATTTCTAGCCATCTCCCTTTCGGGTTGAAAACGCTTCCCGTTCGAAAAGATTTGAAAATGGGGATAATGGATTTATTGAAAAATGGAACAAGGGAGATGAGAAACAGGCAGCCGTATATTATTAGCCCCGTTTGTTCGGTCCTTACTGCAAATTACGGATCCTCTTTTTTTTTTCATCGATGAAAACTACTGGGTCCGTAATTTACAGGAAGGACCAAAAACTCGCCTAATAAGAGGTATTTATATTATATACCAGAAAAAAAAAGGTAATTTGGTTCTGATATTAACAACTTACTTGCAAAGGAAGAAATGACTACCGGCGAAAGGTACTGCTTAATTCTACTGATTTATTAAGCTTTGGTTTCCGTAGAAATATTTCATCAAACGCCTTACCCGCGCTACCGAAACACGTCTTTGCTAGTCTAACAAGCCTGTTTACACTGTAAGTGGGAACCTACTCCTCGCATATATTTTTTATCCTACATTAGCATTATTATTATTATTGTTGTTTTTGACAAACAATTTTCTTAGCGTTTATCAATTTTCTTTTTTCTGGGAAAAAACTCTCCTTTAATGGCAAAAAATCGGATTACTCGGGTGCTATACAAGTGAAGACGATTTATCCTACTGATGTTAACAACATTCTTTGCGCCTCTGATTGGCAGAAACGTCAATGGCGTATAGAAAATTCTTAAATGCTTTTCAGTGAGTGCATCTAAGTACGTATAGTATGTAAAGTGTGTAAAGTATAGTATGTAAAGTAAAAATAAACCGTTGCTATTTTTAGCTCTTGTCAAATTGAATTTCATTGAAATAATAAGTAACTTTAATATACGATGCCAGTTTATTTATTAAGATGTTTTCAAGTGTCCAGTTTTCGTCTCACGATCCACGCGCTCCAACGAACCGTTTTCGTCGTACGATCTTTACGCTCCACAGACAGTTCTCGTTTCTTAAGTATTCGATAAGACAACGCTTCTTGATCACTTGCAGGGACTTGTCTTCAAACGTTTTTTACGACACTTCACTGCCTGATGGCTTGTTTGATAAAGTACCTGCTCTGACTAGACTGTGAGTAGTTAAAATGGCGACAGTCTACAGTCTATGTCATGTTTATTCTGTTGACAATTTTAAAAAAAATTTGAAGACGCACTTTTTAGTAACGATTTTTATTCTTAATAAGGCTTTTTGATATTGTACATGACACATGACGTAATTCTTATTTACCATCTCGTCATGAAAACTGTGCCATATAAATTCTTAATTCTTATTATTATTATTATTATCATGTTTAGCAGGATATACGTTTCTATTTTTTAATCCACTGTTATGTTATTTAGAACGGAGTAGTTATTTTAACAAACTAACCAACTAGCTAACGCCACTTATTACTTGCCTGTACTAATTTGCTAACTGACTGACGGATAGAAAAAAACTTTTGATAGTTGAGCACCGTCTTATCTGAAAAACCTGTTTATTTTTTAAAGCATGTGTAGGATTCTTATAACAGCCCAACAGAACAATAAGTTTAGCTGATTTTTTCCAGGCATCTGTCCTCAAATTTCCTAACAATGCTTTCTGAAAGATTGCTTGCAAACGTGCCAAACCTTGAGTATCTGTAAGTCAACATGAGTTTACCAACAGCACAAATAGTAGGCGTGTGAATTTAAACAAAATGCGAGGCTGATCGTACAGCTCATGGTAAAAGGGGTAGTTTTACTGTAAAATTATTTAATTAGACCAAAGTATTTGTTCGTCGCAAAAAAGCAGTCGCACCACATATTACAATACAAATGAAAAGAACATAATATCACGTCAAGAAGTTGTCACGAAAGGGCCAGCACAATTTTGCAGATATGGCAGTGGCATCAACGTCCTACAATAAAGCTGAGTCATTTCTCCTGAGGAAAAAGGCGCTCTTTCGATATTGACGGGAACGGGAAGAGCCGGGAGATTTACCCATATATGCACACAGAAAGGGCTTCAGTATATTTGTGTGCTTAATTGACCAAGTGCGAGGTCAAGATCACCGGAGTAAAGGAAAAGGGAAAAGAGAAAGAATAACACGCCGTACGTGTGGTGTAGTCTTTAAGGATTAAAGTCTAATAAACTTTGTTGTGAAATGTCTGGAACGCTCCTCTAGAATAAGGGTTGGGATTCCGATGAACTGCTAAACACCATAAACCAAAAAAAAACAACTTTATGTTTTGATTTTTTTTTCCAAAAAGTTTTGATTGCAGATTTTTTTCTAAACAAGGACGATGAAGACTCTTTCATTATAAAACCATTTTCTTTTTCTCGTCGCCAGATTAGAAACGTATTTGTCAGTGAAAAAGCCGGGTATCTTATTTCTTACAGGGACATATCATCAAACGAGATCAGTCTTTTACCGGATGGGGCGTTCACAAAGCTAAGATCTCTTAAATATTTGTAAGTGAAATAAGGGCATTAAATCTTTTTAGACAAGTGTATCTTGATGTTTAGTTTAACAAAATATGTTTCTTCCAGATTTTTACAAAACAACAACTTATCTAGGATATCAAACGTGACTTTTTCCGGAAACAGAGATCTTTTTTACGTGTAAGTATTAACCATAGTCATCCTTCTACATGTCATCCAAAGTAATGTAACACTCATCCAGACGTAGAAATGAAAATTCCCTTTTAGTTAGAAGTGGAACCTTCGGGACACCTGTATTATTCAAGGTACACCATCTTCAGGTGACACAAAATTTGTCCCGGAAAAATGTTCACATAACTTTTCCATCTGTGACCTCTTTTGAAGGAACACCTTTATTCAGGGGAAAGGGGCACTTAGGGGACACCATTTAGGGGACAGCTTAGCACTGCGTTGACAAGTGTACACTAGTCACAATGATGACACTTTTCACATCAGGAACTATCTCACTTAAATCGATGTGTTGCACACAATATCACAGATTGACAGATGACAGATGATTTTGTTTTTGTACGTTATCTAACTCCTTGAAATAATAAAAAAAATGCAGCGGAATAAACAGAAATAATTTATTTATTGGTTAATTATTAACAAACCCCAGTCCAACCTTTTTTCAGGGGCCTTGGTCCCTAGGGTGTCCACCGAATAGAGATTTTACTCTATCAAAATTCATACTTGGCTCCTAGCTTGAGGGTAAAATAAAAGAAAAGAATCTGTAATCCCTCCATCTCAACGCAATTTCTTCCTTTTATCTTATTTCCATTAGCAACTCGCAGCCAGGATTCATAATAATTCGAAGCTGGCGTATTGATTTAAATGATCCCTCTTACCTCAACTTAGATTTTTGAGCGCCAACCGTTTGAAAATGATCCCAAGTGGAGTCATGTTTCTTTATAACTATTTTATCGGTGTGATGTAAGTATTGCATTTGTCTTAGTTTTTAAGCCGCCGTTGTTTCGATTACAATTTTCGTACTGAACGATGTTCATGTATGATAAGCGGTAGTTAATATTCTACTGTAGTTGTAGGCTAAGCTTACTAACAACTTATTCAACTCGAAGACCTTTACTATCATCACTTTACAAGAAACTACACTGAGAGGGGCACCCAACAACCGAATGCTTCCAAATAAGCCAGAATTGTATCAATAGGGTTTCTCTATGCTTTAAAAGCTTGTTTGGTTAATTTGGAGCTGCCATAAAAACTATTTGCATGTTCGGATATCTCAGGGGAATTTACATCGTTTCGAAACTTTTTCGTCACACCCCAAATTGTTAGCAACGTATCCTGAAAGGTCCTATTGAAAGTTAAAGGAAATGTCGTAGTCGTACTTTAATAGACCTTTTTAACTTGTATGTTTTGTTTTCCCAATTCAGACCACGTGATGCTCTTTAGGGAATTTGCCTTTTGTCTTTTCATTAATATACATACATACGCATGTGAGTACACGTGCATAAGACGACAGTTGAAAGAAACAGTTCACGTGGTCTGTAATCGGAAAACAAAACATGCAAGATAAAAAGGTCTATTAAAAAATTATAGGGGACGCTTTGCCTTTATAAAATGTGAAGATCACACACACTCCAACAATCATGGATAAGTTAGTAGAAAAACTGGAATGGAACGGTTTCCAGATATGTTTAGCCGAGCTTTAGAAATTTGTGGGCAATATTTGCTCCTTCGAACAGTTATTATACAGATAAAACGTCGTTAGCTTCCCTCCACTGCAACACATTAACTATGACGAATATATTCACTCTGAAAACGGTTGTGCTTGTGATTGCTGTCCTTGCTTGGCTTTATCCGACGCAGAGTGACAACGGCAAATCGTCTTGACTAGGGAGGAGGGCTTGCACCATCTTAATTTTGGCTTCATTTATTTTTCAAAAGTCTACCAAAATACAGATGAAACCGAGGATTTGTGATGAAGATACAATCATCAAGAAGACAAAAATATTTATATCCGAACAAGAAGTCCTCTTTATTTAGTAAATGGCTTGGTTTTTTAACGGTAGCTGCACCTTAAGACCTGTATCTTTTACGTGCTGACCGTTCACATTTTTCGTTTCCATTTATTTTATTGTTTTTAGAATGTTGTCTGATAATCCCTTAACAGCAATTGAACCGAAGGCAATTAGGATTCCCGACAGTGGTTTGAGCTTGTACGTTTTATTTAGACTTATTTTTGGAGCATAAGTACAGTTGACTCCAGATAACTCGTACCCTAGAAACAAAGTCGCACTCGAAACAAATAATGTTTTTATGGTTATGTCAAAAACATTTCATTGTTTTGAATTAACAGAATTTTAAACACACGAAGCTCATATCCATTTCAAAATTTTGGCCTTGGGTTTATATTTTAGAAAAATATTCTTAAAATGTGTTAAATTTCAACCCCGATATATCTTATAAAATGTATTCTTATATAAAAAAGAGTTAAGTTATACATTGACCTTGTAAAAACATGGAATTGTTTAATGTTTAGAAAATTTATTAATATATAATACCCAAAAACCTAGTTACAGGTTCATTCCCATTGCGTTTTAGCAAGTACATGTACTTTTTTTTGTCGGAATAATTTTTTTTTTCTACCTCCGTAAAGGTCTTGTATACACATTTAAGTGATGACAAGTTCAGTGTGTTTAAAACACAATAACAGTTTTGTACCTTGGCATTTAGAGGAGTGCTGAATTTCGTGTGATGTTCTACAAGGCGGGGTTCGTAAAAACCTGTCTGTTTGTTCTACGTATTCTACTTTACAGGCAGGGTAGGGTAATGTGCAGATCATACGGGAATTAAGGTCTTGACGTACACGATAGTTTGAAGAGCAACAACAACAACTTTATTGTCTTTATCTTCGACACGAAGATTTCAGTACCAAAACAATGACAAATGAAGAAAGTAAAATAAAAGTTAAGTAAGAAAGAAAGGAACAATTGAATATTATCACAAAAGAAAAATTACTTGGCTATGTACGGCTTCTACGCTACTTGTATGGTAAGAAAGTTTAATTAGAGTTCGGATGCATAATAATTTAGAATATTTTCAATATAAGAGGCACTGTGATTTATTTTTTCATCGCACATAGACATGAAAATAGTGCCCTGCAAGACATATTCGTAAAATTACTGTTTATCGAGTATAAGCTCTCCAAGAAGATCCCCCTTATATGAGAAAGTGATGAGTGGGTACATTTCAGTTAGAAGAGCAAAAAGTTTAGATTTTTGACGGAAAACTTCGTGCCGTTCGATTGGAGCTTCGCCAAAACCGTTCCAGGCAAAGAATCTCTTTATTAGGTACATACCTCTTTTTAGCTGGGTCGCGCTTGGGCCATGAATCGATGGAGAAAGAGGCCATCAGTAATTTTAAATATGGACCTAGAAAACGAGGTTGAAAAGACAAAAACATGCTTATTATATATGGGTTCCTCTTTGGGAGACCGGAAATAGGAAGAAGACAAACGAATTGCTACTTATTTGACAGCCCTCAGAAAGTGAAAGTCTCTATTAGCTCAGAGAAACAATAGTGCAATGCAAGGGCTTCAAAAGTGAAATCAAAATGTAAATGCGCCGTGTTGACAAAAGTACAGTTCTGTCAGAACTAAGAGCACTGCAAGTCCCAGCTCGACAATTTGACACTGGAATATACGAATATTACGTTTGACTCGAAGTCGCTTCTATCATTCGTTCGCAAAAAAACGGCAAGTGGCAAAGAAGCCTGTCAAGATCAGACTCAGAAACGTTTGTCATGTCAAAGGAATCTCGCTTACTTCTCTAAAAGCAAAATTTCTTGAATATCCGCCAGTCCATTCTATCCTTCTTAACTCTGTTTTGCACTTTTTGACCTGTGATAAAATTTTCAATTTCCTGACTAGAATATTCTTTTTCGATAAGATTACATTTCAGTGTTTTCATTCACTTCGTTTTAAAATAACCAGGTTAAAATTTAGAAGGACGAGGACATCTTCCAATTTGTAGCTTAAAAACTAACATTTGCTATTGAAATTTTACTTCGCACGGTAAGTTAAGAATCGCAAATTGTCCAGTTGCAAGGCTTCAATAGGGTTAGCAATATTATAAACTTTCTTGTTAATGTATCAAGTGAGTAAAAATGGGTAGCTTTTTAAAAGAATATGTTTTGTCCATTTTAAACAACACTTTGTAATAACATTGTTAGAAAAATTAGCATATATTGAAAACAAAATCATTTTATCTTATTTCCTTGCAGATATTTGCTGCGAACTAATCTAAAGACATTGAATCCTGAGTCTATCGTTGGCTATCCAGCACCAGGATCAGACAGTAGCAGCTTTCTTGGCAGCTTTTTTTCCACAGTGTAACGTATATAAAATGTGATTTACAGAAACAACAACCTTCAAATTTTCCTGGCTCCAGAGGTCCCTTCTTGAAATACTCAGGATGAAGTAAACCGTGCCTAGGGTTTGATGGTTTGGATTAATTTAGGTTTCTGAGAAACTTCCCACCGACCCCTCCCTTAAGCCATCATTTTGCCCTAAGTGAGAAGAAAGGGTGAATGTTAGCTTGGGGGAGGGGTAGGTGGGCAGTTTCCTAGAAACCTAAATTAATCGGATGGTTTTAGGTAAGAAAAAATAACCTCTGGAATCCAGGGTATCTTCAATTAATAGGAAGCAAAAGTATTCGTTAACGCTGAGGAGATTATCCGGAGATTATCAGTTTTCGGGAACAGAAAATCACGATGTCAAAATAACTGTGCAGGCGTACTTTCATAAGAAATTTATTCCGTAAATGGTCTTGCACTTTCTATGTGTGCCATACATTGTTTGATACGTGTTTGCTGATTTTTTTTGATGAACTTGAATGAGATACCTGTTAAATTCGTTCAAAGCTATAGAAATGTTTTGTTTCTGGAACAAAGCACCTTACAACTTCCTCCAACAAAGAGTGTCGAATCTGCTATCTCACGAATTAGAGAATTTGGACATGGAAGTCTAACTTGTGTTTAATTCACTTTTGCGAAATGTTATTTTAGGGATGCTAAGAGAGTTTCATTTTCCTTTTTACACGTAACATGTTCCCTGTTATTGTAGTCTTTGTCGTTGTTGTTGTTTTTTTCCACAGGGTGATGAAAGATAAGAGGCTAAGGACAATTAAATATTATTACCGTGGAGGCGGGGCTGATTTTTTAATATATCTGTCAGTACAACAATTGAGACTTTATTTGAACTCGGGGATTTTTGTTAAAAATCCTAAAGAAAAGTGCTATTATTACCACGGATTTATGTTTTATCGCCAGGTAGTGGCCGGGGGGCTGTTTTTTTTTCATTCCATCTATGGGGGCATCTCTTGTTTCACTTCCGAAATGATTTTAACGCTATAAACCATGAAACTAGGAACGGAAACTGGTACAAGAAGTTTTTAAGGTGAAATTTTCGGTTAAAAAGCTTTCATCTTTTACGCCTAACCCCTTTGAGACCCTTTTGTTTACCTTGATCACAGGCTACCCAATGCAAAAAACGGAACAGTTGGTAGTAATATGTAACAAACCACAACTTAACGACAACTCAAGGAAATAAACCAAACCCTGTGCAAACCAGCAGAGTATGACCTATTATTTAACGTAATTTACCGTTCGACCAAACTCTTTTTGTGAGAATGTTTTTTTTTTCTAATTGCATGAGGATAAAATCATTTTCATATCAAATGCTACGCCCTTAGCTTGGTTTCAAAACAGGGGTTTGAGAAAACTAAGAAACGGCCGATTAAATAAAAACTTAATTTCTTTCCGTATAGATATCCCCACGAGTCAAAATCACAATCGATTGTGGTGTATAACAGTCACAGGGAACCAGCCAGAAGCCTAATTTCTGCTCTTTCGGCCTCGGGATTCAGACAAGTTTCTGGCGATCAACCGAGCAATGTCGGACCGTTCTTTTTATCATACCACCTGCCATGTCCTGTTGGCACATTCTCCAACATAACTTCTCAAGGAGCCGAAGGATGCATACCCTGCCCCCCAGGTAACAGAGGTTCCCATTCATACTTGACATTCCTGTCCTGTCACCGTAGTCATCATGTTGTATTATAATGTTCAATTAAACCCTAGTTCGGTATTCACTACACACAGGGGCGGATCTAGGATTTTTTAATGGAGAGTGGCTCATACCAATCGATCACCAAATTACACGTTAATTTGTCTTAAGTTGTCCTACGTTCATCCCAAAACATGGCGATTTAGAAAGGACAAATTGGTGACTTTAACACTGCAAACTCTTGGAAAGCCACAACATAGAAAAAATAGAAGCTAATAGAAATACCTTACTAACCTGGTCGGCCAAAGGTGAAGACGCCGTCATTCGTCCAGGGTACAGCGCCACAAATTTCTGACAAACTACACTTCTCTCGATGGTTCTGCATTTGCATGCATGCATGTATTTCTATTTTTTGGACCAACGTATTTCCGTTTGTTTTTCCGTGTATTAATTTTTTTTTAGGTGGACTTTTTTTAGGGGGGGGGCGGGGGCTAGCCAGCCAATCCACCCCTTCGATCCGCCCCTGACACATCCACTTCTGTACGGGACATTCCCTTATCCATGTTTAATCAACGTTTAAGGAAATCTCTTCAGTTCACTACTGTGAACGCAAGTTCCTTAAGGCTCTCTAGACTGTCATTTCCCCGATCTTTTTAAGTACACTGTACAATTTGGTTGTCACGTTCTTTGCTTGTGTTGTTTGTTTATTTGTTTCTTTGATTCTCCCTTTGTTTGTGTGAGCTATTTGTTACGTTGCTTGCGTATGTCGGCATCTATTTAATTAGCTCTTTGGAATATGTAAACTATATAGTTTAAGCGCTATATAAATAATAATTCTTTATCTTTAAATCTTTATGTACCAATATTGTACATATGAAACTTGTTTTTGTCCTTTGCTTTCAAGAGTCTTCGATATCTTTGCGGTAAACCATCTAAACTGGTAATCAGAAAGTCCTACGTTCGACTCCTGCTGTGCAGTGGTCACTCGTCTTTTTGGTTTTGAAACAAGAGCGATCAAGAAACCAAAACCTCAACAACATACTTCAAGTGCAAATATATAGTTTTAAGGATTTATGGAAAAATATTAAGTTTCACAGTAAGACACTCTAAGGCAAATTAATATTATACGAAGGTGGCTTTTCAAAGGGGATTCAATATGATGACAAAGCCGAAAAATTTGTTAAGAAAGAATAAGTTGAGGCAACATTTTTAAACACTAATAAGACCGACCTAGAACTTTCCAACCATTGAATGTCTCAACATATACTAAAGATTTTTTATATGATACATATGTTTTTCTGATACACATGTTTTTTTTAGGTGGGTTTTACTCCGATGATATTGGATATGTGGGCACAAGCTGTAAAAAATGCCCCAACGGTTCTTTTGTTGCCTTGAATAAAGCACCAGGAAAACTAGTTCAAGATTGCAAGACTTGTCCTCTTGGTAAATAGCTACAATAAGTATACTTTTGTTATGTTTCCAGTGTTTGTTTGGTTGGTGGCTATTATTTTATATGAATTTTGTGCGACTTACAGTCTGACAATTTTTATCCATGAATAGGTCATTTCCCAGATCCAAAAGCTCTCACTTTCAAAACGAGGCTAAGTGCAAAACCTTTCTTGTGAAAATGAGTTTCATTTGCATCAATGGCTTTGTAATTAGCCTCACTTTGAAACAGAGACTTGAGGCAACTCTGAAGTGGCGTATTGTTCTGTTGCTTATTTTAACAGGAACAAACAGTGACGCCCATGCGGGATTACGTGCTTGTAAATGCCTGGAGGGATATTATCGGACTCACATGTTTGAACTGTGTCGAAAATGCGAAGATGGACTAAACTGCGAGAATGGATATGCTACTTTGAAACCTGGCTATTGGTGGAAATGGAGAAATAACAGCCTTAAAGACCGCTACCGAGTTTTCATAGCCAATCTCTTATCATCTTCGCCATCATTTGATAAAGAGGACGTGCAATATGCGTATCCTCTACCAACTCCACATAAGTGTCCAGGAAGAAAGTCATGCAAAGGTGGCATGGATTCCTCTTGCGAGGATGGCTACAAAGGCCCCCTTTGCAGCGTGTGTTCAAAAGGGTACTTTAAACAATTTCAACGATGCAGGAAATGCCCGACAAAGACGTGGATTGTCGCCCAGATGTTAATAGTTGCTACAGTTATTTTGATCATTATTGCAGTTTGTGTTTGGACAAATAAGATGAAGAATAAGAAAGGAGGGGAGAGCTCTTTAGCAGATTCTTTCTTGTCCAAAATCAAGATTGCAATTGGATTTTATCAGGTGACGTATGGTTTGCTTGAGGCCTTCTCATACATTGAATGGCCAGAGTCTTTACGAGCAATTGGCAAGTATTCAAAAGTACTCCAGCTAAACATACTTGAGATGGCTCCAATTAACTGCTTTTTCGAGAGCCTACAAGTGGATGCTTTTGCCAACTTACTTTCAATAATCGCAGTTAATTCTGCCATCATCATCTGTGCAGGCCTATGTTACGGAATAAGAAGAGCTGTTATCTCAAGGAAAGAAGATATGGATATCGAGCAAAAGTTAAAGGAACTGTCACAAGCTAAAGAAACCACGTACAGAAATCTGTTCTTTTTCCTGTACATCACCTACCTTAGCACGTGTTCTAAGACAGTAACTGCTTTGCCCCTTGCATGCCGGGAACTTTGTCAAGACGAAAACGAGGACTCTTGCACGAAGTACCTGAAAGCCGATTATAGCATACAATGTCATGGGCCTTTGTTCAATAAATTGGTTATCGTGTCATATTTCTCCTTAGTTTACGTTGTTATTCTTCCTTTCGCCACATTTATTGTTCTTTGGAGAAAGCGAACTGTAATACTTGAGGAAAAGCCTAATGGTCTAGACCCAAGAACTGAAATGATCAAGGGTTTGCAATTCCTTTACGAAAATTACAAAGCTCGTTCATGGTACTGGGAACTAATAGAGACGTCTCGTAAAGTAATCGTCACATCTGGTTTGATACTCGTGGGGCAGGAAAGCAGATCATATATTGGCTTAGCATGGGTCATTGCTGGCATATATGGAGTGTACTTTGCCTGGAATCGTCCGATACAAGACGCCTTTGAAAATCGACTGATGGGCGCATCCATTGCTGTTACAGTTTTCAATTTGGGTGTTGGGGCCGTCAGTAAAATTCCTGCAGAGAACTTACCTACAGCGGCCGACGTTTACATGGACATGGTCGTATTCAACATATTAGTTCTTGGAGCAAACACGCTGGTCATCGGATTACTAGCCTGTAAGATGCTTCTCATATTTTTGACAAACATATTTTTTGCTTACTTTTAAGCAAAGCAACTCAAATTTATCCATTTTCCACATGGGTAACCCTATATGAAACTTATATGAAATGGAAATGAAATGATCTCCTCTAAAGTCCTGTCAAACTTGACGGTCTATCTATATCGTTGTGAAATGTTATGACGGTTGAGAGGAATTCATACATGGTCTCAACACAAACTTCGTTATATTCCAAATGTTCATGACGGTTTCTATTATTTTGTGATGACGGTGCGATTATTTATTCATGAGATTGTCGACTGATCGTTGAGAAAGTACCGTAAAATTCCGAAAATAAGCCCCGGGGCTTATCTTTTTCAAAGACCCTTTTTGAGGGGCTTATTTTTGGAGGGGCTTATCTACGGATGGAAATTTGCGTTTCAAAATCAATCGGGCTAGCCTTACAGTTGGAAGTAAATTTACCTTTTTTGCTTTGTTTTACTTTGTATTTGAGGGAAATTTTCCAAGTACAAGCCCCCAGGGACTGTTTGGGGGGCTTGTATTTGGAGAGGCTTATACATGGAGGGGCTTATTTTCGGAATCTTACAGCATGCTACAGGATGATCTCATTGTACAGACAATGTTGATAAAAAGTTTATCGTGGGATATCAAAATGAGGTAACGTTTAAAGCGGATTTGCACAGAATTCAAGTTTCTATAAAGCACCACAACCGTTTCAAGTCATCCTAAAAATCATCCGATTGAGTTTATAGGATAATAAACAATTTGAGAAGTACGATTTCAAAATATAACTTGAATCGGAATCGATGTTCCCGGGGGGGGGACTACCCATGTGAAAGGGGTGGGGATGCTCGTCGTCTCGTTTAGGGATGTAAATTTTGGATTTTGGTCTCACTTAGGGTGTTCTGGGCAAAACGCCATCATATTTAGCCGTAAAGGTCTCGTTTAGGGTTGCACGCGAAAAAATATAAAAATGTATATTCGGTATGTATATTTTTAATTCGTTTATTTACTCCATTCATATAACCCAAGTTTTTCTCATTTGTTTGTGTTTTAACATGGTCTCTTTTAGGGGCCAAAAAAAGCTTGGGTCACGCCCAGATCGGTTTCCTTTAGGGGTGTAATTCAAAATTTCCGACGAGCATCCCTACCCAATTCATATGCGGAGTCCCCTCGGGTCGATATCCTTAGAAGTACCTGTAGTATCCTAGAAGATCCAAAGTAAATTAAAATTATAAAATTCTACTCGATATATAGCTAAGTGTGTAAAGATTCAAAAGCTATAACGACATTTGAACACAGATTCATTTTTACACGTGCTCGGAGAGTTTAGTTAAGTAGAGAACAAATTTTTGTTTCTCAGTTCAGTACATGTTGCATCTGTGTGCCTTCCTCAAGAAATGGTATAAAAATCCGACGTGGTCGTTTTCCTGCTGTCTTTCCTTGATCCTGCCTTTTCTTAGTTTGTCTGGGGACATTGATGGTTTGGTGGGAGAAAATATGATGAACAACCAAGGAGATACCGGAGATATCGAAATGCCTTCTATCGGTGCTGCCGTACAAGACAGTGGGGCTACTGATATTACTCTCGATAATAGTGAACAGCCTGCCACACAGTTGCAAATTGGGGAAAAGGGAAAACACGCTGCTACGATCCTCTCGCAGTTTAATGAGGCTTTTGACATTAGTGTTGAAGAAAATAAACAAGAAAATGGGAGCAAAAAGGAAATCGAAAGCATGCAACCTGTCACATGGCCAAATTGTGGGGAAAAGCAAAGTATTGTTCCCTTCTACTCACAATACAGGTCATCAAAGTGTCATCGAGAAACCCAAACAACGTTGATAGCGCTGAATTGATCCATCGAAGATGTTAAGGCTAAAGGGCAGATAAACTGATACTTCTGTCGTAGAAGAAAAATTTCGAACCTTTATTTCCGACGCGTTTCGTCTCTTACTGAGACTTCTTCATGGAATGATCACAACTAACAAAGGACAGTATATATAACAAGTTTTGTGTGTAAGTAAAACTTCCGATAGAAGTGAATAATAACTGAACTATGCTGTAAACGGACGTTATAAGAAAGGCATTGATACATATGTTATTGCGTGTTGTTATATGTTTGGGGCCATACGATTAGCGCTAATCGTGTGCCCCTCAAAAACAAGCTATTTACATAGTGTGCCTAAGTAGTCAAGTAGATTTATAAATGACCATACAGTCTAAGTCTGGTAAATATCTCTGGATGACCCGCTTGTTAGCGTGACTGCAGTTAAATGTAGAATTAAACACTACCATTCTACCGTTTGAGGATTTGCGTTTTCGCGAAAGCCATTTAGTTCTGTTATTGTATTTAACCTCACTAAATAAAGGAAGTAAAATCCCATCTGGGTAACCGCGACGCCGGAGACGCTTCCAGAATTTCCCACGCGTTTCGCTAAAAGCTTTTAACGTGGAACTTTTTCTAGTATGGCGCATAAGCTCGCCTTTAAGTCTAATAAAGGCCCTCTTGTTGCTCGCAGGAATAATGTACAGATACTTATTTAGTGGCTTTTGATAGGTAGAAAACTGCAGTCGGAGCTAAAATTAGCATCTTTGTAAAGAAATAAATCCAGAAACGAAATACTACTTTCGTCAACAACACATGTAAGTTTGACACGATCATTCTTGCTATTGCCGGGAAACTAAGAAACTCTAATAAGTTTACTTTGGGACCCTTCCAAATAAAAAATATGTCATCGATAAACCGCTTGTACTGCTTGTACAAAAGTAGATGACTAGAAAATTATGTGGCAACATCCTTTTCTAAATAATACATGAAAGCATTAACGGCCGTGCATACAAGTTGCTCCATCTGACCTCATGAAATCCTCGCATTCACCACATCGTTTTCCTTGCCCATTTTCAAGTTTTCATCGTACAATCACACGCCAACGCAATTAACTACTTTGTGCGCAGATGAACGCGGTTATATGAGTAACACTTCCAGTTTGTCATTTTCACTTCCGGTGAAATGATGATTCATTCCGTGAATCTTTAATATAAGTTTCTGAGCCTAAAATAGAAAATACCGCAAAAATGTCTCGATTTGACATGCACTATGAGAAGGACTTAAATAATATTGGTTCAGAGAATAGTGATCTCATGCCTTCATTTTTTCTTAAGAATATTCAAGCCGAGTTTACCTTAATAAAACCTGCTAATGAGTAGAAGCCTCACTTAGACACGGTAGAATTTAATTTTTGGATAGTTTGGATAATGTCTTAAAAAGAGAGGAACTGTCAGGTGACACACATGAGACAACAAGGAATAAGTTGGTGTTTTCAGGTACTTGAAGTGAATCCCTTGTAGACAAGAACTATATACACTGCTATATCTCAAATTCAATGCTGCCTCTGTACCCATTTTGCCATTTTTTACTACCTATTTTTCATAAATTTCATATTGTTTGATCAGATATGCAACCAGAATGGGCCCTTAATACGACTAGTAGTCTCTCCCCGTGACAGTATACCTTCACAGTTACGTTGCATTTCTTACCACATTTCTTGGAACTCTTGGGCGCTTTCCATTTAGTCAAAATTTCCGGAATTTCCGGTTCGGCCGCAAACGGAACACGTTTCGTCGGTTCGTCCCGCTGGAAAATTCCCAGAAAAAGTGGAAAATCAAAAAGGTGGGCCCGTTTTCCCGGTTGGAATTTGCGAACGGAATGTCGTGTTCCATTTACGTTTCTCGTAGTTTGTACCAGTTCCAGGTCCACGGTCGGGCACCGCGACGTACTGGGGTTTACGACCAAATGGAACAACTTTTTACCGATCGGAAATTCCACTTTTACTCACACCGAGATTTCCGGGTTTTTTTCCTAAATGGAAAGCGCCCCTTGTCACGGTACGTCCTCCCTAATGCAAATTGGAGTATCGTATCCATTTGCAAATAAACGGAAATATCAATATTGGGAAAGCGGAAAAGAACTACACACATGGAAAAGTCAAAATAGTTGTTGGAGAAGGCTTGACACGAGAAATCAGTTTTAGCCTAGTTTCTGAACGAAATTTGACGAGTATTAAAGGAGCATTTTCACTCTGAGCTACGGCATTTTAATCGCGACATTTGTATGCCTTGTTAGATAGTCCAAAAAATCAACCAAGAGGTCAATGTATTTTGAGGCAAATCCAACCACAACAGGCTTTTAATCCTTTTTTTTGAAAAAACTCTTTCTTTTTCAACAATATTAAAGGCAAAATGGGCCCTAAATGCAAGTGGTAGTCTCTTCTCATATCAGAAACTCGCATAACTGTACAGTGTATGTACACTTTTACTGCTACGACTGTGATCAGATAGTCACGCGACATTATTTCTAAAATGCCTTGTTTAATAATAAATATGATATTCCAAACAATCAACCGAGGTTAATGTATTTTTGGTACTGACAAGTCAAATTGACGACAGGCTGTGAATCTTTCTAAAACAGCCTCTCTTGGGGGAACTACTCTTGCTCTGCGTAAAAACTAGATATTCGCATTCATAAGAGTCGACAGAAATAGATAAAATTGTTGATTCTTTTGCTAAATTATTGTTAGTTGATTATCAGTTTCAATATTTATATTTTGTGATTGTCACACGGGACGTCTGAAAACCAGCATGCTGAGCCATTTACCGTGTTTAAATAGAGTTGATTGATTGATTGTATCGTATTTGAATTTTATTTTTACTCCATCCTATAATACATTAGCTTTACAATAACACAATAGTTGTACAATATCAATAATACATTAGTTGTACAATATCAATTGGTACAAAGTTGCTTAAACTACGTGTACATAATAATAATAATAAAAGAAGAAAATTAGAATGGAGAAGGGCACATTATAGTGAAACTAATCATGGCCCTTTAACAAGATTGACTTTATTCTTTTGTAGTTTTGTTATTCATTAGGGAGCTTAAGCAACGGCGTTTTTGAGCGACGCACGCCAATCGGAAGTGAGGTCTTTTTCATTTTAAAGCACCTTGACGCTCCCAAATTTGTATTTCTAAGTGTCTTAACTATTATAGAGACGAGTTTTCCTAAAAGATGGGCAAAACCACCGTCCAAAAAATAATGAAAAAAGTCCACTTCCTGTTGACGTGCGTCGCTCAAAAACGTCTTTGCTTAAGTTCACTATTAAAACACAAACACGAACGCACGCACCCACACACGCAAAAGGAACTCTTACACAGGAACTCTTACACGAAAAAAACTAAAGTATACGTATTTAAAGACACAAAAAGGCCACAAATAACGCAAACCACAGTAGCCTGTGAACAGGCCTTTAGTCGAGCGGGGTGGGCAGAGGGAGAAGCGAAAAGGCCTGTGGACAGACCTTTGGGGCCGCCGTTCCACGGCACCCGCTGTGCATCAGATCCTGATGCAAGCTCCTATTGGCGAGAACACTGATTGTTGAGAGGTCTGATTGACATCGGCTTTTCGGTCGGCACGTAGCACGCGATTTGATCACAGAGTGGCAATAACCACCCGGTCAAAAGACTCAAACTGTCTTTAAAAAAACACTAAGCTGGAGTATATAGTTACCGAAGCACCATGCAATTCTCCATAGCTGATGTAGCTTCGGTTTAAGCTGCATTTCAATAACATCTTTTTAAACACTGACGAGCTGGGCCCAGCGTCAAAATACAACATTGCAGAAAACATTACATTCACGGACTAAAGAAAATCGCTTAGTTATTCAGATCGAGAAGGCACTTTGGAGAAAAGTAAGACCCTTATTCAGCCGCAATAAAAAGCTTTACTCTTCAAAAGAGGTCAAAGAAAATGCTCTTGCATCAGAGGGAAAATCCTGTCGACCAGAAACAAAAACCACAGTAAATCGATATGTATGCTATGACCTCTCAGTGTGAAACAAGCGCCTAAAATCACATTTGCTCAATGACAATGTAGAACCTTCCAGATAATAATCTACCCCGCAGAGGAAAAAACTTATGCGAACAAGCAGCATTTTGGCATAAAGTAAAAGTCGTGTCGGCCTACCATGTAATTTCTGTCGGCGATCGAAGCCCTGCTGAACTCTTTGTACTTGTCTTCGAAGCTTCACGTTCTGGAGAAGTCATGATAGTATCCGTACCTTCCGCATTCCAAGTTCGCTCATTGCAGCGGCTTGTTAAATTACAAACCGAACTAGCAATACGAACGGCTTATTAATCCTCTTAGGGACGGACCATTAGAAAAGTTATGGGGGGGGAGGGGAATTTTCGAGCTGCAAGAATTTTTTTTCGTTATCAAATTCTTTGCACGAATTTTATTTAGGCCATTGCATGAATACTTTTTAGGGTTAATTGGCTTGCATGAATTTTTTTTCATTTAATTTTCCCTTGCGCGAATATTTTTTTTGTACTTCGCCCGCCCCCCCATAAGTTTTCTAATGGTCCGTCCCTTACCGGAGATCAACGACTTTTTCCAAAATCAACAATGAGGTTCATGCTCCATTTCGCTTTGTTTTCAGACGGAGCAAAACACCACTCATTTCCTGTTAATTTTCCCAGGAGTTACCCACGCGCGAAATTAATTGACCGATAACGATCTTACTGACAGATGATCGGCAGGATAATTACAAGAGGCGGAATAGCGGCCTCAAATGTTTGTCTACAGGCTCTCTCCCCCCCATTTCCCTTCCCTTTCCTCGCTATTTTTCCCCAAACAGAGAGCCTGTTCACAGGCTAACCACAGCTTCAAAAAACGCGGCCATCATCATCGCTGACCGCTGATTGATTGAATTGAACCCTCAAGGCAGAGACCTGTGCCATTCACGAGGAAACCATTCGACTGTGACGTCTAATCACTGTATATAACTAAGGGACGGACCATTAGAAAAGTTATGGGGGGGGGGGAATTTTCGAGCTGCAAGAATTTTTTTCGTTATCAAATTCTTTGCATGAATTTTATTTAGGCCATTGCATGAACATTTTTTAGGGTTAATTGGCGTGCATGAATTTTTTTTCATTTAATTTTCCCTTGCGCGAATATTTTTTTTGTACTTCGCCCGCCCCCCCCCCATAAGTTTTCTAATGGTCCGTCCCTAACAGAACTTCCTTAAAGAACCCAAGTTTCGCCGTCACCTATATAGGATGGTTTGCACACATTTGACACAGCATTTTCTGTGTTATTTTACATGAGATATTATTATGTCTGCAATAGTGACAACAGTGTTCAAAGCAACAATCGGTTTGCTTTTACGAAAAGGAAGAGCAACTGCAGCGGAAAAGCTTAAAGAAGGTGATGTTGTTGATCAGAAATTCCGTCGCTTGATCTTGCGCGAAATTGACGATGTCAAATCCAAGTTGGATGGACTAGCAAGAAAGGACTTATTATCAAGCTTCAGCTCATTTGCAGAAGGTATCCAGTATTTGTATGAAGTGTTTGGCAGATCAAAGACAATAATCGAATTTGAAGATGTTAGCACTGATCAAAGGGAGATAAGAACTCTCACGAGACGAATGAATTTCATAGATGAGACAGACCTGCAGGATGAATCAGTTAGAAAAACACTAGAAATCGCGAAAAAGAGGTTTGAATACGCTCGTGAGAAAGCTAGAGATGCCTTTGCCAATGAGGCACTGGATTTGCGTGATCGCATTCTAGCCATGCAGTATCGAGTTATGGCAACAATACTACAGAATTGTGAAAGCCCCCTAGATGCACTGCCAGCATGTAGAGTTTGCTTGGAGGAACTGCACTCTTTGACCGCTGTTAAGGAGTATTTTGACGTGCAGCTCAATAAAGGATTCCGGGCCCGATTTAGCAAAGACGAAAGGCGAAAAGTCATATCTGCCGTCTGCCATCTTAATCGAGTTATTTACGATGTTACCCTCATGGTTGGATTTGGCCTAAGAGAATGGCCCTGCGTTGACACGGGCAAAGAGAAAATTGACCCGATGCGTGACGAAAGACTTACAAAACTTCTACGAAAACAAGGCATGGAACGCTGTTTCGTCAAACCGTGGTCGTTTGGTCAGGAGGGTGAAAAAGAACAAATATTAAAAAGTCCTGTGGGTATCGCTACGAATACGCACGAGCAGCTCATTGTTGCGGACGATGGGGATAAATCAATCAAGATGTTTAACAGCAACGGGGACTTCAAAAGCTGCGTTTATCTGCAAAGTGATGATGACAATACAGAGCTGCATATCCTTGATATTGCTACTGACGAATATAGCAATAGCTATGTACTGATCGGACGTAAGAAGTCCCGGACCAAAGAAAATGAGCTGGAAGTTAGAAAATTCAACGCAACAACTTCCCTTCTTTGCACGTTTTCTGTGAAAAGAGGGCCGTGGGGACAGGGTAAGCTGACAATTTGTAGCGGAAACATCCTGATATTAAGAGGATCAGGATCTGGAGATGTGGTAGAAGTGTATAAAGGCGATGGAAGATTTGTTCTTAGCTTCGGTGGGGGACTGCTTAAAAGTCCAAGAGATATCACTGCCACTGGGGACCACGTTATGATCATGGACACTGATGAGTGTAGCGTCTACCTTTTCACTCTAAAGGAAAAACAAAAAGCCAAAATCACTGTCGACATTCGTGGAGATCACCATTTGAGAGCTGCATTCCATCCTACAGGTGAACAATTTGTTGTGGCCGGGTACGAAAGAGAGACGTCGTGTTTGATAATGGAAGTTTTCACCACCGCGGGAGAGTTTGTACGGAGGATTCAGTTCGATGAAGAAAACACTGATTGGCTGGGAGGAATCACAGTGACCATGGAGGGTCAGGTTGCTGTAATAGTCGGAGGGGAGAGTGAGAGCTGCAAGGTGAGGATAATTACCATGTAAACAAGACTGATTCGTTCTGTCAAACCAGTTCATCAATACGATTTGCAGCGAAAAGGATCGAACCTGACCATTCTTTCAAAGCAATTAGCTTAGCAATAAAGTAGGGTCATTGTGGAATTCTATAGTCACCAAACCTGACTAGATACGGCAAGACAGGGTTAGTTCTTTTAAGGTGACTCGACCCAGTTATTTTGTGAGGGTACCATCCTACTTTGAAGCTCTATGGTATCCCCACCTTTACTTTGATCGTAAGTCCAACATATAGCATGGATAACATATAGATCAATCTATAATATAGCATAAAGTTTTGGCGATCGGAGTAAATGTCACGTGGTTAAAGTGCCACGCCTCTTTCGGGTCTGAGTCGAAATTCTGCTGTTGCCGGCATTTTTTCGCGAAAATCTCTCGGCTGCATATAGTGCGCATTAGTGCCTTGCGTTGAACAAAGTTTCACGAAAATCGCAAAGACCCAATTCGAGAAATTCAATGGTTTGCTAATTTAGGTCATAATTTATGTAAAAATGATAAGCAAACTCTAATAAACTATGAGATTTATCTCTTTATTTTGGGGATGTTTATAACAGATGGGTCCTTGCAAGTCAGTAAAAAGCTTTAGGGCCTTCTAAATGCGCGCGATTTCGAACGATGCAAACATATAGAAATTAGAGTTTTTTTGTTGACGTCTGTCAGCGTTTAAGAGTCCTTCTCACGAAAAAAGCATTTTATTAAAAATTCGTAGTTTTTTTCCCTTCAAATTTTTTTTCCGGGCCGCAATTGATTAACTAACTACCCGGATTCTGAATTTCATGGTCGTATGATGGTACCCCCACAAAATAACTGGGTCAAGTCACCTTAAAAAGGTTAGTTACCACATTGAATGATCTCGAAGGCCTATGACTTTACTGCGTTTCCTTCTCGCATCAGCACAACCTCGTTCTTTTTCATATTTCTATGTATTATTGTGAAGTATTTAATGGCTATTTTTGAGATCGTGCTTGCTTCATTGAGTGGAATAAGGTTATCCCTGTTTTGAACTTATGTTTTTACTCGTACTTCAATTTATGCTTGGCTCGAGAATTAACTTTCCTTTCAATACAGTAAAACCCAGCGACTAAGAACCTGGTTTTAAAAAACCTGTTAGGCTATAGCCTAAAAAGAGCATGCGATTTACTGTTTTGAGAAGTACATTTTGTAAAACTTTTTCGCGTTACATTTGTGACAAACAACATAAGCTTGCCACTAGTAGACTATATGCCTATGACAAGTAGATGGGAAATTCAAAATTAAATGTTTCGAACGCCAGTTTACTGCTTTTTAGCGACATTTTAAGCGCTCAAAACGTGGTTCGAGTTATGGAGGGTAAAATTGTCCCCAGGAAAATTGTATAGAAATGATCAGAGGGATAACAAAAATTACTCAGTCGAGTTAGCGGGAGGTTCGAATTATTGAGGGTTGGGGTTACTGAGGGTGAAATTACAGTAAATATATGAAGGAAATCCAGGGGAAATCGAGTTTGGTTGGAGTTATCAGGAGGCGACTTTTATGAAAATTATGCATGCCAATCACGTGCTCGTTCTGATATGGAATTACTACTCAAAGTAATTTGAAAAATTGTGATTTCTAATATTTTCCTTGGCATATATGTTCCTAGTAAGGATTTGCGTATTTGTCAGCGTCTTGTTCACTTGAAGCATAGTGAAAATGAAGAGTAAAGGACTTAAGTTTGAATGGGGAAGGAACCTTGTTGCAATGTTTGTTGGAATTATTATGATCCAGTTAATTGTTTTAAATGTAAAAGTAACTTATCTACTTTATTTTATTATACTTCCTCAAAGCCTTGTAGCCTGCTTAATGTTCGTTTCCAAGTCAGTTACTGATATTAATGGTGTTTTACAAATACGAAATCTAATGGCTGTTCTGTTAATTAGGAAAGCCGAATTTGACGCGACGTTTTCTGGAGTATGTGATGTGGGATGCTTATTGTTAACGTTTTGTGTTTGGTTTTAAGTGATTAATACTTCTTAAACCACAAATTACGTTGTGATGTAACTGTTTCGTCTGTGTAAAGCATAAGAAAGGAAAAAGTTAGCTGTATAATTGCTTCTAAATAAAAAATCTGACTAGAGAGTTTGATGGTCGCAAAGGCGCAATTAGAGCATGATTTTGAAATGTTACATTAGAAATTGTCACAATATCTCGTCAAACAATTTGTCTTAGTCCATCTTATAGGTATAAAGGAGACTAGTTGTGACAGCCAGCGCAAATCGAAGGTTCAAAGACGCTGCAGGTTAAGTTGACAGCAGCCCCTTACAGCGAACAATCGCTTCCAATCATTCAGACAATATCACATAACAATTTATGTAGGCGTTTTTATTGGTCTTTTCGACTACGTTATTATGTTGTTGTGCATAGTGCTCTTTCAGGGTACAAAAGCGGAACATATGGAAATAGTAATCTATAGGGCAACTTCAGTTTTTTATGTAAGGTAAAAGCGAGAAGCAGCTGGAAAGATTTTCTGCTTATAAAAACAGAACGAAAGAAGATTTTTCCGTTTTCGCTGAAGGTTTAGTACCTAACCAGAGCAAGATAAAAAAGAAGAATTTCCTTTCAGGTAACTAATGGGTTTTTTTGCTCTTTCTATTTTTTGTTGCTTTGGTTAATATAAACGGATATGCGCGAAGAAGCTTAAGATACTAAGTTAATGGGTTACGTTAGGTTGTTGAATAAAGGGATGTCCCTGTACTTAAACTTGATTCAAGACGAGAGAAAGTTCATTTATTGAGACAGAAATATTATTTCGTGAAAATGACATTTTTCCATCCATTTCAAAGCATACACTGTGGCTGTCGTTTGACCGTCGTGGACTGAAATTGGTTTGTACTGATCCCATCCCATTTTGTCAGATCTTAATATTCTAGCTGAAGTGATCCACAAATGACATACCGATTTATAACACGTATTTTACGTCAAAGAAAAATGTCTGTATGCGTGGAAAAAATAGGGAAGCTTTTATAGTGTCATGGCCTCTGAGTAGACCGGTTACAGGTATAAGATATTTTTCTACATTACAATGTTTTTCTTGTGAAAATATTACCAGCTGTCCTTTTTCAGGCAATGATCTATCCATTTTCTCTTAATAGTACACCGATGAATGTGAAAAACTCACGCGGTGCTTTCCGTAATGATAGAGGGGAGGATTCCTAATGGGGTTCTTCAATGCCGTCATGCCGAACCAAATTTTCGCTCAATCTCGTTATAACGATGATTATTTTTGGCATTTTGCATAGCGTGCACTCTTTCATACCCGAATCTTGCCTGCATTTTGCTTTGAAATACCGACTTTGAAATAAGGCCAATCCCGGATCCCTAAAAACCTATTGGAGACCAATAGCCTGTTGGCAGATGATTCATCTGTCTCCAGTATCGAGCTACTTGGCCAAGAGATTAATGTTGCCGTGCATCTGTGCCGTAAGTGATAAGAACAAAAAAGTGGCATACGACCCGTAGGTCATCCTCGGAGACCCAGGGGCAGATAAAGGGGGCGAGGGAAAGTCTAAACGGGCGGAAAAATATATACGGAACGAAAAAAAGTAAAGAATGGCGAGAAAAGCCCCTGGGGACAATGTCTTACCAGACTAGTTCCAAACGGTCGCCCCCGTTCTGGCTTCTAATTGGTGTCAGAAAACTTGTGTTTTTCTGGCACCAATCAGAAGCCAGAACGGCGGCGACCGTTTGGAACTGGTCTGGTAAGACATCGTCCCCAGGGGCTCTTCTCGCCGTTCTTTACTTTTCTTCGTGCCACATTTTTCCGCCCGTTTAGACTTTCCCTCGTCCCCACTATCTGCCCCTGGGTCTCCGAGGATGCCCGTAGGTGAGTGTGTCACTGATTTTCAATTTCATTGCAAAATTAACAGTTACTAATTTCGGCTTTCGTACGATGTGAAGAATTATGCAGTCGAAGAGGATGCTATCCACGGAGGCGGAATTCTTTGCATCATGCGAAAGCCGAACTCAATTACTGTTTTATTGTTAATTCAAGCTATTTTTTATTTCTTATCAACCTCACCTGCTCGTAGGCTTTACCCAAACATTTACCAGATGTTGCAGATACTCCTTAAAAAGAACTTGTTATCCATCGAAAAAATGTTTTTTTTGCTTATTACTGCGTTTCTTCCGTTTAGTTTTATTGAGAAATTCGGTCATTTGGTCTTCGGATTGCCGTGAACGCCTTTTTTTTTTATCTGATTTCTATCACTATTACTTACTTTTGTTCGATAAACAGCCAGGGCGCACTTAGAAACGAGGTTATTCGATGGTGCAGTGTATAATTATTCTTGCATGTTCCAAATGCGGTAAACTTCGGCTAGTTATGAAAAATTGCGAGTTATGTCCGGAAAAATCCTTTCGTAAACAGCTGCTTCTCTTTCCAACCTCAGGCTCAGGGTTTCTTGTCGTCCTGTCCCCTGTAGTAAGAGATTGAACAGCTTTGAACCGAAAAAATAAAACACTCCTCCCTTACATGTATTTGTACGCTATAAGAAGTACTACGCGTTGTGCACGCGCTTGCCTTACCAGTGTGTTTTTTGCAGGTAAGATGTTAAATTTTCAGCCAGCAAAAAGGAAACTACATTACCTCTTCATCTTTTTTCTCGTTTTTACGTGGCTGGGCCTTGAAGGAGCTCTTGCTATGCAAGGTGAGTCGAACAAAGAAGCTCGATTAGGTACTGGAATGGCTATATGTTTAACGTCCAAAATGGGAAACCCGTGATCGGACATGAAGAGATCTGCTATTTCCCGTTCTTTGCCCGCCCTTTAAATCTCTCCTTAAAGGGCTTTGAGTTACCGCTAGTCCTTGTAACTTCTTTTTTTAAAATAGGTTGTGGTGCAGTGATGAACAATACACTGAAAAGTCCTCGTTATCCTAGCAAATACCCAGGCCGCATGGACTGTGTGTACAGGGTCCCTATTCCGCAAGGCATGACACTGAAACTCACTTTCCTTGATTTCAGTTTGGAGAATCGTTATTCAGGACGATGGTAAGGAATTCTTTTATGTACTTTGTTGGTACGCTGAGTGGTTCTTCGAAGTGGTGGTGCTTAACATCCAATTTGTTTGTTAATCGAACTATATTTTTATTTTGTCTCAAAGACTTCCACTATGAACGCTTTTCTCCTCGGTAAAATTATATTCACGGCAAAATGGCGGCGAAAATTGTGTGTGTGTTTTTTTTTTTATTAAACCGTCAGAACATTAGCAAATAAAAAGCAAAATGATAACATGTTGCTTGCTAAACTATCCGCATAAAAGGAACAGGTTATTGAGAACCTTTAGGCTAGAAATTTTAAGAATCCCCTCCAGGCTGATTAATCACTACGCATCCTTTACCGTAAACTTCCGCTTTTAAACCCCGGGCTTAATACAACTTCGTAAGGGATTTTAGGAACTCCTTTAAAAGGGGCACTTATCTCCGGAGGGCTTTTGACCGAACTTAAAAAAAATCTTTAGAGGGGGCTTATATGAGGGAAGGGGTGGGCTTATAACCTAAATTTTTTTTTTCAGGTAGATGGGTCTGTAACTGGGGGGGCTTACAGGCTGACTAAAAAAGCGTTTCAAAACAAGCTACATAACGGTGCTGATCAAAATCCTTTTTCAATTTACTCGCCTTTTCAAGTTGCAAAACGTTGCAAAATATCGAATTTTTTTCAATACAAGCTATAGGGGCATCCCCGGAGGGGGGTCATACCCGGATGTTTTTTTTGTTTACAGGGTAAATGGGCCTGTAACTGGACGGGCCTATAAGCGGGAGTTTGCGGTATATAAGAAACGGAACAGCCTGAAACAGAAAATCAGACGTTTTTTGCGCCGTAGTCTATTGTTGTCTGGATAGTGAAAATGAAAACTTTAGTTTTGAGTACCTGCTTAGCTTTTGTAAATTGCTGTCTATTTTACTGTGGTCGATCCATGTCCCAACAATTGGTTTTACGATTATCGTATATATTGCTGTTAAGAAGAAAAGAGGTCTTTAACAAAAGTTTTTTTCTTCTGCCCTTTATAGAGGGTCTCAATGGGGTTAACCGATAGGCGTAAAACGGTCAAAAATTTAGCCGATAGACGTAAAAAGTGAAAAATTTTAATCGTTAGCCGTAAATAGGGTAAAAAAGAGTTAACCGTAAAAGAAAGTGTTCCCTAGATTTGCTACTTTTAAGGAAGGTACTAAACTCACTTATGGTTGCGTTTTTTATTTCTCGGCTAGTGTGACTCTAGCTGTACGCACGTTAGGCGAAGCGCCTTAACCAAGACCTAGGCTCTTTCCGGCGCTCTCTAGGGGAACTTATTTTTTCCATGGCGAAAGTGTGGCTTCTTTCCGGAGGTCGTGCCCTCGAGACACTAGTGAAACAACACGCAGAGATGTCACTGTTTGTAAAACAAGTTGCCGATAAACAACATTTTCCTGTTTTTCTCTGACTCTACGGTAGAAATTGCCATGCCTAGTCCCTGTACGGCGTCTTCCCACGCAGTCTCGGTCAAGGCATTTCGGTGGCGAACTCGCTCGGACCGCGTGACCCGAAACGCATTAGCCGCGCAGAATAATGCGGCCTACGGACAAGGCAACGGCAGACAGTCGTTCCGTACAGTCCGTCGCTATCATTAAAAACACTGGACACGGGAATTTTGTTATTGGCCGTTTTCACACTAGAGCTAGAAATGGATCATCCGTCTGAGACTAGCTTGAATACAATCGCGCCCTCTCCACAGACACCTCTTCCCCGATTTTTTTCTGAGGGGAGGTGGTGGCTATACACAGGCTATCTGGAACGGATAATCCCGTCTTCAGAAGTCAGGCGGATTGTTCATTCAAACTTAAAACTATTCCATTTTCAAATTAAGACGTATTACCTATCTGACGCCAATCATCAAACGGATAACCCGTCTCACACGAATAATCCTTCTCTAGTGTGAAAACGGCCATTTCTGTTATAATGAATGTCGCGCCCCGACCTTGAGTTTGGCGTTCCAGTGTCTGCTTTTGCTTTTTCACAACGATTATTTTTAAATTGACTGTTGACATTTCTAAGTGTAAAATAATATTAGAAGTGGAATACTTTATAAAAAGTATAATCTATCAAATGTTAAAATTTTTCAAAAGAATAGCTTATTTCATCCCGAGATGATCCGAAGAGCTTTATTTAAAAAAATACAGGTTAATTAATATTTAACTTTTTGAAACAAAAGAAGTTAATTTTTAACTTTTTCGTTAACCGTAACTGAAAAAAATTAACCGATAGCCGTAAAAGAGCCAAAATTTTAGCCGATAACCGTAAAAGCCACCACCCCATTGAGACCCTCCTTTATAGTCGGGTTATCTCTGTCTAAAGAACATTTTTTACGATTAGAACTGAACAGCGGTAGTTGTCATCAAAAACGTTACAACAAAATACACCTTTGTCACACGCTCAGCAAATTGAATTCATTTGCATACACGCGACAAGAACGCAGAAATGCCTTTTTTGTAACGTTTATGTTGACTCCTCGTCAGTGCGTTTCAGAATTTCATTATGATTGTGACATTCTTCGTTTCCGTTAGAACGTCTAGCCTCCCTCGCATTAGAATCCCAACAATACAAACGATTTAATTAATTTTTATGAATTAATAATTTTTGACGCATATATTTTCAAATGTAATGCCTTTCATAACCCTTATTGCTTTCTATTGGCTGCCTTGCCTGACAAGTTGAACTAATTTACAATACACCACAAATATTGCAGCGCGGATTACTTGGAGATTGCAGATGAAAACTACGTGGCAGTGGGTAGATACTGTGGTGAGGAACTTTCTGGACGAGATATCAATGTGGGTGGAAACGAAGTGGTCATTAAGTTTCACTCAGGAAAAAAAGGATTTCTGTTGGTTTTTACCCCTGTCCAACCTTGTAAGTTTAAGAGAAACTTTCTTACCCCTTTGGCAACCTTATGCTTCGTTACATATGAAGAGAAAATGACCAAAGTGGTCGTCAAAGGGTTAAAGATATACTGCACCTGACATTAGTAACGATTCAGGTTAGGATATGAGCAGTGCTACAACCCTGGATAAAACTGTTGAGACAGTTCCATCTATTTTCTAACTTTTGCGCCATGCCACCATTTCCTCTGAAGAGAAAAAGGTAAGGCCCCTCCCCACCTCCCATTCAAAGTTGTTTTTGTCTAAAACCCAACGTGTAGAATTCTCATGTTATCCTAAAGAACATTCAATAAGGAGAAGGTGGAAAACGGGCATTCATTTGGCGACGGTTTCCAAGTTTTCCATGATGACAGAAAAAAGTAGGTATTTTTGCGATTCGTGCGATGTGTCTCAACTGGTTTTGTCCGTTTGCTTAATTAAGCATTGCTAAAACGTATGGCACTTAAACGGCAGAGAATGCTAAATGCTGATAATTTCGCCTTTGCTTGTACCTTACATCTTCATAAAGTTCTTCGACAAAATTAATCAGAATCTACCACATTGTCTGTTAACTACTAAGATTAAGATTGCAATTTACATTTGGGTTCGTTAACCTGGGTCTCAGTATGGTAATGCCAACGTTTCTGTATTGTTGGAGAACAATGAAGTATGCCTTCCATTTTAAGTTACGCGGATCGTTACTTGATTATTGCTGTGATAAATAAAGAAGTCGGGGACTCAGACTTTTCCTTTGTCCCGTGCTAGTGAGATGTTGATTACATCATTTCTCATTGAATATTGTTAAACTCATTTTTATTCCATTTTTTTTTTTTCACCAGCTCCCCCCAACATAACTATGCCAATTCCAGGGAGAGCTGTTCGTACACTTGCAGGTCGCTTGACGACTGTGTGTGAAGCCACAGGAACCTCTCCAGTATACGTGGCATTGATGTGGAATTCTATAGTTCTGGTCAATGAAACTAACAACGCAGTAACCCGATTGTATTTGGAGGGAAACTACCACTGCATAGCCACTAACAATTATGGAACAGACACAAGAGTTATTCCCGTCTTTTTAATAAGTAAGGGGAAATTGTCGGCTCCTTCATATCTAGAATAATTAAGTCCGTCAGACTTCTACAATTTGTCGATTTGTTTACTAATCAGAACCTAAAAGGCACCAGGTCTAAACCAGCTTAAAAACCAGCATTACACTGGTATAACAGTGACGTTTAGTGTCTTCCATTTTCTATGGAGGCGAGGTGGCCAGGCGGATACAGTAGCAGTTACAGAAAGGGCAGCGTGGCCGAGTGGTTAGAGCGCTGGACTTGCAATTCGGAGGCCCCGAGTTCAAGTCCCGCTCTGATCTCTAGCTGGATTTGTTCACGGTAGTCTCGAGTTCAAATCCTCGGCCATGCTTGTAAAATAGCCAACTGGTTCGCCCCCGGCCAGTTGGATTCTTAACCCTGTTAAGTTTGATTTGAATTATTTGTTTCAGGCATTTGCTCGGCCTCACTAGCATTAGTGCTATAAATACTGCCGAGGGTAAATAACGGATTTTTTTTTTCGGACCTGAAAGGTCAGTTTCAAGCCTTTCCGACTCGTTTTTCAGGCAAGAAATGTTGTTCGAAATTGTCTCTCTTCAGGCAGCTGAATGAACGGGTACCGGCAACATACTGCCGAGAGTAACCATGGAATTACATTACATCTAGGGTGGAAGTAGCAATACTGCTTGGTAATTCTTGCTTAGATAGATGAGCTCATTGCTGAAGTTATTTGTAAAAGCAATAGAAAACTTATTTTTTTCTGTTTTTGCATAACCCGATTTAACAGTTGGGGTGTGTGTGTGTGTGTGTGTGGACAAGGGGGGGGGCTGAGGTTAGTGTTCATTCACCCATGGGTATATAGGTAATGTGTAATTGAACAATCAAAGTCCTCTTTATTACTTTTATGCTATAAAACATTTACGTATTATCATTAACAGGTTGTGGTTCTGTTGTTAACAATACACTGAAAAGTCCCAATTATCCAATGGACTACCCAAAAAGCATGCGCTGTGTTTACAGAGTTTCCATTCCATATGGCATGATTTTGAAAGTAGTCTTCCAAGATTTTCTTCTAACATGGTAAATAGAGAAACTTAATGTGATTTTTCTGTTCTGCGCATAGGTCTTGTAGATTGTTTAACTTCGGAAAAGGTGGATTTCCACCGTCTCGTAACATTTTAATTACGGACGTGAATTAAATGTCGAAGAAATTACCTTTTATTACTTACCGTTGGTGCAAAAGACTTTTCATGGATGGTTTGCACTTTGGTTAAGTCTTTATAGTGACCCGCGCCACATCTTCCGGCCCGAAGATGTCTCCGACTGCGCCTGAAACCGAAGCATCTCGCTAATTATGAACAAAAACCTATGGCGCCCTATGGTAAATTTTACGTGTACGAGCATTCTTTTATACATTGACTATACCGTTATAAAATAAAGCCCCCTACTTATAGCCCCCCCTCCCCCGTTTATAGGCCCATCTACAAAAGAGTATGTCCAGTTTTAGTATATACTAAAACAGTGGATTGTGGTTTTTGCGCGCTCTGATTGGCTACTCAATCAGTGAATATCCTGCACTATTCACTGATTCACCTCCAGTTCCTCCAAGCGAGCGACGCCAACTCGCGTAAGTTGCGAGCAAAATGCCTTCTCGGTTTCCTGCCGTAATATTCAAAGAAATTTCAGAACTAATCAAGCGAGCTGTTCCCGAAATACACGAAGAAGGCATAAATTGCGTTCACTGCGACGATCATTTGTTCATTTTCATTTCATTTCCGTAGTTCATATATGATTTATTTCATATATCAGTAACAAAACAGTTTTTATTGTATTGACCACCAACATGGCACCTTGTCACGTGGTTGCAATGGCTTCCCTTGGGGAAGGGATAAGTGGCCACGTACTAGCCTTAATTCTTTTTTAGTGACCTTGATCTTACATAATTAAGGTTCTGTTAACAGTGCTGATTAATTTTCTACACTCGGACTATGGTAACTGGTTTTTATTTAGAGGGTGACCGCACAATTAATTTATATAGATGTTCCACTGTAGTAACCTGCACTAGAAGAAGTTAGTTAGAGTTGAAAATGTGTCTGGCTACACTTTCAGTAACGCCAATGTAATAAATCCAATCTCAGTTAATACACATTCGAGCGCTATGTTAATGCGCATGCCCGTTTCAAAGAAAATTTGTGCTTGAAGAATAGTGATTCTTGATATAAACAAAAATGGTTTGTCTTTCCAATTGTCAAATGCGGAAAGTCATTTGAATTGCGAACAGATTATTTTCTTTAAGCTATGACTACTTGGAGATTTTCGACGAAAACAACAGGCCAATTGGACCAAAATACTGCGGAAGGCGCACTGGAAAAGAGATTTATGTCGGTGGAAAGCAAATAAGGATAACATTTTATTCAGGAAGATGCTGCCAGGAGAGAGGATTTCGTCTGTTATTCATTGCCATTAAGCCAAGTAAGTAGCCAGGATGAACAAGGTTTTTCTGTTTGAATAACGGAATAGAATTGTCGTAAGCGAAAATAACAACTTTTTGTGCTACGACTTTCATCCACTTTCAGAGACATTTATAATCTCAAATTAGGAAATGACAGATAAAAACTGTCTAAAACAATTCTTATTAATGAAACTGGCATGAATATACTGTAATGAACAGTAAACGGCAAGTAAAGGCAAAAATTTGGTCATATGACCTAAATTGACCTTTGCTGTTTGCCGTTAACGGAATTTTTAATCTCTCCTTTGAGAGTAAGATCATTATATCGAGACTCGATCTTAGCAATGTGGAGCAAAAGTCGTCCAGAATATAGCCTCCTTACAGCTGTCACTACGTCCTCGAGCGCACCCTAAAATAAGAACATTTATAAGAGGTCTTTTAAAACAATTGCATTCACAACGTAAAAGTAAGGTAAGTCTACAACTGAAGTTACTAATTAATTTTTAAAGGGTTTTAACTTACCACTGCAAGGGCTAAGTTGATATATTTTAAATGGAAGGCAAGTTAGATTTGATTTGACATGAGTTACACATGTAGCGTTCACAAAATTTAAATAATAATAAAAAAAAACATTCACTCGCATTTCGATACTGTCTTTCATTACTTTTAGCTCCACCTAAGATAATTCTACCAGATCCTGATCCTGTTGTTCGAGCATTCGCAGGAGCTTATTTGTGGATATCAGTGACTGGAACTCCTTCCATATCCATGAGGTTAAAAAATGACACCTCTGTACTTGAACATGGAACCAAAGATATTAGGCACTGGCTAACCAATGAAGGAAGCTACAGTTGCATCGCAGTAAATGATTACGGAAATGTCACTATTGTTAATTTCAGCGTTGTCTTTATTGGTGTGTATCTCCTCTACTATATGTAATCATAATCTCTCATAAGTACTTTTTCTTGCAATGCTAAGTTTTTTCACTAACTGATTCTACCGTTTGAAACGCCATTACATACACTGCTTTTAAATATCCTCTAAGGCTATAAAACCCGTATAAATTCTAAAACAACAGCAAGATGTTTCCACTGACATTTACTTTTTAACAAATGGACATACTGTCATTGATAAAATTTGGACCATGTGCGCAGCTTATTTTCTAGATTAACTACTCTATCGTCAACTCCCGTGCACAGAGAGTGCAAATGCAAAGAATTAGTGTCGTTAGCAAACGAGGCTTGGTGCTAAATTAAACACACATGAGGGCTATTTTGAGCATAACTGACTTTAATTCTATGATTAAACAAGGTTGTGTATCGACTTATATACTATTGTGAGATCTGTAAATCTGCCATACATTATTTGGTCGAATGCCGCTCTTTCTCTCTCTTTCAGGTTGCTTTAAGTAATTCAGCTGACTGAAGACTTTGTATTGTTTAACAAAAGAACAAAATACGCTGTGTTAGAGAGGACTCAGGGGGGGGTGGTCCTTGTTGCTCTGTTCCCTTCAAAACTTTGCTTTTGGTTGAAAAAAAGATCATGCCCACACCAAATCACCTAACCCTTCCCTCAAAAGTAAAATGGTTGGTCCCCTAGAGTAAATATCAGTTCAGAGTTTGTGTGACTCTCTGTTGCAAGGACACGTATTCACAGGTTCTTGTGCAGTTAGGGAAAAATTGAAATGTGATATGATCCTTAGATTAAAGTGTAATCTTAAGAGTCGAAGCCGTTCGTACAACCACTCTCTTAAGTGACCTCTTGGAAATCAGTTACCGATTTGTTATGTGCTTAGCACCCAATCTCCCTGAGTGCACCTACCCATCTGTGAGGAAACAGAAGGAAAAAGAGAACGAAGAAGAGGCGTTTAAACGAGATAGAGACGTACAGAGGTGACGCACAACAAGTGCCTTTAAGTTGTTAAACTGTATTTTTCCTTCATTATCTTCGCATAGTATTGTAGTATCGTTCCCTTGATTCGGAAAACCGTTTTATGTTCCCCTGTTCCAAATTGAGGATATTTTAGCTTTAATCCCCTGTTCCCCAGCTTAAATTTGCCATGTTTCCTTGTTCCCCAAAACTCCTGGGAGACCCTCATTAGTTGTACTAAAATTGGTGTGCGGGAAAGAGGCTTTAAATAAATATATGATGAAAGATCTTTTATTTAAGTTCTTACCTTTTTTGTGTTGGTTATTTAGATTGCAGACCTCAATGTAGTACGTCATGGACCCTTATTAATGGCAATCACTTGATGTGCAGAAATATAACGTCACTCACGCACATTTTAAAGAAATGTGTCCCTACGATTACGCAAACCTTGTAAGATAAGTTACTAGCGACCTTAAGATTCTGAGACAAGATTCGGAGTAGGAGATTTTCTCAACACTAAGTAGTAAGCCAACATCATTTTGGCGAGAAAACGTGATAGGCGTCGTCATTCTACTAAGAGTTTTAGCAAGAATGTCGTAGTGGCGGGAACAAGTTATTCAATTTTAGAAGTTTAATCATTTTGCGACCTGGAAAGGGCTAGACCTCCAATAAAACTAACCGCATTAATTTATCAGGTGAAAAATAGTACAGTAATCCTTTCCGGGTTGAATATTTTTCGAGAAAACTCGCACATCCTCACCCAAAATTCCTAAAGTACCCCCCGGACTCTTGTGTTCTCTACAGCGTATAGGAATCTGTATATCTCCATTCATTTCATATCAAATAACTGTAACATGAAATATTGAAGACATGAAACCATCTCAGATACATGTGTGTAGGATGGGTTAGACCGTGATTTTATTTAACCTCGGTAGTTTTATCAGCATTATATTACCTATATCCAGCAGAAGCCTTAGAACTATGAAGGTAATTCTCAAGTAAATGTTACATTAAAGAATAAAAGAATATCTGAACAAGGGCCAAGCAAAGCAATTTTAGGACAAAGGCCTCGATACATTTATCACTGGAATTTTTTCTGACCTTTGATATACTAGCATTTGTTGCTTGCAAATAATTCTATCCTTACTAATTTTCTGATAACATTATACTAAAAGTAATAAAAAGGCTTGTGTTAATTAGGCCCACATGCCGAGTATTTTCTTTTTTTGTTCAACAGGGATTTATCTTCGAATAATATCCAAATTCTACAGAAAGATGACTTTGCCAGATTGAAAAATCTGAGAGAACTGTAAGTTAAAGGGATGCGATCACGGTTATGCGCATGCGCGCCGTTTGTCTCTTCAGAATAAATTTGTCGGGTCAACACTAAATTCGAAATCGCCATTACCGGTACAATCATTGAAAATCCTTCGTTTTATTCCGACATCCGTCGCCTTGGCTGGCCTAGTTTTACTTCGGTAGTGGTGATTAGCGTGTGGTTGTGTTGTTTGACTGGTTTCGTTTTAAAAAAACGCAAAAAATAATGTTTTGATCATGGAGGTTCAGAAGAGCATCGTGGCCGTCCGGAAACAGGACGTTCACAAGAGTCTTTGAAGACAGAGAAGCTTAGCCGATCGATCTGGTATGGTTCTAGGAGTACTGTGTGGCTTACGAAAAGAATACACGACACTTGGAAAGTGGTTAAAGGCATGAGTTCGTTCAACTTTGATTTGATTTTTGACTCCGACCTGTAGTTATACCGCAACAGGCCGCCCGATCTTCACCGATCTGGTTCACTTGAAATGTCCCTTGTATCTTTGCTTTACGATCGTATATGTTGAAGAATTGATGTTTTTAAAATAAATTATTGCCTGAATATTCTGTTTATAACCTAGTTTCTTTATGTGTTCTACTCGATAACACTTGTTTTGCGGAACACTGACCCGATGCAACGCTAATGGATTTGTTCATTTGCTGATAAGCAATTGAAATTTATGCTCAATTAAGGATAATTTTTATACTCATACGTTGTGTGTTTTTGTCACCGGCCAGGCGCTATTTGTAGGTATTTCTGGGTTTATATAAGGCGAACTGAGAGAACAGTAATAAAATGTTTGTTTGCAAATTTTGTTTGCCGATCGGTGACTGCTTTGTTAGCGTGGGTACGACCTCGAAAAACTACACGTTGGTAAATGTTCGTTTCAAAGCAGGACAAGGCTGTAAATCTTATTCTTATCGGCTGCAACATATATCTGAGGAGTAGCAAAGAATAAACTTGAATTATGGGGATATATAAAATCAAACCAAATGCCCGGAAATACTCTCGCGTCGCGAACAATGAATTTGAATTTTATAAATTTACTTGCGTGCATCTAACTCGCTTCCGATTGGTTTAAAAACAATCAGCTACTGTCAGAACTCCCACATGCGCATTATCGTAAACCAGTCCCTTTAACAGTAATCTATACCGCAGTCGGTAACAATGACAAAACGCCAAACAAAGCAAACAGTAAGAGTTCTCCTGGCAGGAGTAGAGCCTCTGAACGTTTGGCTACTAATCCAGATGCTCTATCAAAGGCCATCGGTTTAATGACCTTACCTTCCACGTTTCTCATGTGGCTTAGTCCGAGAGCATCTATCACCACTGGTAACTAGCAGGTCATATTCTTGACTTCTGTTGGGAGAACAGAGAAGGCTCCCCTGTTACTGACCAGAAAACATTGCCACATAATCAGGAGGCTGATTTTCAAGCTCAGCTAAAAGAAGGTATCAACATTGTTAATGGCAGTTTAATTATCCGGCTATTACGAATGCACAATTTTAAAATGTTTCCTACAGAAGAAACACTGACATACAGTAGGCACCCTGACTAAGCAGTCAAAGTATTGAACCTCCAATCCGGATGTACTTCGTTTAAGTCTCACCCTGACCGCTGGCTGAGTTTGTTCAGGGTCACCCAAGTTTAAATCCTCGACCGCTCTTGTAAATAACCACCTTATCAATAAGGTGATACGTGAATCACAAGAAGTGGATCGTTACTAGCTTAATATCAATCCCTTCCAACTTAGAATCTCAGGTTAAGGATTGGCACTGTTAGTTTTGGACTGCCTATTTTCGTAGTTCGGTCTTAGTCCCGAATGAAAATCTTGACGGGGAAATGAATGCTAGAGGAAAGTCAATGAAATTTGTCGATTGTAAGAAATGGAGCATGTTGTCGTCTTAATCAGGGAGTATATACACCAGAAAAGCTTTCTCTCACGTCAAAGCTCTTATCGTGATTCCCAATGACTGTTTCAGGCTCCTGTCTTCTAATGCCATTGGACTTTTGCCTGAGAGTGTGTTTGCCTCTCTTGAAAATCTTGAACATTTGTAAGTTATTTTGTTCAAATAATTATCTGTAGGAAAAGTTTTGGAACATTTGCTGATATCAAAGGCTTATTGTAGTCCATTACAATATATAGATCTAGCCAGGGCTAAAAACGAAGCCTCCGTTTACATATTCATAATATAAGCAATTAATTAATGTGATAAACTCTAAGCTACTAAAAAAATCTTTTTGGGGAAGGGGCTGAGTGATTACAGGAAAAAGGATCCGGCAAAATACCCGACATGAAAACTTTCCCATCAAACTAAGTCTTACGTTTACAGCCCAAAAAAATCATTTTAATGCACGATACTCTTTGGTAGCAGCCAATTTACAGGTTACGATTTCTAGAGTCAATGTGGAGCTTTAGCATTGCCGACGACGACGGCAGCGAAAACGTCACTTTTAAAATGAATTCGCGATTCGTCAAACTCTGTCGCGCGTTTATTCCAATTTGCTGAAAATGTCAAATGTGTACATAGGCGAATTTTCTTTGGAGTTGATTTCTTGGGGAAGGGGAATTAGATATTCACAACTTATGGGCGCGACTCATATGAAAAGCTAGGACGTTAAAAGGAAAGTACCGCAAACCTTGTAGTTTTTATAACAGTGCACAATTACGTTATCTGACTTGTCACTGGGAGACCTTTTAATGCACTTCTCCGTTGTTTTGAATATGCTACTGCTTACAGTAAATTAAAGAGCAGATAACCGAGACGGAATAGGAGGTCGTCGTTACCAATGTACCTACTGTTCCAGTTCAGTGGCCACAATATTGACCTGCGGGTTCTAAAAGAATGGAAAGGTGCACTAAATCGGAAAATGCCCTCGCCCCTTGGATAATAACCTCTCGGCCTCAGACATTACCTTATACACATGTATAATTAACACCATCAATCTAAATTTATAGCATCATCCACTGAAGGGTAAACAAAATTTGGATCAATCCCGGAAAATCTTGAATGCTTGCTCGTTGATTTTAGTGATTTCTCAAATTATCCAGTAACAAAATATTTTATTTTTAGGAAGCTGGTTTCAAATAAGATACCAAAGCTACCGGAAAGCATTAAAAACCTGAAAAAGCTGGAAATCCTGTATGTAAAGAAACAGTATAGCGGGAAACACGGGGAATATTATTTTTGTACATCTCTGAAATACTACTTTTTATCATATGGCTACAATAGTACGCGCTCTTTGATTGGCTGTTAAGCGGGAAAGATTTCTTTTTAATGACGGGGCATTATTCGCTAGGTGTCCAAATTTATACAATCTGTTTTTGACTTGATAGTAAACATCCATGCTCTGGTCTAAAAGGTATCCGCTGACCAATGTCACATGACAGTATCGCGGGCTTAATTGTACAACTTATTGAGGTCACGTGTTTTTTAAAGTTACCCACTGACCAGTTATAGGCCAGATAGGCCTTTGGCTGAAATATTGATATAGATATCGCTGACAGCGTGGACGCTTGTTGTGAGAATCCCGTAGGCCCTCATTTATCGAGACGGGCGGACTCGATCGATTTCTTGATCATGTGACGCATGCTTTAAAAATGTTCAACTTGTTGATCATTTAACAGTTAGCGTGGTTAGTAATGCATCAAATAGTGAGAGTCTGAGATGATACTGAGAATTTGAAGAGGCAAAAGAGTTTGGATCCACATTACATAAGCAAACGGTTTACAAAAAAAGATCGAAAGAAACAGGGACAGCATGGCAGCGAAGTTTCTTGTTTAGATCAGCTACAAAACAATTATTGGCTGAGGTTTTGTAATATCCGGAATAATAGAGGTCGACGTAGGTGTTGATAACGCTTACCGAGAACTTGATTATTTGGATATCACAAAAACGGAATCTTAAAATCGTTTTGTGGTACATTGTTTTGAAGAAAATAACGACAAACACACTTTCGCAAGGAACCTGAATTGATATTGTTATTGGAAATCATGCACTACGCGCGCAACCTACAGATTAGTCAGTTATCTGTTAGCAGCTAACTAACTAATATGTAGGTTGCGCTGATTTCCAAAATTTTGCTTTTAGCCAATGAGAAGACAGATAGTGTGTACAATGTATAATAGATTTATGATAAATTGAGGAATTATGTGACTTAAGAGGCTGTCTCAGTAAAAAACCGCCCACTCAATTTCGGGTGACAAATAATTTTGCCTGAAACTCTGGCGAGTGAAAGGCTTTATCGAGACTATAACTAAAATAGGTTTGCTTTGATTCACAATAATTTTCTGGCCGCGCTGGGGGGCGCCGAGTATTTTGTCCCGCCACGGCCATTTTGTACGTCTTGAAAACTGAAAATTTGGCATTTTTTGCGGCGCTGTAAAATGTTTGATTTGCACCATCTATCAATGAGTTTTATACCTATTTATAGGTAAACATCTCTAGTTTTTCCTGAAAGTAATAGTTCTCTGCTAAATTTAGCTGGAAAGACGAAATCGTGCAAAATATGACCCCAACTAATTGCCTTGGAGCGAAAGGCCAAAAATTACCCTGTTTTAAAAGCTTATTTCTGACTTTTGGGACATAGTTGAAAGCTCTAGACTAAATAGACGCAAAGATAGACCATCTGTTATTAATAACATACAAAACCCCATGTACGATTTCAGTGTTTTAAAAGTTATGACCGTTTGTATCAACGCGTATGCGAGCTAATACGATATTTTCAGATTTAGCGTAACGGATCTACCTCAAGCATATTTCGTCAAAAGTACGGCTTACCTAATTCATTACTGGCACTGACTCACAAATTGAGCCATATTCCAATCCCTGAGATGCCGGACTCCATAAAATTCCAGTAAATGTGCTTTAGAAACTGCCGGTATGCGGCCATTTTTGAATCCCATGCTAACAATCCGACGCTCAAAACAGGTGAAACTGTGTCACGTTTCGAGCTAAATAGCTCGGTAAAACAACCATTCAGAGGTGAAAGTTTGCTCGAGAATCAGAAAATCAACTAGGCAAGTCTCATTTTGGATCAGAAAGTTGAGATTTCAGAGCTACAACCTCGAATAAACCTTCTATTCAACCGGCTCTGCAAGGTCAAATGCAGGTTGACACGTAAACCGGAAAAGTAGAAACCCGGAAATAGGGAAAACCGGAAATGCGGAAATCCGGATCATCCGAAATCGGCAAATATGAAATCAATTAGAAGCCGAAGGCATTTCCAACAATTAGAGACAGCTGCATTCGTTTAGGGCTTCTTTTCGACGTTGAGACGCGTAAAAGATAAAACCTTCCAAACCGGCGTAGCTGTTTGATTTTCACTGAACTGAAACGCAGTTCCCAGAAACAGTAAATATCATTAACATTGAGTGAATGGGAGAAAACCTTCTTCAAATTTTACTGATCCTCTTCCTGAATCTTCTCCAGTCCCTTTGACTATTTTTGCAACAGGAACTAGATTTTCCTCTTCCGTCTCCTCCCAAACTTTACGTAATTCATTACTGGCACTGACTAAAAAATTGACCAATATTTCATTCAAAATTCTAGTCAATGCGCTTTTGAAACTGCTGCTATGCGGCCATATTTGAATCCCATGCTGAAACTACCGTAAAATTCCGAAATAAGCCCCTCCATGTATAAGCTCCCCCAAACTCGTAACACAAAAAACCCTCCGTGAAATCGCCCCTCCAATATAGGCCCCACGGGATCTTGTGCTTGGAAAATTGCCCTCAAATACAAAGTAAAACAAAGCAAAAACGGTTAATTTCCTTCCAACTATAAGCAAGCCCAGTCGCTTTTGAAACGCAAACTTCCCTCCGTACATAAGCTCCTACGAATATAAGCCCGTGCAAAAATAAGCCCCTCAAAAAGGGCCTTTGAAAAATATAAGAACCGGGGCTTATTTTCGGAATTTTACGGTATGTCACGTTTCGAGATAAATAACTGGGTAAGAAAGAAAATAAAACAAATGTCCGGAGGTGAGACTTGTCCGAGAATGAAAACATCAGCTAAGCAGATTTCGTTTGGGGTCTGAAAACCCAAATTTGTCGACAAATGTAGGATTATTTTTTCGACCATTTAACGGTGTTTTGTAGCTTATCTTAAAACAAAGTGTCTTAGTCCCTTCTCGGCCATATTGCGTCGGATTTTTGGTCTACAACAAGGGTCGCGCCTAAGACTTGCCACTAGTGTTACCATTCGGTGTTAATATTGGTCTTAAGGTCTAAACATGCATACAGACTTAAATCCTTTGTTAAAGCTACTGTAGATTAAATGGGAGTTTCTTGCAACCATACCCTATAATACTAATATACTAATAAGCCCAGACAACCAAGCTGGCTCGGTTTCCTAGATCTCGACACATTCAGTTTCGATATATAGCCAACTTCTGTAAAGTATTAGTCACAGGTGTGATAAGTTAGCGCACATAGAATGTTTATAACCGGTTAATGATATTTACTGTTTGTTATGGAGCCTATTTGCCAAACGCAATCGATCGTGGAACTGCGTTTCAGTTCAGTGAAAATCAAACAGCGACGCCGGTTTGGAAGGTTTTACCTTTTATGTGCCTCAACTTCGAAAAGAAGCCCTAAACGAATGCAGCTGTCTCTAATTGTTGGAATTGCCTTCGGCTCTTGATTGATTTCATATTTGCCGATTTCCGGATGATCCGAATTTCCGCATTTCCGGTTTTCCCTATTTCCGGGTTTCAACATTTCCGGTTTACGTGTCAACCTGCATTTGACCTTGCAGAGCCGGTTGAATAGAAGGTTTATTCGAGGTTGTAGCTCTGAAATCTCAACTTTCTGATCCAAAATGAGACTTGCCTAGTTGATTTTCTGATTCTCGAGCAAACTTTCACCTCTGAATGGTTGTTTTACCGAGCTATTTAGCTCGAAACGTGACACAGTTTCACCTGTTTTGAGCGTCGGATTGTTAGCATGGGATTCAAAAATGGCCGCATATTAGCAGTTTCTAAAGCACATTTACGGAATTTTATGGAGTCCAGCATCTCAGGGATTGGAATATGGCTCAATTTGTGAGTCAGTGCCAGTAATGAAATAGGTAAGCCGTACTTTTGACGAAATATGCTTGAGGTAGATCCGTTACGCTAAATCTGAAAATATCGTATTAGCTCGCATACGCGTTGATACAAACGGTCATAACTTTTAAAATACTGAAATCGTACATGGGGTTTTGTATATTATTAATAACAGATGGTCTATCTTTGCGTCTATTTAGTCTAGAGCTTTCAACTATGTCCCAAAAGTCAGAAATAAGCTTTTAAAACAGGGTAATTTTTGGCCTTTCGCTCCAAGGCAATTAGTTGGGGTCATATTTTGGTTGATTTCGTCTTTCCAGCTATATTTAGCGGAGAACTATTACTTTCAGGAAAAACTAGAGATGTTTACCTATAAATAGGTATAAAACTCATTGATAGATGGTGCAAATCAAACATTTTACAGCGCCACAAAAAATGCCAAATTTTCAGTTTTCAAGACGTGCAAAATGGCCGTGGCGGGACAAAATACTCGGCGCCCCCCAGCGCGGCCAGAAAATTATTGTGAATCAAAGCAAACCTATTTTAGTTATAGTCTCGATAAAGCCTTTCACTCGCCAGAGTTTCAGGCAAAATTATTTTTCACGCGAAATTGAGTGGGCGGTTTTTTACTTAGACAGCCTCTTAAGGTGTGAAGCTGTTGTAATCAAGTAAAGTTGTTCTTCTTTTACAGGGATTTCGCCCACAATGCTTTAACAACTATTCCTGGGCGAATGTTTTCTAACCTAACGTCCCTGTACGGATTGTAAGTTACCAGTGTCAAATGTGACGATCAAACAGAAGGGACTAAAACTTTGGAAACAAAGAACTGATTGGCAAGGGTTGCAAAATTTGGAATAAAATCTTCTCGTTAACGACTGTTTAATCGTCTTACCTATGTATCAATTATTTTATTGGTCTTTTTTTGTTATGTTTTTAACATTTTGCCTCTTTGATGCTTTTATAATCACGTCAGATATTCACTGCCTAAATTAAAGTAATTTAACTATTGTCCCTTACATTGCACTTCTGAGTCACTTATCATAACGTCGTCGCAAATTAATTCCTATTTGCCCCCACCTGTATGAAAATTTTAACAGTAACCTCGTTTTATTCACACCTGCCATGCTTGAAATCAAAGCTCTGTGACGTCAGCTGTGTCTGTTCTCCGACAGATTACTGAGGATCAATCAATGCACGCGTATTATAACGCGTATTCAGTATGTTGTATACAATGGAACCCCGTTAATACGAGCGCCTTCGGCGCACGGAAATGTGGTCGTATTAACGGGGTGGTCGTTTTAACGAGGTACGGTCACAATATGGTGCAACACGCTTTAAAAGGGTACTGCGCATGAATACCTTTACTTCCGCTATAAATCGACATTTTTTCAACTTGCCACCGCAATTTATTCCAACTCAACAATATGTAACAATGACGTCTTTTAGTTCCTTCATATTACAGGATAAGGCCTCTTTTGAAAAGACCCATTCTCTATATATTCCCTATATATTCGAGGAACCAGACTTTATATATTCTCTATATCAATTAAACATGCTATTAAAACCATTATACTACTACATGAGAAATTTCTGCAATTTGATTGGCTTAGAGCAGTGGTAGTTCACCTTCATTTGAAATACCTACATGTGAAAATTACAAACCTTTTGCGGATAGTAGTATAAACATATAATAGCATGATTTGTACGTGATATTTGGCATAAATATCACTTGTGATATTTCAAAATTGTCTCAAATTTCGTATAACAATTCTGAAATATCACTCGTGGTATTTATGCCAAATATCACTACAAATCATGCTATTACCTATACCAATAATGTCTGCCTAAAAACATTCAATTAGCGGGATAATTCTACAAGGAAAATAATAACTGAAGACTCCAAAAGGTGTTCGTTGGTCGTAGTAATGGCGTTTTCAGATAACAGAATTTGTGGGCTTTTCTGAGGGCTACAAAAAGTGGTCGTAATAAAGGGGTGGGCGTAATTAACCGGGTGGTCGTATGGTAAGCTGATCCTCCGTAGAAGAAAGAAAGAGCACTGTGAGATCACATCAAGTTTTAGAGCGTTATTATATGACATCAGCAAGGCCATGCTGTTTTGCGGAAAACTTTTTGTTAAAAAAAAATGATAGTAAGTAGAATTGAAATAGCTTTGACATAGGAGTCCCAAACCAATCTGTAAAATCTGGACTCTTTTGAATGCCATTTGCTTAACCGTTGACCATGTGAGTGAAAGTGCTTTTATCATCAATGTTACTTTTCTTAATTTTTGACAGGTATTTATGGCATAACCGTATAAACGTTTTATCTAAAGAAGCATTTATCAATTTGAATTACCTGGAATTGCTGTAAGGGGACAGATTTATACCTTAATTCAATATACTTGACATGGTTCAGGTTATAGTCAATTTTTTAAATACAGTAGAGCAACAGTGTCCTTAAAGGCAATGATGTAAAGCTACAATCACCTACAAAACTGGTTGACACGTATCTTGCCATGCACTTTATTTATTTGAGTGTCAATGTATTTAGCTCGAAAGTGCTATTTGGGGACACTATATTTTTACGTCTCCTAATGGAGACGGGACCGCCATTTTACGTGGTCACCAGAGCCACGCGAAGGTCCAGCTGCCTGCGGGGCAAACGGAGTACCTTCATTTCTCAGTTATTTTAAGACCCTGAGTATTGGTCCGGCCCCGGGAATCGAACCCGCGACCTCCAGCTCTGCAGTCAAGCACTCTACCAACTGAGCTAATCCTGACGCGGTTAAACATAACATAATAACCCCTCTCCCTATGTAGTGTTTCATATTAGGCAGCGGCGTACACTGCAAAACAAACCAGGAAACTGTTGGGGAGGGGCCATATTCAGAAGTATCAAAAGAAGCCAATTCTACCTAATCATAAAGCCGATTACTTAGTACACTTAAATCTGTCCGTCGTGGTCATTCCGGAGAATATCAGCGATAGTGTTAGAAGCACTCAATCTCGCTGACATTTAACAACCTGCTGGATGTTTCCCGAATGTTAAGCATTTTACACCTTTTTTTAACTTAAAAACGCCATTGAATTTAAGCTATAAGTACTACAGTATACATTCCTTTCTCCTTTAACCCTGCAGACTTTAATTCACGTTCAATACACACAGCTGTACAAACTACTGATTGAGGCAAAGATCTCATTGGTTAGCGAATCACTATCAAAATTTTAATACCTCTTAAAATACGTCCTTATTTTGAGATTTCTAGGACCTTTGGGGCTCCCACCCAGTTTGCATCGTCTCTTTTATGATATTGTCTATTTGAATACCATAATCCAATAACATAAAAAACCCGCGTTTCTTCTCGTTTCTGCTAATAGTCTACTAGCAACGACCCTGTACGCAGCAAGAGGCATCTAGAATCTAGTAGGTCTTCACTTTATTACATAAACCTTCAGTCATGTCAAATGAAGATTTGTGGTTCCTTTTTGTTACATGTAGGTATTTGTCTTCAAACGCCCTTACATCATTACCCGAAGGAGTATTCGCGAGTCTAGAGCGACTAGCTATGCTGTAAGTCGCGCAAAACTGTGGCTTTTTTCTCGCCGGTTTTAGATGAGTTTGTAGTTCAGTTTCTTTTGATAATTATGATTCATGTTATGTTTCTTACAAGGAACGCATCAAAAGTGCAGCTGGATATTCAAAGCGGCAATGTCATGATGATATTGCTGGCTCTGGTAAATTCTGTGCTGAAGTCGTTACTTAATGCCTTTACCCATACACAAAATACTCCTGTAGAGTTATCAAGTCGATTTCATTGAATTTCACCAGGGAACACTAACCTAGCCTGAATTTCAGACGTTCCCTCAAATCGAGCATACTCCAGAGAGGGATGTCTGAATCGCCAAACAGTCGCATATGTTATGTAAAATTATGAGAAGTTTAAAGGGGACTGTCTTTGATATTCAGCGGATCGCATGCGCTGGTGGAGCTCAAACTTTCGACAATCTTTTTTGTAAACAGCAAAATATTTGTTAAACTGAACTACGAATGAAGAACCAATGTGGCTGTGAATGGCGGCACATGATAGCCGTGGCGATGAACATAACAACAAAACGTTTAATCATACACGAGGCTGAATCAACTCACAAGTACCATCACAAACATCCGTTAGAAAGCTTTAGAAATCCGTAACACGAGAAAGAAAAACTGAAACAAAACGACTTACAAAACACTTGGGAAACTTGAAGAAAACCTTAGTGAAACTTCAGGTTATTTCACGGTGGCCTCGTGCTCGCCAATCCCGAGGCCCCGTGCGCATGCTCCTAATAAACAAGGGGGTAAGCCCGCTGGTCAGGATACCAGCAGTTACAATCAATGCGAAAAAACAGTGGGTTTCATTTAGAGACGCTTTGCGCTCAGTTTCGGCATTGATTTCGTTTATGCGGAACAGCAGTGATCTGTTTTTGGGAGATTTATAATATGCTTGTGTCGAGTTAGCAAATTGTCGAACTTCCTGTCATTTCCAATGTGAAGTGTAATGTTTCTCTTTTTTGCTTTCTTTCTGTCTGTCTTCTTCGTTAAGGTTGATTTATAAGTGCATGTGATCGAGTTTTATTTTTGAATTATGTCGCCATTCATGCAGAAGATTCGTTCATAATGCTGTATGTAGTTAACAGTCTGCACGTTGAACACATGACGACTCAAGAGTAAAACAGCTCTGTACCATGTAAACCTACCTCTCCGGACGACATTTCTTAGTTTGCCGAAAATCTTTTTTTGCATGACTTTCCTTCCGGGAGTATATGACTCAAAAGGGACGTTTGGAGTTCAGGCTTCCACTAACCATAATATTGTTTTCGGTGATTTTTGCAGGCGTGGCATTAGAACTTGAAAACGTTGGCTCGTGCAACTTTTTGAAGTCTCAATCAATGCCCATCCTTCCTATCCCTTGCAAAAGACGACACGAAATAGTTCCAATGCCTAAATATAGTCTTGAATAACTGAACTGGACCATTATTTTGGTACTCAATTGTGGCATAAAATTATAGCACATTATTATTGGGACATATCCATAATAAGCTATTGGGTCTTTTTCCTGAATCGCGAAACCCATTAGCCATGTATTCGCTGTAATAACCACATGTTATCTTAAGTTTAAAATATGTCATTTGAATAACTTCGCAGATATTTGTCTTCAAACGCTCTAAGAGTGACCTGAAGGGATGTTTGCTAACCTGAGCAATTTAGAACTACTGTAAGTAAGATTAACTGAACTTTGTGAGCCTAGCTTGCAGAAAAAGTTAACTGTTCTTCCATATAAGCAGACTATTGTTTTGAAAATATCCGCACAGTGCATTGTGCTTTTAAGCACAATGCAAGTTATCAGGACTGCCACGCGGTTTTAATAAACCGAAAAACCGCGTGGCAGTCCTGATAACTTGCTCTTAGGATGTACTTGTTGATAAACTTTCGTCTCATCTATTTTTGTTGATCATGTTTTATTTTTCATTTTAAATATTCGTATTTTCCCTTTTACTAGAATTTTTTTTTTAATTTTATTTATTAAACAAAAGTACGTTACAATACTTACAATTGTGCACTTAGATAAATGTTCCTGTATTGGCCATTAAAATACTTCTATCGATTACACATATTAAAGCTAAAGTATTACATTAATATACATATAAAGCTGAGAGGAGGGTGGCACTATCATGTCAAACTTCTATTTCAAGCTGCATAATAAATTTAGATATAAATTCAGAGGTGTCTGTTTTCTTTTGCATTGATTTACGTTCGTTTGACATGATTGCGTAATCCCCTTACATTCAGTGATAGGAATTTGATAAGTGTCATACTGTATTATCACCTAAAATCTTACACTAAACTTAAATGCACAATAGTTATGCTAATATAAGGTTACGTCAACTAAACTCAACAGCAACGAATTAATCAAAAAAAAGAAAACAAACAAAGAAAAAGCAACAGAATAGAAAATAAGAAAAAGCAAAAAGAAAAACCTAACTTTACAACAAAAACTAATAAAGTACAAAAGTTTTTTAAGAAAAATACGCTTAAGAGACTAACCTTCGTACAATCTAAGCCTATGGCGAAATCGACCTCCCGTAATTATTGCATGGATGTTTGTTAAGTATTTATAATTCATCAAGATCATCTTCAGAGTAAATTCTAACAGGATTACCTGATGGTGAAGTTTTAACAAAGACCTTTCCGTCTAGTGTCCAAACACTTGATAAAAGTCCATCAGCCTTCATATCATTCGCTTGTCTTACTAAGTCTGCCCTATAAGGTGTGAGGTTTTCGTTGATAAATATACGGTTTTGCTTTGTTGCTGCTGAGGCATAACTGGGATATAAATCTGATATCCTTACTGACTTCAATTTCGTTCGCTCTTTATGTAGCCGAGACTTAACTTTATGGCTACAAAATTTTACAATTATAGGCTTCATACCATTTTGTCGTCTTAGCTTGTGAGAGATTTCGATGTCCTCCGCAGCAACAGGGACATTAACAGCCTCAGCTACCTTGAGAACAACTTCTTCCGTTGAGGTGTAAATATTTTCCGGGATACCATTTCGAGGGGGTTTTTTCTCGAATATTGCTCGAGGTTATCAAGCGATTCAATCAACGAGTCGATCCTTTCCGTCTGCTCGTTTAGTTTTGTTTTAGTCCCAAGTAGTTCTTTCTGAAGTAGAGCATTTTGCTTGTTAGCCTTATCAAGAGACGCTTTAAGCTCCTTGCGTTCACGTTCATTGGATCTCTTTAGCTCCTCCATGTCTTCTCTAAATTTGACGTTTTCACTCGAGATGCTCGTAATTGGGGACTGTATAGATGACAGCATCAGTTTAATTTCCAGCAGAGTTGGTTCTTCTTCAGAGGAGTCCTCGCCGCCGAATATATCTTCTTCCCCGGTTTCCTTCATGTTTGGCTTCTTGGCGGAATTTTCAGCAGAACCTGAGCTAGAACCCAGGTCACCTCGTTTGTTTTTCCTCGAATTTGCCGACATTATGGACGTTGAAACAAAGCAAGCAATTTGACAGTAAAAACAAGAGCAAAAAAGACAAGAACCCAACGAAATTCTGGATTTGGGGAGTCGAATTTCGCGCTGCTTAGAAAACACGTCCGTCCGTCCTTTTACTAGATTATATTTGTTTCCTTTTGACGAGGATGAAAAAATCAATAAAAGTAATGTGGAAACAAAAAGTTGAAACACCTTATAATATACAGTAGTTTAAACTGGTGGAATTTAACCGATAATAATAATAAAAAAAAAACAAGAAAATTGGACCCTAAACTGTTGACTAATACCGTAAAATTCCGAAAATAAGCCCCTGCAAATATAAGCCCCCCAAACTCATAACGCTCCTAACCCTCCGTTAGATCGCTCCTCCAAATATAAGGCCCCCGGTGGCTTGTACTTGGAAATTGTCCTCAATTTCACAAAGTAAAACAAAACCGAAACGGCAAATTTCCCTCCAACTAAAAGGCCGCCCAATCGATTTTGAAAAGCAAATTTTCCCCCGTACATAAGCCCCTCAAAACGAGAGCCTTTGAAAAATGTAAGCCCCGGGACTTATTTTCGGAATTGTACGGTATTTAAGGTGGCTCGACTGGATTTTTTTAGGGGGATACCTCCCAAGTTTGAGCCTTAACTACGTCGGCATGGGTAAAGATATGGAAAAAAAGTTACCACAACTGTATTACATAAAGATGAAAATTTCTTATGATCTGGGTTTTATTGCAATCGGAGTCGCCATGGCAACGTAATGACGCCATTACGTTTTTCATTTATCCTTGTGTTTCTCTCTACCAGGAGTTTTTCTTAAAATATTAGCGAATTGTGCGGCTAGCATGCTATTTCGCTGCTTTGATGATTCTTAAAACTGCATTTCGAAATATCTCGAAAACGCTCTCATAGAATTTCTTCAAACTTTGCCATAATGGAGGCGATTATGGCAGGTGCATACTCCCTTAAGCGATTTCTTCAAAAAACTCCTGGTACAGAGAAACACAACGATAAATGAAAAACGTAATAGCGTCATTACATCGCCATGGCGACTCCGATTGCAATAAAACCCAGATCATAAGAAATTTTCATCTTCATATAATACAGTTGTGGTAACTTTTTTTCCATATCTTTACTCATGCCGACGTAGTTAATGCTCAAACTTGGGAGGTATCAACCCCAAAAAATCCAGTCGAGCCACCTTAAATTACAGTAAAGTGATGTATACTACAACATTTCGCCATTGGAACACCTCCGATAACACTCCTTGTATGCCCTTAAAGTTTTGAATAACCTCTGTCAGTTTAAATTTCTCCTGGGTATTGAATGTCCCTGGAGAAATTGAAGACAATGCTTATGCAATTTTTTTTGGCAAACAAGGCGCCTTATGGGAGACATGCAAATGACTAATTTTGATTTTTTCCCCAGAGACCTTTCGTTGAACAAAATAAGGGAACTATCTGTAGCTATCTTTGTCAACCTCGGTGAACTATCTAGAATGAAAGTAATAAAAAACAAAGCCTACAATCATTCAATAAATTTTAGAAAAAAATGCAAAGGCACTAATGTTATCATCATCACCAAATTTAGTGGCATTTTTGAACAACAAGAACAATGCGATTTTTTTGATTGAAGGATGACACTGGCAGAAATGCTCATTAAGACAAATTAGACGTAGGATAATAGCGGAGCTCTGGCGCGCGAAGCGCGCCTGCGGAGCACCATGGGTAAGTAAATCTACCCATCCGAGAAAATTTGGTAATCACGTGACCGTACACCGCCCGCAGCCCGCCCGCCCGTCCGTCCGTACCACAGGAGAACCAATGTTCAATCTCACACTTTCTAGCTAGTTTGGTAGCACAGGAAGACTGATATTGCACACATATTGTACATGAATGTTGTGATCAATTGACAGTTGTCAAAACAGGGTATCCGCTGATCAGTATCACCTGACCGTATCGTGGGCTCAGGTGTCGACCCATCGAGGTCGAGTATCTTTTTGAAGTTATCGGCTGACAAGTTACTAGTTTTCAAATGATCGCAGGCTCAAGTTTAATTTTTTTTGATTCATATAAAATATGTTGTGTTTTTTATGTGTCGCACAATTAAAATTTTGATTTCAAACTGACCTCGGAGGCTAAAATTCAGCCAGTTTTTACAGGCAGGGAAGACATGCCAGTTGCTTTTGACTTTACTCAACAAGGTCACGCGTTGGTCACGCTCTACGTCCAATTTTTATGCTCTGATTGGTCAAAATTTGACAGGTGAGTTCATGCGGAAAATTTATGCAGCCTCTTGAAACTTGTTTACTTTGACAGCTGAAGCTGACAGAGTTTTGTGTCAACTTGTGATGTTTTTAACTATCTTTCTCCGCTGAATGTACAAAATGAAATTCTGCTGCTATCAAGAGTCTTCTGTTATTCATAGCTAGTTTGTTTATTGGGTTTTTGGTTGAAAAATACGTCGCTTGTGAAAGACGGAAATCCGATTTCGGATGGCATCGTTTTCCTTTTTCACCTTGCTTGATGCGTAAGAGGGTTGAAAAGTCTGAAGCGATTCTGGCCTTACTTGATAGTTTTCAGAGCATCTTGAATGGTAAGCCTGAGTAATTATTGTATTTGATGTTTGTTTTTTATATCTAATTTAATGAAGTCGGGCGTAGTTTATGCACGTTTGTAAGATTTGAGACAAAGATCGATCTGACCTAGTATCAGGTTTGATTATAAGCTTATAGAACTTTAAAAAGCCTTTAGACATTTTCTCACCTCAAATAGAAAGAAAACGTTCCAAAGAATATTTAGTTATAATTCTGGCTGTAAAAGAAAGCTTTGAGCGATTTTCCTGCCTCGAGTTCATCTTTGAAAAAAGCAAACGCCGGGAAGCCGGCTTAAAAGATAAACAAGGATTTTCAGAGACACTTTTAACTTGTCTTCGTGAATGAAAATTGTTGTCTCTGTATATGTTTCACCGAATTATTATCCTTTTATTGATTGTTCGTAGTCTTTTTTGCAATTTTAATCGCTGTGCCGTTTGTTTTCTGTCGCTCACGAACATCGCTTGCAGGAGTAGTCAAAATGCCGCGTGTATCAACGCTTTTGAAGATTACACATATTTATAAAACCGTTAAATAAAGAAATAAACATAATAAATTTTTTATCATGTTAAAGCGTATAACTCTATTAATCTTGATTTAAACAGTGGACTTTGGCGCTTGTTAAAAGTGAGAACCGGCAAGCCGTATAGGTGATTTTAGAAGTTTTTTTAACGGTTTCGGTAAAAGCCCACGCGTGCTTCGATCGACCTGAATGTTGAATGAGTACAATTTTTATTGCAAAATTGTGATCTGTCCGAGGTCTGTATGATAAAAACAGTGTCTCATGGTACTGTTTCACCTCAGATAAAAAGTAGAAAAGGTTGGTTTACACGTCCCCAGAATTGTTAGCAAGATTTTGTCAACTAAATTGTAAACTTGTCGAACGCAAAAAATTGGGCCTGATTTATTTTCCGAGAATTTGTTTTCCGGGCCTAATCTACTGTGATCAAGAGCCATTATGGCTCTTGAATGTGATCGAAGATGATTGCTATTTTTTGGGTGTACATATAAGGCTATCAACTCGATGTAAGATTAAGTTCACTCTTAGCTTGGACTGTTTGCAAATTATTTTTCTCTAAAATCACTTAGCCTTTCCCTCAAAAGTCACTTGAATGTGCTCTAAAGTTAACTGATTTGTAAAATACAATTGCAAATTTATTGTTTGATTTAAATTGTAAATTCGAGTTAATAGGAGCTTCGCTTTTAGCCCTGGCTAAATCTATATATTACTTAAAAGAATGTGAAACCACTGATCAGGGAGACGACAACATTTAACGTAACTATCTTCCATTTCTAGCCATCTCCCTTTCGGGTTGAAAGCGCTTCCCATTCGAAAAGTCTCAAAAAATGAGGATAATGGATTTTTTGAAAAATGGAGCCAGGGAGGTGAGAAACAGGCAGCCGTATATTATTAGCCCCGTTTTTTCGGTCCCTACTGTAAATTACGGATCCTCGGTTTTTTTTCCATCGATGAAAAAAACTCGGTCCGTAATTTACAGTATGGACCAAAAACTCGCCTAATAGGAGGTATTTATATTGTATATCAGATAAAAATGATAATAATATTTGGTTCTGATATTAACAACTCACTTGCAAAGGAAGAAATGACTACCGGCGAAAGGTACTGCTTAATTCTACTGATTTATTAAGCTTTGTTTTCCGTAGAAATATTTCATCAAACGCCTTATCCGCGCTACCGAAAGACGTCTTTGCTAATCTAACAAGCCTGTTTTCACTGTAAGTGGAAACCTACTCCTCGCATATATTTTGTATCCTACATTAGTATTTTTATTATTGTTGTTTTTGACAAACAATTTTCGTCGTGTTTATCAAATTTTCTGGGGAAAAACTCTCCTTTAATGGCAAATAATCGGATTACTCGGGTGCTACACACGTGAAGGCGAAACTTGGTACGAAGGTCATGCCTTACTCTGGCTTCTCATTGAACGAAGATTTATCTTATTGATATTAAGAACATTCTTTACGCCTCTGATTGGTGGAGACGTCAATGGCGTATAGAAAATTCTTACATGCTTTTCAGTGAGTACATCTGAGTATGTATAAAGTGTAAATAACACTCATTTCTTTCACGGGAGCATATGAACCCACAATTGACCTGCTCCCAACGTCAGTGGCTTCATAGCTCAGTTGGTAGAGCATCGCACCGGTAATCGCGAGGTCCCGGGTTCAAACCCCGTTAGAGTCCTGAATTTTTTTCAAGCTTCTTTACGCAATTGCATAAATTGCGTTCACTGCGACGATCATTTCTTCATTTTCATGTAAATAAACCGTTACTATTTTTAGCTCTTGTCAAATTGAATTTCATTGAAATAATAAGTAACTCATAAGATGTCAGTTTATTTATTAAGATGTTTTTAAGTATCCAGTTTTCGTCTCACGATCCTCGCGCTCCCACGGACCATTTTCGTCTTACGATCTTTACGCTCCACAGACAGTTCTCGTATTTTTAGTATTCTATAAGACAACGCTTCTTGATCACTTTCAGGGACTTGTCTTCAAACGTTTTTAACGACACTTCACTGCCTGATGGTTTGTTTGATAAAGTACCTGCTCTGACTAAACTGTGAGTAGTTAAAATGGCTACAGTCTACAGTCTATGTCATGTTTATTGTCTTGACAATTTAAAAAAAATTTAAAGACGTACTTTTTAGTAAGGCTTTTTATTCTTAATTAGGCTTTTTGATATTGTACATAACACATGATGTAATTCTTATTTATCATCTCGTCATGAAAACTGTGCTATATAAATTCTTAATTATTGTTATTATTACTATGCTGTTTAGCAGGATATACGTTTCTATTTTTTAATCCACTCTTATGTTATTTAGAACGGAGTAGTTATTTTAACAAACTAACCATCTAGCTAACGCCCCTTATTACTTACCTATACTAATTTGCTAACTGACTGACTGACCGAAAGAAACTTTTGATAGTTCTTCTTTAACTGTAACTAATGGAGTACAGTCTTATCTAAAAAACCTGTTTATTTTTTAAAGCATGTGTAGGATTCTTACAACAGCACAACAGAACAATAAGTTTAGCTGATTTTTTCCAGGCATCTGTCCTCAAATTTCCTAACAATGCTATCTGAAAGATTGCTTGCAAACGTGCCAAACCTTGAGTATCTGTAAGTCAACATGAGTTTACCAAGAGCACAAATGGTAGGCGTGTGAATTTAAACAAAATGCAAGGCTAATCGTACAGCTTATGGTAAAAGGGGTAGTTTTACTGTTAAATTATTTAATTAGACCAAAGTATTTGTTCGTCGCAAAAAAGCAGTCGCAGCACATATTGCAATACAAATGAAAAGAACATAATATCACGTCACGAAGTTGTCACGAAAGGGCCAGCAAGATTTTGCAGATATGGCAGTGGCATCAACTTCCTACAATAAAGCTGAGTCATTTCTCCGGAGGAAAAAGGCGCTCTTCCCATATTGACGGGAACGGGAAGAGCCGGGAGATTTACCCATATATGCACACAGAAAGGGCTTCAGTATATTTATATGCTTAATTGACCAAACGCGAGGTCAAGATCACCGGACTAAAGGAAAAGGGAAAAGAGACAGAATAATACGCCCTACGTGTTGTGTAGTCTATAAGGATTAAAGACTAATAAACTATTTTGTGAAATGTCTGGAACGCTCCTCTCGAATTAGGGTTGGGATTCAGATGGACTGTTAAAGGCCATACGCCAAACAACAACTTTATGTTTTGATTTTTTTTTTTCGAAAACGTTTTGATTCCAGATTTTTTTCTAAACAAGGACGATGAAGAATCATTTATTATAAAACCATTTTTTTTTTCTCGTCCCCAAAATTAGAAACGTATTTGTCAGTGAAAAAGCCGGGTACCTTATTCTTACAGGGACATATCATCAAACGAGATCAGTTTTTTACCAGATGGGGCGTTCACAAAGCTAGGATCTCTTAAATATTTGTAAGTGAAATAAGGGCATTAAATCTTTTTAGACAAGTGTATCGTAATGTTTAGTTTAACAAAATATGTTTCTTCCAGATTTTTACAAAACAACAACTTATCTAGGATATCAAACGTGACTTTTTCGGGAAACAGAGATCTTTTTTATGTGTAAGTATTAACCATAGGATAACTGTCAGTCATCCTTCTACATGTCATCCAGAATAATGTATCACTCATCCAGACGTAAAAATGAAAATACCCTTTTAGTTAGAAGTGGAACCTTTGGGACACCTGTTTTATTCAACGGACACCTCCATTCAGGGGACACAAAATTTGTCCCAGTAAAATGTTCAAATAACCAGGAGACAATTTGATGGGCTCCTGACATAACTACTCCATCTGTGACCTCTTTTGGAGGAACACCTTTATTCAGGGGAAAGGGGCACTTCTCTTGGGTCCTGAAACCCTTGTTTAACTTCCATTTAGGGGACAGTTTAGCACTGGGTTAACAAGTGTACACTAGTCACAGTGATGACACCTTTCACGTCAGGAACTATCTCACTTAAATCGATGTGCTGCACTCTCTGGAATTCAACACACAATATCACAGATTGACAGATGACAGATGATGTTTTGTACTCTATCTAACTTCTTGAAACAATACAAAAATGCAGCGGAATAAAAAGAAAAAATTAATTTATTGGTTAGTTCTTAACAAACCCCAGCCCAACCTCTTTTCAGGGGACACTTTTATACAGGGGTCACCTGCCTTGGTCCCTAGGGTGTCCACTGGATAGAGATTCTACTCTATCAAAATTCATACTTGGCTCCTAGGTTGAGGGGTAAAACAAAAGAAAAGAATCTGTAATCCCTCGATCTCAACGCAATTTCTTCCTTTTGTTTTATTCCCATCAGCGACTCGCAGCCAGTATTCATAATTAACTCGAAACTGGCGTATTAATTTTAAATGATCCCTCTTACCTCAACTTAGATTTTTGAGCGCCAACCGTTTGAAAATGATCCCAAGTGGAGCCATGTTTCTTTATAACTATTTTATCGGTGTGATGTAAGTATTGCATTTGTCTTAGTTTTTAAGCCGCCGTTGTTTCGATTACAGTTTTCTTACTGAACGATGTTCATGTATGATAAGCTGTAGTTATTATTCTACTGTAGTTGTAGGCTAAGCTTTCCAACAACTTATTCAACTCGAAGCCCTTTACTATCATCACTTTACAAGAAACTAAACAGGGGCACCCAACAACCGAATGCTTCCAAATAAGCCAGAATTGTATCAGTAGGGTTTCGCTATGCTTTAGAAGCCTGTTTGGTTAATTTGGAGCTGCCCTAAAAACTATTTACATGTTCAGATGTCTTAGGGGAATTTATATCGTTTCGAACCTTTTTTTCTCACACCCCAAATTGTTAGCAACGTATCCTGAAAGTTCTTATCGAAAGTTAAAGGAAATGTCGTAGTCTTACTTTAATAGACCTTTTTAGCTTGTATGTTTTGTTTTACCAATTCAAACCACGTGATGCTCTTTAGGGAATTTGCCTTTTGTCTTTTCATTAATTATATTACATACATACGCATGTGGGTGAACGTGCATAAGACGACAGTTGAACGAAACGGTTCTCTTGGGTACCATCACGTGGTCTGTAATCGGAAAACAAAACATGCAAGACAAAAAGCTTTATTAGAAAATTCTAGGGGACGCTTTGCCTTTAAAAAATGTGAAGATCACACACACTCCGACAATCGTGGGTAAGTTAGTAGAAAAATCTGGAATGGAACGGTTTCCAGATATGTTTAGCCGACCTTTAGAAATTTGTGGGCAATATTTGCTCCTTCGAACAGTTATTATACAGATAAAACGTCGTCGGCTTCCCTCCACTGCAACACATTAACTATGACGAATATATTCACTCTGAAAACGGTTGTGCTTGTGATTGATGTCCTTGCTTAGCTTTATCCGACGCAGAGTGACAACGGCAAATCGTCTTGACTATGGAGGAGGGCTTGCAACATCTTAATTTTGGCTTCATTTATTTTTCAAAAGTCTACCAAAATACAGATGAAACCAAGGGACTGTGATGAAGATACAATCATCAAGAAGACAAAAATATTTATATCCGAACATGAAGTCCTCTGTATTTAGTAAATGGCTTAGTTTTTTAACGGTAGCTGCACCTTAAGACCTGTATCTTTTACGTGTTGACCGTTCACGTTTTTCGTTTCCATTTATTTTATTGTTTTTAGAATGTTGTCTGATAATCCCTTAACAGCAATTGAACCGAAGGCAATTAGGATTCCCGACAGTGGTTTGAGCTTGTACGTTTTATTTAGACTTAATATTGGAGCATAAGCACAGTTGACTCCAGATAACTCGTACCCTCGAAACAAAGTCGCACTCGAAACAAAATCGATTTCCCCTGGATTTTACCCTCGGTAACTCGAACCCTCGATGTCACTCGAAGTAGCCTTTTCTCGCTTCAGATCATTTCTGTATAATAAAGTGCACTGAAGTCCCAAACATTGAGGTTACTTCGAAACAAGGGTGTCAATTCTTTGTCTTAAAAAATTAATTTGTCACTCTACTTCTAGTCTCAATCTCAGTACATTAATAAAGCTTTGTTGCTTACCGGTAATTTCTTTTTTTTTCAAAATAGCAACCACTGATTTGTATCTCTTGCTGCCCTTAAAGTGAAAAGCGCATCGGACTTTTTTCGATATCCCTAGGAGGTTCGAGTTATCGGAAGTCGACCCGTGCTAGCTAAAAAAATGCATGTTTTTTTTTTGTTGTTTCGTTGGGTAGTTTGGTCCTTTTAATTTAGAGAAAATAATAATGCTTTTATGGGTATGTCAAAAACATTTTATTGTTTTGAATTAACAGAATTTTAAACGCATAAAGTTATATCCTTTTAATAAAATTTTGGCCTTGGGTTTATATTTGAGAAAAATATTCTTAAAATTTGGTAGATTTCAGCCCCGATATATGTTATAAAATGTATTCTTATATAAAAAAAAAAGGGAAGTTATACGTCGGCCTTGCAAAAACATGGAATTGTTTAGCGTTTAGAAAATTTATTAATATATAATACCCAAAACCTAGTTACAGGTTCATTCCCATTGCGTTTTAGCAAGTAAATGTACTTTTTTTTGTCGGAATAATTTTGTTTTTTTTCTACCTCCGTAAAGGTCTTGTATACACATTCAAGTGATGACAAGCTCATTGTGTTTAAAACACATTATTATTCATTCAAAATATTTCCCCTATTCTTATTGGCTAAAAGCACACGTTTAATTTACCATAACAGTTACTGATGACCAAATTTGGAAGAAATTTGACTTTAACGAGGAAATGGCGTCAAAAATGCAGCGTTCTCACAGGTTAAGGCACCGTTAACCGAGAAGACCTGGGGACGAGGTTGGGTTGTTTTGGTTGTGAACTTGAAAAAATGGCGGTCATTTCACTCGTTTCAAGAGTAAGAACTAGGCGAAAAAATAGCTAAAAACATTGCAAGAGCAGCAAGGAGACAACTCGAAGGGCGACATCTGCTATCTGGAGAATATTTGCGGAGCTGGATTCGGCTTTCGTATCATATGAAGAATTATGGAGATCTCGGAGGGTGTTATCCGCCTCGGCCTACGGCCTTGACGGACAACACCCTCCTCGATCTCCATAATTCTTCATAAGATACTCCGCCTCATTCATTAACTGTTAAATAACAGTTTTGTACGTTCGCATTTAGAGAAGTGCTGAATTTCTTCTGGTATGTTCAACAATGCGAGTTCGTAAAAAACTGCCTGTTTTTTCTACGTATTCTGCTTTACAGGCAGGCTAGGGTAATGTGCAGACCATACGGAAATTAAGGTCTTGACGTAAACGATTGTTAGAAGAGCAAAAAGTTTAGATTTTTGACAGATAATTGTGTTCTTACCTTGTGTTTTTAACTTATCTTCTCGGAAAACGTTTGATTGGAGATTTGCCAAAACCGTTCCAGGTAAAGAGTGTCAGGCTTTGTTAGGTACATACCTCTTTTTAGCCGGGTCGCGCTTGGCAATGAATCGATGGAGAAAGAGGTCATGAGTAACTTTCAATACGGACCTAGAAAACGAGGCTAAAAAACCAAAAAGATGCTTATTATATATGGCTTCCTGTATGGGAGACCGGCAATAAGAAGAAGACAAAGGAATTGTTACTTATTTGACAGCCCTCAGAAAGTGACAGTTCTATTAGCTTAGACAAACAATAGCGCAATTCAAGGGCCCCTTGAAGTTGAAGTTCAACAGTGAAATCAAAATGTAAATGCGCCGTGTTGAAAAAAGTACAATTCTGTCAGAACTAAGAGCACTGCAAGTCCTAGCTCGACAATTTGACGCTGGAGTGTATGAATATTACGTTTGACTCGAAGTCGGTTCTACCATTCGTTTGTTTCGCTTACTTCTCTAAAAGCAAAATCTCTCCTTATCCACCAGTCCATACTACCCTTCTTAACTCTGTTTTGCAATTTTTCACCTGTGATAAAGTTTTCGATTTCCTGACTAGAATACTCTTTTTGGATAAGATTACGTTTCAGTGTTTTCATTCACTTCGTTTTAAAATAACCAGGTTAAAATTTAGAAGGACGACAACTTCTAACTATTATAACTCTTGATTCATTTTATTTTCGACTCAAACCGATTTATAGCTTAAAAACGAACATTTGCTATTGAAATTTTGCTCCGCACGGTAAGTTAAGAATCGCAAATTGTCACTTTCTTGTTAATGTATCAAATGAGTAAAAATAGGTAGCTTTTTAAAAGAATATATTTTGTCCATTTTAAACAACACTTTGTAATAACATTGTTAGAAAAATTAGCATATATTGAAAGAGCAAATAATTTTATCTTATTTCCTTGCAGATATTTGCTGCGAACTAATCTAAAGACATTGAATCCTGAGTCTATCGTTGGCTATCCAGCACCGGGATCAGACAGTAGCAGCGGATTTGGCAGCTTTTTTTCCACAGTGTAACCTATATAAACTGTGATTTACAGAAATAATAACCTTCAAACTATCCTGGCTCCAGAGGTCCCTTGTTGAAATACTCAGGATGAAGTAAACCGTGCTTAGGGTTTGGTAGTTAGGATTAATTTAGGTTTCTGAGAAACTGCCCACCGGCCCCTCCCCTGAGCCATCATTTTGCCCTAAGTGAGAAGTAAGGGTTAATGTTAGCTTGGGGGCAGAGGGGGGGGTTGGGCAGTTTCCTAGAACCTAAATTGATCGGATGGTTTGAGGTCTTGAAGAAAAAATAACCTCTGGAATCCAGGGTATCTTCAAATAGGAAACAAAAGTATACGTTAACGCTGACGAGATTATGCGGAGATTATCAGTCAGTTTTTGAGAACAGAAAATTACAATGTCAGGATAACTGTGTAGGCATACTTTCATAAGAAATTTATTCCGTAAATGGCCTTGCACGTTCTATGTGTGCCATACATTGTTTGATATGTGTATGCTGATTTTTGTTTTTGAACAATAACACATTTAATGAAACTGAATGAGATACCTGTTAAATTCGTTCAAAGCTATAGAAATGTTTTGTCTTTGGAACAAAGCACCTTACAACTTCCTCAAATCTGCTATCTCACGAATTAGGACTTGCTTTTAATTCACGCTTGAGAAATGAAATTTTAGGATGCTAAGAGATTTTAATTTACTTTTTACACGTAACATGTTCCTTGTTATTGTCGTCGTCGTTGTTTTTTTTTTTTCACAGGGTGATGGAGGATAGGAGGCTAAGGACAATTAAATATTATTACCATGGAAACGCGCCTGGTTTTGTAATATATCTGTCAGTACAACAATTAAGGCTTTATTTGCATGCCGGGATTTTTGCCCAAAATCCTTAAGAAAAGTGCTATTATTTCTACAGATTTAAGTTTTATCCCCACGTTTTGGCCGGGGGGCTGTTTTCTTTTCTTTCCATCTAAGGTCCACTTGTTTCACTTCCGAAATGATTTTAACGCCATAAACCATGAAACTAGGAACGGAAACTTTTACAAGAAATTTTTAAGGTGAAATTTTCAGTTAAAAAGCCTTCATCTTTTACGCCTAGCCCCTTTGAGACCCTTTTGTTTACCTTGATCACAGGCTACCCAGTGCAAAAAACGGAACAGTTGGTAGTAATATGTAACAAACCACAACTTAACGACAATTCAAGGAAATAAAACAAACCCTGTGCAAACCAGCAGAGTATGACCTATTCTTTAACGTAATTTACCGTTCGACCAAACTCTTTTTGTGAGAATGTTTTTTTTTCTAATTGCATGAGGATAAAATCATTTTCATATCAAAGGCTACGCCCTTAGCTTGGTTTCAAAACAGGGGGTTTGAAAAAACTAAGAAACGGCCGATTAAATATAAAGTTAATTTCTTTCCGTTTAGATATCCCCACGAGTCTAAATCACAATCGGTTGTGGTGTACTACAGGAGGGTCTCAATGGGGTGGTGGCTTTTACGGTTATCGGCTAAAATTTTGGCTCTTTTACGGCTATCGGCTAATTTTTTTCAGTTACGCTTAACAAAAAAGTTGAAAATTAATTTCTTTTGTTTCTAAGAGTTAAATATTAATTAACCTGTATTTTTTGTAACTTTAAGGCAAAATAAAGGTCTTCGGATCATCTCGGGATAAAGTAAGCTGTTCGTTTGAAAAATCTTAACATTTGATAGATCATACTTTTTATAAAGTATTCCACTTCTAATATTATTTTACCCACAGAAATATCCATATTCAATTTAAAAATAATCTTTAATTTGTGAAAAATCAAAAGAAGACACGCGAACGCCCAACTCAAGGCCGGGGCGCGACATTAATTATAACAGAAATGGCCGTTTTCACACTAGAGACGGATTATTCGTGTGAGACAGGTTATCCGTTTATATTGATGATTCGTGTCGATAGGTAATACGTTTTAATTTGAAAATAGAATAGCTCTAATTTTGAATGAACAATCCGCCTGACGTTATCCATCAATTTTGACGGACAGTTTGAAGATGGATTATCCGTTTCAGATAGCCTGTGTAGAGCCGCCCCCTCCCCTCAGAAAAAATCGGAGAAGGGGTGTCTGTGGGGAAGGGGGCGAGTGTACACAGGCTAGTCTCAGATGGATAATCCATTTCTAGCTCTTTTGTGAAAACGGCCAACAACAAAATTCCTGTGTCCAGTGTTTATAATGATAGCGAAGGACCCTACGGAACGACTGTCTGCCGTTGCCTTGTCCTTAGGCCTCAGTCCGCGAGGCTAATGCTTTTCGGGTCACGTGGTCCGAGCGAGTTCGCCACCGAAATGCCTTGACCGAGATTGCGTGGGAAGGCGCTGTACAGGGACTAGGCATGGCAATGTCTACCATAGCGTCAGAGAAAAACAGGGAATTGTTGTTTATCGGCTATATTTTACAAACAGTGACATCTCTGCGTGTTGTTTTACTGGTGTTTCGAGGGTACGACCTCCTGAAAATCGCAAATATTAATCCCCAGCAAGCAGCCACACTTTCGCTATGGAAAAAATTAGTTCCCCGAAAGAGCGGTGGAAATGAAGCTTAGGTCCTGGTCAACACCTTGAAGGCACTTCGATCGCCTGACGTGCGTACGGAGTCTGGCAGTAGCCGGGAAATAAGTGAGTTTAGCATCTTCCTTAAAATTAACAAATCTCGGGAACAATTTCTTTTACGGTTAACTCTTTTTTACCCTTTTTACGGCTAACGGTTAAAATTTTTTAATTTTTACGGCTATCGACTAAATTTTTGGCTGTTTTACGCCAATCGGTTAACCCCATTGAGACCCTCCTACAGTAACAGGGAACCAGCCAGAAGCCTAATTTCTGCTCTTTCGGCCTCGGGATTCAGACAGGTTTCTGGCGATCAACCGAGCAATCTCCGACCGTTCTTTTTATCATACCACCTGCCATGTCCTGTTGGCACATTCTCCAACATAACTTCTCAAGGAGCCGAAGGAAGCATACCCTGCCCCCCAGGTAACAGAGGTTCCCATTCATACTTGACATTCCTGTCCTGTCACCGTAGTCATCTCGTTGTAGTATAATGTTCAATTAAACCCTAGTTCGGTATTCACTACACAAAGGGGCGGATCTAGGATTTTTTAATGGAGAGTGGCTGATACCAATCGGTCACCAAGTTACACGTTAATTTTTCTTAAGTTGTCCTACGTTTGTCCCAAAACATGGCGATTTAGAAAGGACAAATTGTTGACTGTAACACTGCAAACTCTTGAAAAGCAACAAAATAGAAAAAATAGAAGCTCATACAAATACCTCACTAACCTAGTCGGCCAAAGGTGAAGACGCCGTCATTCGTCCAGGGTGCAGCGTCACAAATTTCTCACAAACTACACTTCTGTCGATGGTTCTGCATTTACATAACATAACATAAAAATTTATTTATACTAGAATTTTAGAGTAGCTAACAAGCTAATATCTTCGAGCTACGTGCAATGGCCATGCATTTGCATGCATGGCCATTGCACGTATTTATATTTTTTGGACCATCGTATTTCCGTTTGTTTTTCCGTGTATTATTATTTTTTTAGGTGGGAATTTTCTCCTAGGGGAAGGGGAAGGGCTGTCATTTCCCCGATCTTTTTAAGTACACGGTACAATACGCTCTTCTCACGTATGGTAATATGCCCGTCTAACCTCGTTTTTGAGTAAAACGTCCTTTGAAATGCTAATCAGACGACGTTTTCGTATTTGAATTTCAAAAGAATTTTTACCCGTAAACGAGGTTAGACGGGCATATTACCATAAGTGAGAAGAGCGCATTTGGTTGTCACGTTCTTTGCTTGTTTTGTTTGTTTATTTGTTTCTTTGATTCTCACTTTGTTTGTGTGTACTATTTGTTACGTTGCTTGCGTATGTCGGCATTTATTTAATTAGCTCTTTGGAATATGTATATAATTTAAGCGCTATATAAATAATAATTCTTTATTTTTAAATCTTTATGTACCAATATTGTACATATGAAACTTGTTTTTGTCCTTTGCTTTCAAGAGTCTTCGATATCTTTGAGGTAAACTATCTGAACTGGTAATCAGAAAGTCCTACGTTCGACTACTGTTGTGCGGTGGTCACTCGTCTCTTTGGTTTTGAAACAAGAGCGATCAAGAAACCAAAACCTCAACAACATATTTCAAGTGCCAACATAAAGTTTTAAAGATTTATGGAAAAATATTAAGTTTCACAGTAAAACACTCCAAGGCAAATTAATATTATACGAAGGTGGCTTTTCAAAGGGGATTCAATATGATGACAAGGCCGAAAAATTTGTTAAGAAAGAATAAGTCAAGGCAACATTTTTAAACACTAATATGACCGACCTAGAACTTTCCCACCATTTAATGTCTCAACATATACATAAGATTTTTTATATGATACATATGTTTTTCTGATACACATGTTTTTATTTAGGTGGGTTTTACTCCGATGATATTGGATATGTGGGGATAAGCTGTAAAAAATGCCCCAACGGTTCTTTTGTTGCCTTGAATAAAGCACCAGGAAAACTAGTTCAAGATTGCAAGACTTGTCCTCTTGGTAAATAGCTACAATAAGTATACTTTTGTTATGTTTCTAGTGCTTGGTTGTTTGGTGGCTATTATTTTATATGAATTTTGTGCAGCTTACAGTCTGACAATTTTTATCCATGAATAGGCCATTTCCCAGATCCAAAAACTCTCACTTTCACAACGAGGCTAAGAACAAAACCTTTCTTGTGAAAATGAGTTTCATTTGCATCAATGGCTTTGTAATTAGCCTCACTTTGAAACAGAGGCTTGAGGCAACTCTGAAGTGGCGTATTGTTCTGTTGCTTATTTCAACAGGAACAAACAGTGACGCCCATGCGGGATTGCGTGCTTGTGAATGTCTGGAGGGATATTATCGGACTCACATGTTTGAACTGTGTCGAAAATGCGAAGATGGACTAAAATGCGAGAATGGATATGCTACTTTGAAACCTGGCTATTGGTGGAAATGGAGAAATAACAGCCTTAAAGATCGGTACCGAGTTTTCATAGCCAATCTCTTATCATCTTCGCCATCATTTGATAAAGAGGACGTGCAATATCCGTATCCTCTACCAACTCCGCATAAGTGTCCAGGAGGAAAGTCATGCAAAGGTGGCATGGATTCCTCTTGCAAGGATGGCTACAAAGGTCCCCTTTGCAGCGTGTGTTCAAAAGGATATTTTAAACAATTTCAACGATGCAGGAAATGCCCAACAAAGACGTGGATTGTCGCTCAAATGTTAATAGTTGCCACAGTTGTTTTGATAATTATTGCAGTTTGTGTGTGGACAAATAAGATGAAGAATAAGAAAGGAGGGGAGAGCTCTTTAGCAGACTCTTTCTTGTCCAAAATCAAGATCGCAATTGGATTTTATCAGGTGACGTATGGTTTGCTTGAGGCCTTCTCATACATCGAATGGCCAGAGTCTTTACAAGCGATCGGCAAGTATTCAAAAGTACTCCAGCTAAACATACTTGAGATGGCTCCAATTAACTGCTTTTTCGAGAGTCTACAAGTGGATGCTTTTGCCAACTTACTTTCAATAATCGCAATTAATTCTGCCATCATCATCTGTGCAGGCATATGTTACGGAATAAGAAGAGCTGTTATCTCAAGGAAAGAAGATATGGATATCGAGCAAAAGTTAAAGGAAGTGTCACAAGCTAAAGAAACCACGTACAGAAATCTGTTCTTTTTCCTGTACATCACCTACCTTAGCACGTGTTCTAAGACAGTAACTGCTTTGCCCCTTGCATGCCGGGAACTTTGTCAACACGAAAACGAGGACTCTTGCACGAAGTACCTGAAAGTCGATTACAGCATACAATGTCATGGGCCTTCGTTCAATAAATTGGTTATCGTGTCATATTTCTCCTTAGCTTACGTTGTTACTCTTCCTTTCGCCACATTTATTGTTCTTTGGAGAAAGCGAACTGTAATACTTGACGAAAAGCCTAATGGTCTAGACCCAAGAACTGAAATAATCAAGGGCTTGCAATTCCTTTACGAAAATTACAAAGCTCGTTCATGGTACTGGGAACTAATAGAGACGTCTCGTAAAGTAATCGTCACATCTGGTTTGATACTCGTGGGGCAGGACAGCAGATCATATATTGGTTTAGCATGGGTCATTGCTGGCATATATGGAGTGTACTTTGCCTGGAATCGTCCGATACAAGACGCCTTTGAAAATCGACTGATGGGCGCATCCATTGCTGTTACAGTTTTCAATTTGGGTGTTGGGGCCGTCAGTAAAATTCCTGCAGAGAACTTACCTACAGCAGCCGACGTTTACATGGACATGGTCGTATTCAACATATTAGTTCTTGGAGCAAACACGCTGGTCATCGGATTACTGGCCTGTAAGATGCTTCTTATATTTTTGACAAACATATTTTTTGCTTACTTTTAACCAAAACAACTCAAATTTATCCATTTTCCACATGAGTAACCCTATATGAAACTTATATGAAATGGAAATGAAATGATCTCCGCCAAAGTCCCTGTCAAACGAGAGGCAGACATTTGACAGCCTATCTACATCGTTGCGAAATGTTATGACGGTTGAGACGAGTTCATACATCGTCTCAACACAAGGTTCGTTGTTTTCCAAATGTTCATGACGGTTTCTATTATTTTGTTTTGTTATTTATTCATGAGATTGTCGACTGATCGATGAGAAAGTATGCTACAGAATGATCTCATTGTACAAAAAATGTTGAGAGAAAGTTCAACGGAGGATATCAAAAAGAATAACGTTTAAAGTGGATTTGCACAGAATTCAAGCTTATATAAAGCACCACAACCGTTTCAAGTCATCCTAAAAATCATCCGATTGAGTTTATAGGCTAATAAACAATTTGAGAAGTACGATTTCAAAATATAACTTGAATCAGAATCGATATCCTTATTTTTATGATGTCCACTGGAAGAAGACTTATTAAAGTAGATTGAAATTATAAAATTCTTCTCGATATATAGCTAACTGTGTAAAGATTTAAGAGCCATTATCTGAGAAAATCGAGAATCGCACGACACTCGTCAAAAAATCGAATTTTTTTTTATTTTGCCAAAACATCCCTTTTAGTGACCTTATTTAAGGAAAAATAGTTTTGGGTTCAAACGATTCATTTTAAAGGAGAAATTAGGAAAAGTTTGAAAAATCGATTTTATGCTCGTTTTTCGCACAAAACACGGCAGGATGCAATGGCAACTTCGAGAGAAGGGTGAACGCGTAAGAAACATTCCCTGACATTGAAACTTCACCGAATTATTATTTTGTTCTTACTCTTGAAAATCCTAAAAGAAAATTTGATAAACAATGCTTTACATTTTTATAATCGACAAGTGTAAAGAGGTCATATTTGTGACGTTAGACGTGCTATAAAATGAAGGCCAACTTTGACTATTAAAAAAGGCCTCTGGTATATGCCGCTTGATCATAAAATCAATATAAAATGGAACCTTGGCTCTTGTACTAACTTACTGGAAAGTTTTAGCTCTGGAAATCAAATATCATCCTGACACCAAAGCAAGCGGTGAGAGCAATTGAATTGGGAAATTTATGCAAATTAGACGGCTTGCGGACGGTTGTCAAACTAAAAAGAAAGGTTTTACATGAAAGGATTACTCACCATTGCTTGTAGCACGTTTTTACGGCAAGGAAAGTTATTTCCAACTTCTTTTGCGTCGTTTTGAGTCACAAAATAAATAATTTTTAGCCAAAAGACAAACGTACGTTTGCTCAGCAACTGCGTCCGAATCCGGCCGTGCATCGAAAGTCCCAACACGTCGAAGCAAGAGTTACAAGAGTTTTTACTTCAGTCAGGAGGCAAAAGGAATAAAAATTCATCGCAAACTAATGACTTCGATTTTGAAAACCTTTCATCACTTCAATCGTTCGTCGGCTGATAATAAACATCGCACAAGATCGTATGACCTTTGGCGTGTGACCGGAAATTGGTCACACGCTTTAGTCACGTCAGCATGCTGTCACGAAATTTTCGTAGCTGCTGTCAGCAATTTTAATACAGTTTTCACATTTTTTGACAAGAACTCCCCTCATCGCAGTAGAAACAGCCATGCATATTTATTTTTCTTTTATTTACCTACTAGGCTTTGAAACAGCTTTTTTGCCTTCGAAGTACTAAACAGGAGGGGTACCTCGGATTCCAAGTGTCGTGAGTGACCCGTGGAAGCGAAAATCAAGACCAAAAAAGAACGAATATTTTGAATACTTAAGTAAAGCCACAGCTAAAAAAAAAAATTGTTCAAAATATTTTCAAAACAAGAAAAAAACATACTTCGATCATCCCCGTGACTTGGAATCTGGCCAGGGTACCCCCACCCCCTCCCCTCCTCCCCTATGCCGGGTCAAAATACTAAGTTCCCCCGGCCCAATGTCCCATAGTCAAGGGAGTATACTCTCTTGCTGTAGTAAAGAACTTGCAGAATAATACCAATTCTCCGTGGCCAACGGATTCAACGCTATAGTTTACTTTGGTTTTCGCTATTTGCTCACGATCAGGAGCCTATAACCCCAACCGCGACCAAATTATGAAACCTGTTATTACCAGAAACAAAAACGCAAAGAAACAGTTAGTCAGATAGACAGTACATAATAAAAAAGACCTCGATTAAGATTAAAAAAAAATCAAGACATGACACTGTCGAATACGAAAACCCAGAAACCATTTTGTGGAAAAAAGGTTCGTATACAGCTATCAGCTGCTTTTGTCCACAACTCGCCGGTAGAGGTGCGCGGAAACTAGTGATTGTGAAATGGCTTCAAACTATGATCCTATACTGTTGGAATATTACTTATCACAGAAAGCTACATCTGATTTCTTCTAGCAGACAGAATCCTCTTGGTTCGTGTGGACAAAGTAGCTCATCCCGGCTATTTGCACCATGCTACCATAGTCTCCCTAGATTCCCAAGCCTCGCATGCAGACTTTCCTGTCCCACGAACGTTGGGTAGGATTATAGGACGAGCCAAAAGAAAGTGAAGGCTATAGGCTCTCGCGATGATGCAAGGAAGGTCGAGTATTATATTCCCCTATCCAGGTCGCCCAGGGTAAGTCTTCGGAGGAGAGTGACTTAGGGGCTGTATGTTCGAAAAGTTGACTAACGCCCCCGGAACTAACGCTTTCCCCAGGATAAATCTATATCCAATAAGTAACGCAATTGCTTCATCTTATTCGCTTGATAGTGATTTTCTGTTGCTCAACCTTTGAACAACAGGGCCCTAAGTATTGTGTTTCGCCTTGCACTAAAAACCCATAAACCTTATAAATTTCACTATGGGACTTCAGCACCTCCCTTGAATGATCCATTTCGCTAAACGGGACCTCAAAACAACGATTCTGTGCATCCTAAGGGAGTGTATACTATACGTTCCTGGCTCTCGTCAGGTGATGGTGGCTCATACTCTAATAGACCTAACACAGTCGAACCTCCATGTGCGACCGCCAATCCAAAAGACCAAATTTTCCCATGCAAAGCCTTATATTTGGATTAACCTCCAGTAAACGACCTTCTGTAAGTGACTGCGACCACTTTTTGGGCGTCACAGTTAATTGTTTTCCATAAGCGACCAGTTGACGCATTCTCTGCTCTCTATTTTTGCTGTGTGCACTATGTTCCTTGGAAAATATGAAGACCTTTAGTGACATTGTGGAACTACACATATCCTAACTTAGTAGATGTAGCCAACAAAGTGAAGATTCTGTTGTGATTCTAGACTATTCTATATCTCACTCACCTGAATCCCTCTTTAAATTGAGCATGATTTAAAAGCTGTATTTTTCAAAAGAGGTAAAAGATAATATTTTGCCAGGAATTTGTTACACCGCCATTTAATAGAATGTGCCCAGACCTCTTCTCGGAATAGACCCTATGTGGTCCGATTCTTCTAAACGGCCACCTCCCGTTAGAGACCATTAGGTCTTTGCATTTTTGGTGGTCGCTTACTGGAGGTACGACTGTATTACTTTGACCTATCAGAGGCTTACCGATAATAAAGGGGATCTGGAAGGGGGCATGGATGTGACAATCACATGCCAGGTCGCTTACTTAAAATAGCGGACATCTAACTGACAATCAAAGTTTGTGCTTATTATAGGGGTTATCTGGTGTTTACTCACCTCCCAAGCTACCCTGGGTGAGCCAACTTTTCCTCCATTTCCTTACAAAACTTGGAAAACCATTTACATGAGAAACAAAAGGTTGGTTCGGATAGACGCCTTACTACCAGTAGTGGGCGGGGTGAGGGCTTCCGGAAGTCAGCCCTCCACTGAGCCGGTAGTGGTGGCCTCACCCTTCTAGCCCGGCTAATATTTCTTCACTTTAGCTCGCCCAGCTAGCTGAGACGACACGGTCAAGGCTAGACAAAGACAGCATGCGCAAGCACTGTTGACTCGGACAAAGTGGTCAGTTTTTTCCTCATACAAACGCTCGCAAAAGTCGGCTCGGCTGGGAGGTTGACCTTCTCTCCGGCACAGCTTTTCTCCATGCATGGGTTCCAAACAGTCTTTTAGCAGTCACGTTTGAAATTTATAGGAAAATGATGTAGTACTTCAAAAAATAATAATAAAAAAAATACACTTTTTTCACAGGCTGTCAATGCCTAGAAGGTGTCTATAAAAGAAATCAACTGCAGAACAGGGGTCAATTTCAGTTTTTTGCGCTTTTCATGCTAGCACTGCGAAGCGGACTGGGAGTGCGAAACACGCGCGATGCATGGGGAACAAGTTCTGCAGGCTATAAAAGAAATTAAAAAACAAACAAACAAATAAAGCAGGCCTGATTTTATTTCGATGCGTCTTTTTTTTGTCGACAGCAAACGTGAAAAATCGTATTAAAATTCGTGACAGTATGCTAACGTGACTTAAGCGTGTGACCGATTTCCGGTCACACGCCAAAGGTCATACGATCTTGGGCGATGTTTATTATCAGCCGACGAACGATTGAAGTGATGAATGGTTTTCAAAATCGAAGTCATTAGTTTGCGATGAATTTTCAATCTTTTGGCCTCCTGACTGAAGTAAAAACTCTTGCAACTCTTGCTTCCAAAGGACCGCAGTGACGTGTTGTGACTTTATTTCGATTCACGGCCGGATTCTGGCGCAGTCGCTGAGCAAACGTACGTTTGTCTTTTGGACCTTTTGGCTTAAAATGATGGATTTTGTGACTCAAACCGACGCAACAGAAGTTGGAAATAACTTTCCTTGCCGTAAAAACGTGTTACAAGCAATGGTGAGTAATCCTTTCATGTAAAACCTTTCTTTCTAGTTTGACAACCGTCCGCAAGCCGTCTAATTTGCAATTGCTCTCACCGCTTGCTTTGGTGTCAGGATGGTA